CAATCTACTCGAATCGTTTATCTATGATCCATTGATCGATTGGACGGGTCACGATACCGGTGTTCTCGCTGCATTCTATGGTGGACAAAGTCACCTCTACGAGCAGGTTACTATAAAGAAACGTCAAGTAGAAAAAGATGCTCTACTACGCATGCTGCATCTGCGTATAATTGAAATTCGACATAATTGGTTGATTCTTGGGTAAAATCTGTTCGAATGTAGTATTTCATATTTGATATGTGATCGTTTCTAGCGATTCGATCAATCGAACGATGAATAAGTTGTTTCAACGCGTCAATGATATGAACGAACTGAACAAAACTATCAATGAACACGAAATGAAAATGCATCTGATGGAGAAACGTTTGGATTATTTTAGAACAGCTGTAGAAAGCAATGCAACAAGTCACCCATTGTTTTCCTTACTCGACAGGTTCGATTCATTTTTACGATTTAAATTCAGTGTGACAGAAATCGCGTTTCTATTCAGACGAAAAAAGCTACAGACAATCCGATCGGACATGAACACAGCGAGAGATTTGGTCTTGTCATTGTGTCAACGTCTGGATTCTGTTGTCATCAACATTGATGTGAGCAGATCATTTATTGTTACTATACTTAGAGTGTCAAGTTTATTGTAGGAAGCGTATGGAGATTTACAATCGAAAGACTTTTATACTAAAATTCAACAGTTTATTGCAACCAATGAAGTGTCTATTAGTACTTCACCAGTGGTACTGGCTTCCGAATTTCTTCAAACAGCCGGAAAATCAGCGTTACTCCATCAAGTATGACGGCCGACAGCTCGAACATTTCAGCCATTCAGAAATCCTTTGTTTAGAGCGAAGAATTAGATAACGAATTGCGAAATGCTCTCAAACTCTATCGATCGGCGCGCCAATCGACTGTTTCGAGTGTATCGAAAAATCTTGTTGAACTTTGCCACTATCTACCAACTGATTATATTTCATCATCGTTACTAAACACATTAAAACATCATCTCAATGAACTTTACAATAATTTTACTACTGAAAAGTGAGATCTCTTGATTCTCGTTGCTGCTGTATCTAAATTGAGTTTATAGATGTCAAGAATTTCTACATCATGTTGATACAGAATTTCTTATCAATGAAAATTCAGCTTCACGAGTAGAATTGATCAATCGAGCAATCTCTGTCGATCATCAATTGACTGAATACTTGCAAACAATCAATCAGGAACTAACAGAAGTAAGTAATCCTTCTACAAAGTCATTCGCAATAGAATTTCTCCATCGCACAGAGTTCCAAGTTACAAATGTTCCTTCAACAATCATTAGTAGATGATACAATCTATCAGAACTCGCTCAGCTCTATTCTACAAAGTAAAACTTGCCTCTGTTGACTTTATGTCAACGTTTCGTCTTCTGTCAGCCTTAGATAGCGATGAATACACAAATTACCGTTACATTCTTTCATTGATGCTATTTGATCGATGGCAACATTGTCGACAAATGAGTGATCGCGCTAAGATGATGTTTAATACACAATCATTCGTAGAAAACCACGATGAAACATTCATTCATGATCTTTACACATTGATCAGCAACACAAATTTTCTAGCATCGATTATTCAACAACACAGCGCAATCATAGTAAGTGAAAGTTTGAATGAGTATTCCACTGAACCATTTAATTTGCTTCTAGTCATTAAATTCACCGTCTGCTGATAGTATCATCCAATTGATGAATCGTATGGAGAACATCTTTCGATTAGTCAAAGTGAGTAATGGTAGTAATGTAGCCATTTGAATACGAAAATTTGTATAGGATTTGTCAAACAACTTTGATCTAAACGCAGTACCTACTTTGATTCGTGCTGCATGTTCGAAACAAGCTAATCTTCGAGTGTGTATGGATCTGTTGAATAATGCTTTTCAGCAGATTCATCCTGCACCGATCGACGATACGTGCCAAACAGCTTATCAGCAACTTCGTTCATCGTGGATCACAGGTATGTTCTGCAAAATTGCAGATCAACGCTTATCGACTTTTGTCTGATTTTAGCTTCGAATGAGATTTTTGATACGTTTTTGAATCTCTCAAATGCATTCGACGAACTTGATAATGAATTCAATGATATCACGGTTCTCTTTCAAACGTTAGACATACCTTCAACTTGGTTACAATCACCACTATTCGATTGGAAACAAGTACGATCATTTCATTATGATTGAAATAGTGTATTTCAATCGAAATATTTTAGACGAACATAACCAACGATACTCGACAGAACTTTCTGAAAAACTTCTTTTCGATTAGCAAAATCACTACCATGCGACAAATCTGTCAATTAGCCATTGACCACACACAAACATTCGATAGTAAAATACAACTCCAAGCACATCTCATATAATTCTTTCATTGATTCCATAGATTTCAATACCCAAATCATTAAAGAGAGTGACTTAACCAAACTCATCAAGCAATTTCTTGTCTTATACATCAATCATTATGTAAATCAACAGAAGACATCCATGAACATTTTTTCATTGCATTTCCTTCTAGCTTGCTGATCTACCCGCTCTGGTCACCAGTTACTTAATCCTATCATTAATTCCATCCTTACAAACTGATGTTATTCAATCGGATCATCAGTTTCAAGAGTTTCTTCATCGATTCTGTCTGATTACACCAACACAAAACACCAGTGAACTTCAGCAATTATTAGCACAGATCAATGGTTCATGGCAAAGCAAGAATAACGCTCAGTAAGAACAGACGAATTTGTAGCTGGTATATCTATTTGCTCATTCAATATTTGCTTTAGACAAATTCAAATTGCATTCGATATATTAAATACTCGAAAATATACGAATGAAATGCAATTACTTGCCTATCGATGGAAAAACTTTCATTTATTGAATTCCAGTACTGAAAACCAACAGCGACGTAGTATGTGTGAGGAACTAGCAGCGGTAGGTTACTTCGAAAGAGAATTTTTCTTCGTCAAGTCTTTGTTTTTGAAGGATCAAAGTGTGTTAGCCATACCCGACAACGCCTCGATCATAATTATTGATAAAATAACAACTCTTGAACAAACAGTGATTCAGCGATTAAGATGGGCTGCTGGCGCTAATCCATTAGTACAAGATGTGCTTATCAAATTTGAAAACCAACAAAAACAACGCACGAATGAAATCAACGTATGTAAAAATTCGATTGAACTCTTCTGTTTTTTCCTCGACAGTTACTTTTAGAACGACAAACAAATCTGTGCAAATCTTGTTAAAACTCTTCAATCTTGGCTTCTCTTTGAACAATATGAAGAGCAAATTAAACTTCAAGGAGAGTTAATTCTTCATGCACGAGCATTTGCCGAGAAGTATTATTTAAAAGCCGACTGGTTGCCAATTGATCTATTCTAATTGTTCTATTTGCAGAGGTCTGGAGATTTGTCAATTAAAAACAAATATCGAATCGAATTTCACAACTGTTGAACAAGCAGTCTTGGAATTTGCAGTACGTTGACAAATGTCTTTGATTAGAGACAAATGTCATTTGTCTTTCTAGCCAATCGGAAATTTACAAGAGATTACCTTACAAAATCTTCCGATGTTAATTGAACAAGCGAATAATGAATATATGAAGCAAAAACGAAATCGAACGAAAGAAGAGAAAGACATGGAAATTCGGCGTGTATGTGTTGATCAGAATAAAATAGGTTTTCATCGGAGAATTGTCTTGTTTTTCATTTACAGGATGAAACGAGTAATTCAATCACTGAATTGAAAGAACAGATGTCTCATCACAATGTGATCTTCAAAGATTTATCATCACTATTGAAAAGTTTACTTCGCGTATGTTCCTTCTGAATCTGTTGTTTTTGTGAGACTAATTCAAATTCTATCTCATAGACCATTCCACATCCTACAATTGCCAGTTATTCTCAAATTCACCGAGAATTTCTTGAATTATGTCATGCTATTGCTAAGCATACGCTTCACATTGACAAAAATAGTACAATGAGATATGAAGATCTTCTAATAAAGATGAAGCGGGTCTTAGCGATTAAAACAAAGTAATGAGAGATTTATAAACACGAAAGAGACTAAAGACCTTGGCGGATGATTTTTTTTCTCGTATAGAGTTTTTGAAGATTTAATCAACTTAAAACCACCAACTGACATTGGTAAGAATCTTCTTCTTCATAAATTCTCTGTTTTCTATCCATATATATTCGACAGATAATCGAGAACAAGCAAGTTCGTCACTAATAAATACTAGTGCACAACACGATACGACAGATAAATCAATTAAAGGTTTGTGTCCATGAATGCATTCTTCTAGTAATGAAATACTCTTTTTTGCTTCAGTTATTGAAGAACGAAACAAATATGCAGTCGAGATTTGTAAACGAATTCGTGATAAACTTGACGGTTCAGATCCTGATCCATTAGCTCAAAGTTCCATCAGCGAACAAGTAAATTCCTAAAAAGTCCATCAATCACACTTGACCTTTTGCCTTTCTCTCGTGTTTAGGTTCGTTATACCATTCGTGAAGCAACCCACATTGAAAATTTAGCTACGCTGTATGAAGGCTGGACATCATGGGTATGAGATGAAGAAGATTATCTTTCAAAGTTATGGTTCAACTAAAGATTCAATGAATTAAACAGCAAGTATCGTATGGAACAGCTCGTTCGATGTTCTCCGTAGAGAAAAATCAATGTATCAACATGAAGTCGTTTCTTTTTTCAGCTATCAGTTTTCTCTATAGTTTTCTGTGATTAATATGACAAAATTCGGCTGAGTATCTTTCATTTCTTTTTCTGATTCAATAGCGTTTTGTCTCGGTTAAACACGAAAATAAATCAGATCTATTTCTTTTACATGACTATCAACTTGCCTATTGAAGAAAAAAACGGCCAATTTCACCTGATAGCACATTAATATTCTCTAATTGATTCATCGTTGAGAAAAGGTGAAGGAAAAACGAAGAATAAAAATAATAATAATAATTTAACAAAATGTGAAGTTCTTTTTCGTCCAACAAAAATCATTTGGCCACTTCTCAACTTCATTCATAGCGAGTAGTTGACATTGAAACGTTCGTGGTTCGTAATTACGCTTAATAAAAAAGTCGATCAAAATATTGACACGTTTCGGAAAAACGCGGACTTTCAACCATTCAATTTGAACCATTGGTATATCGAATGAATCGAATATTTGACTTCCAGCTTCCACAACAAAACTTTCGCTGCCTTCAATGTCAACTTTCATAATTGCACTACGTAAACCGCGTTCGCGTAAAACTGGTAGAAGATCATCGAATTGGATTGTCTTCACTACATAAGGGTTTGAAAGACTTTGATTATGTGAAAGCGATTTACTAATGTTGGGTTTCATCGCAGCATCTAATTCTTGTCCGCCGACGTTTAGTGCATCGTTTGACAATTTTAAATATTCGCCGGATTTCGTATACAATGCGTTGTGAACTAGAGCAATTCGATTTCCGACATCAGCCAATTGAACTGCACGATGAAGTCGATCAACATTTGGACCAAAACATTCTATAGATAGAACAAATCGTCCTAAGGCAGCTGCATACATTGTATAAGTGCCAATATTGGCTCCGATATCAATGAAATCTAAATGCGGATAACGAAGAAGTACGCGAAGTATTCGAGTAACGCCTTCTTCTTCCCAAATAGATGTTGATTCGCGAAACGAATTACTGACATAAATATCCTTTTGCGAATCGTAAACACATATATGGGAATTGAAATAATTCAGCAGTGTTTTGGTTTTCATACATTTGAATGTCACATTAACTGGTTTACTAAAATTCACTATAACAACATGTGAAGTGGAATTATGTGTATGTTGCAGTGCGCCACGCGATTCTATTGATGATGGTGTTAGAACGAAATTCGTCTTATACATGACTCGATTGTTCGCGATAAAATAACCAATTAGAATACCGCCGATAAAGTGAATAAATAAGAGAAGGAGTAGTTTACTTGTTGGCAACATTTGACGAGGAAATAGAACTGCTCCTATAAAACAATCACATATGAGTGCTAATGACCATTTTGTCAAAGAAAATAACATGAATCTGGTTAAATAAACATCGTTGAATTGGTAATTTTTCTACTAGGAGGACTTTTTCTCTTTTCTTTGAGACATTTTCTCTTCCTCAAATTGACGCACAGAATCATGACATTTTCTTTTCTCGAGAGCTACTCAAGGAAAAGAAGAATTTCTCCTCGGGTAAATTATTTCTATTCACTCTCCTTAAACATCTTTCTTAACAAAAAAAAAGAGAACAAAATCGAGATAGTAAAACAAAATCACCAACTCTCCAAAAACGTCGTCCGCGTCTTTTGCGAACAGAAAACTAATTAATTCACCTGCCGTAGTAAGTTAACGGGTGTCACACAGAAAATGTCGATGCATACATCACACTAATCGTATGTATTTAACACTAGTTGTGTAGTTCCTCTAAGCAAGTGTCGAAGGAGAGACATAGAGAAGAACAGGAACACAATTGAAATATCAACCTTTTAAATGTGAGGGTTAAGGCGGCTGTATTTCGATAGTAGACATGTGTACCCACATCTGCATCCTCCTTCTAAGGTATTTCGATGCATTCTTTCGTAAAACGTAAATAGATCTTTGTAAAGAACTTACTAAATAGTCGATATACTAGTTTTATCATGATTATGCATGAGCATGCGTCGTCTATGGCTAGTTTAAAATGTGATGTTTGAAGCACAAAGAGATGTGTGCCAACAATTGACATATAAATGTGGACTTAATATCATGTTAAGAAGCTTTTGTTCTGTTGAATCAATGTGATTTGGTAAGGGAGCAAAGGAATATTTCTATTTAAAAAACATATTGACATACGTAATATGATACCTGCATAGTTCTTTCAATACAAAAAAAATGACGAGAAGAATAGTTCGGGGGATATGAGACCAATCTTATTGAGAAAAAAATGATATACTGTAATTGATATCTAAATCAGCAAAGGTAATCGACTAATTCTCATCTGTTCTAACGCGTGAGTCTGATATATAGACTTAATCATCTTGAATATCAAGTAATCTCTTATCTGAATATCGACATGAAAGAAACTGCGCACCGCCAATCTAACTGTCAATTTTATAGCTACAATAAACATGATGACGAGAATGATTGAAGATTATATTTTTCTATTTGCCGAATTACTTATTCTCCATATTAACAATCCGTACATTCGACTTGACGAATAAAAGAAAAGTATGTCAGCACGAATCTTTTGAGACTAACACGAACAACTCATGCGGATTCAATATCATTTTACCTGTACAGTCTGTTGAAAGGAGAAGTACGTCTGTAGACTTTCAGAAGAAGGCGCACATGACTGTATAACAGGACTGCCATCCGTGCCCCTTTTTGAGATACAGTACTCCATTTGAACTCTTCTTGTTTGCAACAAACAAAAATAATCTTTGGTTAAAATCAATAAACTTATCGACTGCGATTAACATATTCATTCGCAGAAAGATGCGAAGAGTACGTTTCACTCAAATCAATCATTCCTTATCTTCAATCGAACTCGATGCAAGTGAAGCAGTTCCTACGGATGTGAGCGAAGATACGATTAAATACTATGATAGAAATTAAAATCATTATTCTTTTTCAGAATCTCCAACACACATCTTATTGAGCCATGCATTACATAGCACGCTTGATTGGTTTATGTAAACAAACATTACTTGAAAAAAGTCAACTAATGTCATTGAATATATATATCATCGATGTGTACCTGACATCATGATAATCGTTTCACATCGACATAGAAGTGAGTAAGATAGTCTAACTCTAAGAACAATTAGAAATATTACTGTGCAATATATGTTTATTAGTCAATGCAACTAGAGAAGACATACTTTGAGTAGAACCTTTTCTGAGAAGATGAGAAGGATTGTTGTCCATTTAAATCGAAATATTGGACTTTTCAAAACCAGTACACAATAATTGTTTGAAAATTTTATTGCGAAGAGGAGTAATACTTGACTTGAAAGTGTCGAAATTATTCTTCGAGGTGTTGAAAAGTTATCGATGTCTCTAATAGTTTTCGACTGTCAAAACATTCCTGTAGTTGATTTCTCCAAACCAATTTCTGACTGTATTACTAATTTTAAGGGAGAATTTTTATTTTTCTGAGTGGATACATAGCGAAAAGAATATATATTCTGGAAACAATCGTTTCGAACATAAAAACTAGGATCCGAAGACTAATTTCAGACCAGAGGAAAACAGCCCCAAAAGCTTTTTTTGTGAAAAACCATTTTATGAAATGCGTTTCTTGATGTCAGCTGTATTGTTAATCATGAAAAAATTGTGTGCCCCATTTAAAGCTGAGCACAGGACAGGACGCCCTGCTCTCCTGTCCTGTCCGCTCTGCAGGGCGAGCGAGTAGGAGCGACAGGGGAACAGAATGAACTACCTTGTCCTGCTGTACGGTATAATAAAATCTTACAAAGCTTTTTTAGAGTTTCTAGACGACTTCTGGTAATTCGTAAGCGACCAATATTTCTATTTAAAAAACATATTGACATACGTAATATGATACCTGCATAGTTCTTTCAATACAAAAAAAATGACGAGAAGAATAGTTCGGGGGATATGAGACCAATNTAGTATTTAATCGTATCTTCGCTCACATCCGTAGGAACTGCGTCACTTGCATCGAGTTCGATTGAAGATAAGGAATGATTGATTTGAGTGAAACGTACTCTTCGCATCTTTCTGCGAATGAATATGTTAATCGCAGTCGATAAGTTTATTGATTTTAACCAAAGATTATTTTTGTTTGTTGCAAACAAGAAGAGTTCAAATGGAGTACTGTATCTCAAAAAAGGATACGGATGGCAGCTGTACTCTATAATTACTCTATACTGTATTTACTCTTATGGCAGCAACGTGAAAGCTTGTCGTTGTTCATTAGTAACCCAACATCAGTCAGGTTTTATCTGACAATATGCTAATATTTACTCAGTGAAGAAATTGACAGAGCATACAATTAACTAGCAACGCAAGCTCATACTTTCTCTGCTTGCCAATCGAAATATTCAACTGTTTTGCATCGACGGAATAATTCTACAAGAGGAAAGGAAATTTTTGCTCGAAAAGGATTCGGTCGAACTTCACGGGGCCAAATAATACTACACGGCGGGATATAAATACGTGAATACCGCCATTTACAACAACAAAAGTATTCAGTTAAAAAGTACGAATATATCTAATTGAAAACTGACTATTTCATCGAATGATCGACACAGACATACTCTGACGACGATTACTTCAATTCTCTCAACGCTAGATTTAATGAAAAAGGCCGGTATCAATTCGGTTAATATTTGGAAAACGAAATCAGGCCAGTCACCGTTCATCCATCGTACGCATGCGTCATTTACATCCACTAACGCTTTTCACATTCATAAAATAGAAAATGTGCTTGTCCAAGAAGAAGAACAACTATGTCACGTTTTTTTTTCACATTCTATTTGGTACCATTGCAATAAATGTCGAATGACAACGGCTCATAAGTCATAAAACCACAGTCAGCAGACATTTGCACCAAACTGACTAGGAGTGAACTATTAAACAACACCAAACTCACCTATTTGTTTGAATTGGTTGTAACTAAATGATGGGTATAAATATTTGACGTGTTGAAATGAAACATGCATGTCTTTCTTTTTTCTCTGCAAGCCTGAGAGAAATTATTTCACTACCTATACATCAGCTTTGACATCTTTTTCTTCCTCTTTTTATTTTCTTTTTATTACTCTCAGCTTCACACAAAAGAGAGTTTACCTAAAAGGAAAGAGAAAAAAATCGAAATATTGAGATTTTGCTCGTTAGAGGAACAGTACTTTAATTATGTTTTTCGAGAAGATGTGATTTTTTTTTACTTTTCCAAGGGAAACTTGTCCGTGATGTATATAGCTTCTGTCAATAGAATTCTGGACCCTGCCGTCAATAAGTGAGTGCCATGTGAACTGATCGATGTTGACTTGCCACTGATGAAATGTAAATAGGAGCGCAAATCTAATTCTTTTTTTTTTCAGATGATGACATAGAATTACAAAGTAAATAAAATTGTGTATTGATTACACGATGAATATGGTCGTGATGTTTTCATATTTAAGTAGTTTAATATAGATGAATGCAAACACAGTGAGAAAATCATAAAAATAAGAAGTCTGAAGTAGGCTATAGATGTGTTATTTATTGTTTTAGTCACATTGTATGGGATATAGAAAATCAATCGAATTGAAAATATCGAATAATGAGGTCGATTAATTCGTCATCATCGACGATTGGTCGAATTTTTGTGCCCTGAAAACCTATTTAAAGCACTGTTTATGATTTGCTTCATAAATGCTGAATTTAATTATCAACTTCGTCGATTTTAAGGACACAGATCATGACTGCATCATTCCCATTCTTTAGAAACTCTTCCCAAAAACGCTTGTCGCAATTGAGATGCTCCACTTAACAAGTAAACGACTGTTCGACTAGTATTTTCACAATTTATTGAAGGATTAACTAACCATCATTAAATGAATTTTCCTCATAGAATGAGCAACCGGCTGTAATTCGACATTTTAATCAATGTGTGAACACACAGAAAATGGCTGAATAGACACTATCTTGCCAATATCGAGAGCAAGCTCATTTGTCAATCATTCATGGATAATAAATAATAATAATAATAATACTCTGTTGCCTGAGTAACAAGACGCGTTTCTCAATTGTGCAAACACTCCTGACCGGATGTATAGGTTATATGCAATTCATTGCATCAATTCTGAATAGATTGATTTTAATTAGTTTTGTGACCTTGGGGGAATCTTTCATTTTAATTATCAATATCACATCAATAATATAATTGACTTCGACAATGTTAAGAAAAACAAAGGAAAATTGTCAATCAATCATCAACATATATTTACAAGATCTCGCCTTCGTTCTGTATCTTTACCATGTGTGATAACGATTAATTGTAAATAAGACACTTGTAGATCTATGTGTTGGAAGTAATGTCATGTTGGCATTGAAAGAGAAAAACAATTTCTCAAGGCTTTTGAAAAACAAAATAAGAATATTCATCATATTGCCGAACTCATATTCATTAACAAATATTACCTGGAGCAGAGATTTCTTACAGATGGGTAACTCACTTCATTGCCGTTTTGTAATGACGACATTTCCAGGTATGTTTCAATTAATTTCGATTGTCTTCGAGTTATTTTTAGTGATTTTATTATCACCGCACTGAAAAAGTTGTCAACTGCAAACCTGCAATAGTCGTCTTGTCAATCTAACCACCTAGCGTCATCTACAATAAAGTCGGGAGAATTCTTCATTTCAATCCAACATATTTATCTTTGAATCATTTCTTTCAAATCGATGACAAAAGAAGTTAAAAATCGAGTTGTTTTCTTGTTTGTTTATTACATCGAACTTCTAGCCAAACACCTGTGTATGTCAGCCGAGAGGTTCACAAACATATACTCAACATGGCCGATACCTGTACAATAAGCATGTATATATGTTTTGATCATTGACGAACAATATGAAAAGAAGAAGACTAACCTAGTCAAGTTCTTTTTTTTTCTTCTTTCCAATAATTCAATCGATTGAAATGTATTCTAGATTATGAGATCACTTTTCAAATGGGATAATCATGTGTTCTTAATATCAATATCCCATTTCTATTAGAAACATTCTCTATGATCTGGTGAACAGTTTAGTTTTGTTAGCAAGAAGACTTTTCAACTGCAAACAATACACAACACTCCACGAATTCTCTTCGAATATTACTCGCTGTACGGACAAACATGTCGACACCAACACAATATCCTCGAACAAATATTGTTAAACTTAATCAACCATCATCATCATCATCAACAACACGAGACAGTAATGCTGCTGATGGAGTAAGTTGTCTTTTCAATCGAAATTTTGATCGAATATTACATAGAATATGTCCATCAATTAGTAACGATAATGTGTTTTTTTCTTAGCTCCTATTAGATATGATGTAATATCGTATGATCGATCATTCTTTCACATGAATGTATACGCTGTTATACATTCGCTTCTTTTTTTTTCCTTGTTCATGCAATGAATGACATTTGTCATCAAATAGTTCGCAATTTGAATTTATTTTTCAGCATGTTGACTAGTTCAGTGCCATTTTGTACAGATCAGTAGACCATTCATTACTTATTTTGTGTCTTATAGTCTGACCGTTTAAGTGTTTCGTTCATGCGTATGTGCATAAAGAACATGAGAGAGAGACAGAGGAAAAAGTGGAAAAAGAGAATGTGTACAAGAGAAGAAAAGAAAAAAAAAGGGACAACTACACCTACTCCAAACTGAATGTATGTATAATGTGTTCGTCAACCTATTATTCGTAATTGACAAAAGAAAGATGACGCGAAGGGACCGAGAGAGAAAAAAAATACACATAATATAATTTTTTTTTCTCATTCATGTTTATTGATATACGGAAAAAGAAAATGAAACGTCGTATATATCTATCTGTCTGTTTTTATTTTCAAATGTCGACAACATTGTATGACGGAAGAAGAAAGAAAAAAATCCCAGATGACAGCATCTGAAAGGACACGGAAAAAAAGTCGAAGGAGAAATGATTTTACGTAAACGTGAATGTGTTTTGTTCATAAGATAGTTAGAAGATGTTTAACTATATTAAATATGTGACAAATCGTTTTTTTGTTCTTTCCTTCTCTAGAGATCTACCAATAACGATCATCACCATCATCATCATAATCATAACAATAATAATAACAATAGTACACCATCCACTGGACCTGCACCATCTTCGTCCACACGTTTACAATCAAGTAAAATGCGTGATCCTAACGAACCGCACATTGGCAAATATCGATTTGTCAAGGTAAACGATCAGCTTCTCTGTGAACGAGTTCGATGAGAGTTCGTATTCTATTTAGACCATTGGTAAAGGTAATTTTGCCAAAGTCAAATTAGCCAAACATATTCCAACAGGCCGAGAAGTAGCAATTAAAATAATCGACAAAGCTCAACTGAATCCCACATCTTTGCAAAAGGTTGGAATAGAAAAATCTGTTTTTTTCTTCGTTTATTCCTCGTCTTTTTCTCGTCTAGTTATTTCGAGAAGTCAAGATAATGAAAGGACTCGATCATCCAAATATTGGTAAGTAACGAGAAGATCTCCGATCCAAGTATTGTTCTTTCTGCTGTTCTAGTGAAACTTTTCGAAGTCATCGAAACGGAGAAAACATTGTATCTTGTCATGGAATATGCAAGTGGAGGTAATGCAAAAAAATTAAAAATATAAATCGTTTGAATAATTGATGTATTTGTACAGGTGAGGTGTTTGATTATCTTGTTGCACATGGACGCATGAAAGAAAAGGAAGCGCGATCAAAATTTCGACAGGTAAGTGAAGAGAATCAATCATCAAAGTTCTCACACTTCGAAATCATTATCAATATCCATTATTTGATTTTAATGGCTTCGATAAAACTAATGAAGCCGTAATGATTTGCTTCTTTGTAAACGAGAAGAAAAAGAATCCATTGCAAATCAACAGACCTTTAATTATACTGAAAAGCTTCTTCCACAAGTCATCACATTTCACTTTAGATCGTCTCTGCTGTACAATATCTCCATCAGAAGCATATTGTGCATCGAGATTTGAAAGTATGAACGTAATATTGATCGATTCGATCGAATGTCTGCTATTCATTTAGGCAGAAAATCTTCTACTCGATTCAGAATTGAATATTAAAATCGCAGATTTTGGTTTCAGCAATGAATTTACACCTGGAAATAAACTTGATACATTTTGTGGTAGTCCACCATATGCCGCACCGGAACTGTTTCAAGGAAAAAAATATGATGGACCGGAAGTCGACGTTTGGAGTTTAGGAGTCATTTTGTATACACTTGTCAGCGGTTCATTACCATTTGATGGACAAAATCTTAAAGTATGCATCGAATCTTGTTGCTCAACGTCTTGGAATTGGAAATGTGTTTTAGGAACTACGAGAACGCGTCTTACGTGGAAAGTATCGAATTCCATTCTACATGTCAACGGATTGTGAGACTTTATTGAAGAAATTTCTCGTTTTAAATCCAGCACGACGTGCTGCACTAGAAGTACAGTCGATCGAGCTCTTCCAATGTATTTACCAAGATTTTCTGTTTTTCTAGGCAATTATGAAAGATAAATGGATCAATATCAATTATGAGAATGACGAATTGAAACCATATGAAGAGCCAAGTCAAGATTTTAATGATAGCTATCGAATAGAAGCTATGATACGTGATAGTAATTTTGCACGAGAACAAGTCATTGAGTCATTAACTTCACGTAAATATGATGATATCATGGCATATTATCTTCTTCTTGCCGTTCGAACAAATGAAGTACGACGAAATGCACTGAAATTCATGATTCAATTTACTGATTTGTTTTTCAGAATGATAGTCCCGACGCTCAATTAGGTACAACGACAACGAACAACAGCAGCAGCAACAACAACAAAGGTGTCAGTGATGCATCGAATACATCATCAACTTTAGCATCGAAGATTGTCTCAGCCAGTACACGGCCAGCAACAGCAAACGATAAAGAAAATCTTCCATCTAATGATAAGCAACATCGACCAATGACTGCAGCAGTACCACCCTCTGGCAATGATCATTCGTTAATAAATGGGACAACAACTGGAACTAATGGTGTCAACACATCGTTATTAACATCATCGAGCATTGATACATCGACAGCTAACAATGGTCAGCATATGTCGCTGAAAACAAGTGCAAGCGGTGGTCCACCGGTCTCGTCAATGATCGCGTCGCATTCAGTATCGAACCGTACAAACGCAGTTGAGAAACTTCGCTCACAAACAGTTCGTTTACCTGGTACAGGTGTTCGTCGTCGTGAAACAATCGACCCTGTACCAGGTGGTGCATCGATGAGAAAAGTCGATACCAGCGACAAGTGTAAAACGCCAACAGGAGATGCGTAAGTATTCCTACGAGAGATATCGATTTTGTTTCTTTGCATGGTTGTTTGTCATTGTTTGCTTTGCTTATTAGTGCATTTTTTGAAAGTCGTATTCCACGTTTACCTCAAAGGTTTGTGTTTTATTCGATTTTTCTCTTCTCAACCACACTAACCGGTTGAAATCTCCCCTGGTTTTGTCTAGTTTTAATCGTAGCGGTATTGAACCGGCGCCATCGTCAGCTTCATCCACATCTTCTCAAGCACCACATCATTTGATGCGGTCGTCCGTACGTGAGAATCCCAAGTCAGCAAGTCTATCAGCACAACAACCGCAACACCATTTGCATAATACGCCCAAAATTCAAGAGAAACTCAAGTGTGTATTTCCTCGCTACGTAGTCAGAGCTATGAGATGTTCGAATAATTTTTCGCTCGAGGCTTTTTTTTTCTCTTTCGATTGTATCCGTAGTTAAGATATCCTCTTGTTTATGTTTTTGAAAATTTTCTTTGCAAATATCAGACATAGAAAAACATCAGCGGCTGTGCCATCATCGTCAATTATCAACACAGGTTCGATTCGAGTCTATTCGACTCAACATCAAGCACCTACCATCAAGTAAGAATCGATGCCACTATCAATCCATCAATATGACCAGCAAAGATTAAGATGAAGAGAGTTTTCTTTCTTTCTTTCTTTCTTTCTTTCTACTGTTGTTTACTTATTAAAAAAACTTACATGCCTATAACTAACATTCGTCATATTGCACGAACGCTGCTATTGCTTGTTTACTTGTGTTTCTATGTTTGATACTCACGGAGTGTGTTGACTTTTCGTCAATTAATTTTGTTTTTTTTCTCTATCTGTTTTCTATGTTATTNTTTCTGCACACATGAATATACGTACATATATATATTGAAATAATTTTCGCGTAATTTATTCTTCTTAACTTGACACGTTTTTATATCGCCTGAAAATAACAGTGTGTGCTCTTCTTTATTCTCTTTGTAACTAAAGTGAAATTGTTTCTTTTGACTTTCTCGATCTGTCTCTGTATTTGTTGGTTTCTCTTGCACATTCAATATTCATATTCGATCTGTTCGGTTTTTCATTTAACTCCAGCGCGCTCTCGAACTTCTCCTCAGAAAATCAGACTTGATTAACATATTGTCACATAGACGTGCACACATTGATGACACGCAATTAGTTATCTTTTGCTGCGTACGCATTCAGTTTGTTTCTTTTTGGTGTTCGTGCTTTCTTCCTCCTTTATTTACTTCTTACGCTTCGTTTTCTCTAGATATGTTCGATTCCACTGTGTGTTCTTCTTTGGTGTTTATCGTTCATATCTTTTTCTCTTGTCTTGCTCTTCAGTTTTCTTCTTTTTTCTTTTTGCTGTGTGTGCGCGCGCGCTGTCTCGAAGAATTTACATACATTAAACTCTGCATTCGGATGAATGCGTAAGAAAGATAATCTCAATGCAAAACTTTCAATTAGCATTTCCTAATGAATATAAGCTGATCAAGAGAGGATCTTCGTGTTTACTAAAGGTTTTGATAAGCATTGACGACTGATCATCGATGTTTTATTGAACTATTTGAAAAAGTCAGGCAGGTTCGCTTGTGCTTGTAACAAAGGAAAAGTTGTACTTACACTGATGGACGACATGCACGGCGTGCTTTCATTATATGTAAGAATGAATAGGCGGGAAATTTGAAATGATTTACATTCAAAAAGGACGTTCACAAGTACAGTTTACTTGGTGCGTTCTTTATTTCCATTGTTGTCTATGAATTTATATATTCTACTTTGTCACTCTTTAACCAGACATTTGGTTACATAGTCGTATCCAGGGTTAGGGCGTGAGGGTAAGTGAATAGATAAATGCATGTGATTTACATTTGATCGCCTGTGATTTTTTTAGTCTTTCGCTAGTTGTATTGCGTAGTTGAATCGGAGAAAGTTAATATTATGGCACCGGAGATGAATGGAAGACCCAAATCCACAAGTGTGAATATACCTGCCCAGGCTGTCAAAAATTTGACAGTCGAAGAAATGTACAATAAAGAAAAATATGATCTGTCGACGATGAAAGAAGGTGACGTTTTTAAAATGCTAGAGTATGTAATTCAACTCGATTCTTCCTTTTATTGATTGTACAATCTACTATTTTAGCACAAAAAAAGACGGTCTAAATGATGATCAGATCAAAGAACGTCTTGAAAAAGTAATTTGAGAATCTAATCCTATGATGTATCTTTTCGCTTTGATTTAGTTCGGACACAATCGCTTAGACGAGAAAACTCAAAATCCTATCATTCAGTTTCTTTTATTCATGTGGAATCCACTTTCATGGGTCATGGAAGCAGCTGCCATCGTTGCCATCGCTGTATCGAATGGCGGCGGTCGAGCACCAGATTGGGAAGATTTCGTCGGAATAATACTACTTCTTCTGGCCAACTCGATCATTGGATTTATTGAACAGCGTAATGCGGGTAGTGCAGTGAAATCCTTGATGAAATCTTTAGCACCAGAAGCAAAAGTCAAACGGAATGGTCAGTGGAAAGTTATTGACGCTGCTGAGCTCGTTCCGGGAGATATTATTGGCATTAAACTAGGTGATGTGATACCAGCTGACGGTCGACTGATTGGTGAGCGTTCTTGTTCGATAGTAAAGAGGAGCAACATTCATTAATGTTTGCGTAACTAGTCGAACAAGGCGATATTTCAATAGATCAAGCAGCGTTGACCGGAGAATCACTTCCTGTAGATAAAAAACATGGTGATGAAATTTTTTCTGGTTCAATCTGTAAACAAGGCGAAGGAGAAGCAGTGGGTCTGTACAATCAACCGATTTTCGTCACAAAGAAAGCTACTTCATATTTCAGTTATTGGCACGGGTGTCAACACATTCTTCGGTCGAGCAGCGAAATTAGTAGGTAATGCCAATGACGAAATTGGCCATCTACAAACAATTCTGGCTAAAATTGGTAACTTCTGTATTGCTGCAATCGGAATCTTTATCATTGCTGAAATCTTTGTGATGTAGTATGTAACAACATGCCTAGTTTTTTCCACATTTTCATCTTCATGTCTAGTGCTGGTTTTCACTACAGCTATCGGCGTGGCATTAACAACATCCTCGTACTACTGATTGGTGGCATTCCCATTGCCATGCCAACAGTTTTATCGGTTACATTAGCTATTGGTGCTAGACAATTGTCTGAGCATAAAGCGATTGTTACGCATGTCACAGCAATTGAAGAACTGGCTGCTGTGACCATCCTCTGTTCGGATAAAACTGGAACCTTAACTTTGAATAAACTTGTTGTGGATAAAGATACAATAAAAAAATATGCAGATATTGAAAGTGGTGAGATCATTCGTTATGCAGCTATTGCCTCTCGATTAGAACATCCAGATGCGATGTAGGTCAAGCAGAAAGTACCCATATTCCAGTTCTTATTCGTGTTTTTCGTTTTAGTGATGCGTGCATTATCTCAACATATGGTGATAAAGATAAAGTTCGTGATGGTATTCAAGAGTTGGACTTCAAACCGTACGAAAAGAACCGTTGTTACGAATACCAGATATTTACGTCATTTTTCATAGATTTAATCCAACTATTAAACGAACAGAGATCACCTATAAAGAAACGAAGGATGGAAGTGTACATCGAATTAGCAAAGGTATGTCACATACAATTCTTGATTTATGTACACGGGACAAAACGGATCAACAAATCAAACAATTAAACGCTGATGTTGATGAATTCGCCGGCCGTGGTTTACGAGCATTGGCAGTAGCCATTGAAGATGTTCCTAGTGGAGAAAAAGATGGAAAAGGAAATGGATTCAAATTAATCGGTCTGTTACCTATCTATGATCCACCACGTGAAGATACCAAAGAAACTATTCAACGCGCGTTAGAACTTGGCAAGTATCTTTTCTATATTCTAGTGCCTATTTTCATAACTTGAAATGAATAGGTGTCAAAGTTAAAATGTTAACTGGTGACCAATTAGCAATTGCTAAAGAAACTGGCCGACGTCTCGGCATGGGCGATAATATGTTTCTTTCTACTACGCTCAAAGAAGGACCTCCACCAGATTCTGGTTATCGAGATATTGACGATTTGGTTTTACATGCTGATGGTTTTGCTGGTGTATACCCTGAACACAAATACGAGATTGTTGATCGATTACAAAAGATGGGTCATATGATTGCAATGACTGGTGATGGAGTCAATGATGCACCGGCATTGTCAAAAGCTAACGTGGGCGTTGCCGTTGCAGATGCGTCCGATGCTGCGCGATCAGCAGCGGATATTGTACTAACAGAACCAGGTTTATCAGTCATTATCGATGGTAAATATAGCACTTAATAGTTTGTTTCATGTTTAACTTCAATCCTATTTGAAAGAGATATACAATTGTTCTTGTATTCTGATTTCTAGCTATTCTTGGCTCGAGACAAATCTTCCAACGTATGCGAAACTATGCTATCTACACATGTTCCATAACAATTCGTATTTTGGTCGGATTTTCTGTGCTGATCTTTGCTTACAAATTCGACTTTCCCTCATTTATGGTAATCAACTCATTTCAATTTCGATGATGTATCAACACATACACGCTCTCTAGATTCTGATTCTTGCTATTCTCAACGACGGTACAATCTTAACTATATCGAAAGATCGAGTAAAACCGTCTTCTTATCCAAACAGTTGGCATCTCTCGGAAATCTTCACATATGCGATCGTATATGGTGTCTATCTAGCAGCCTCAACGATTGCTTTCTTTGCAGTTGCAGTCGATACAACATTTTTTCAAGATAAATTCGGTGTTCAACACTTTCCATACAATTCACAATCAAATATCAATCCAGGTTACAATCATCCAGTCTTAAACTCGATTATCTATTTACAAGTGTCAACCATTAGTCAAGCATTGATCTTCATCACTCGTTCACATAGTTTCTTCTTTCTCGAACGTCCATCCATCGTCCTCGTCGGTGCTTTTCTCATTGCTCAACTGATTGCAACATTCATCGCTGTTTGGGCTAACTGGAATTTCACCCATATACACGGTTGTGGATGGACATGGGCAGCTATTGTTTGGATATGGAATATTATTTGGTTCTTCCCATTAGATCTTTTGAAAGTAAATTGTCACAGATCGAACAAGGAGATCGACAATCTGTATTTGAATTTAGTTCGCTCTTCGTGCATACTTCGATCGACAACATACACAAACCATGGCTGAAACGTTTGCCGCTCAACCGTCTACTGAAAATCAACGTCTTCGTCGACAAACTACGATCTCAAGTGATAACTTTGGTCCACCGTCACGCAGCTTCATAAGAAGAACTTCAATTCAAAGACCTTCAAGAAGAGAAACATTCGCACAAGCTACTGCTAGATATTACACACCCCACACTCAACATTTATCAATACATCATCATCGAAATTTTGCAAAAATGATGCATAATCAAGCCGATGAAAATCCACTATTCATGGTTGACAGCAACGAATTACAACGTTTTTCACTCGTACAGGTAAAATCCTTCTATATTTGAAATACAGCTATGTGAATTCTTTACATTCTAGGCACATCATGCTTCGAAACTGCTCAATAGAAACAATGGATATATAGCAACAACTAATGTCTAATACATAAAATGAACATTTAGAATTCTCTATCCCTCTGTACTTTTCTAGTTACGTCAAATAAATCTCAGTCAAGATATCTAGTACTAACTATCCAGCGATATTCTTTGCATTTCCTTATCATGCTCAGCAAATATTGATCATGTAATCGCTTTTTCCACGTCCTTCTATTGTCCAATGCTAGCTGATATTGGCGCAGTATGAATTATTGATGTACGCAGATGTTAGACGAGAACGACTCCAATTGACTGTTTCCGTAATTTTTCCTAAGAAAGCATGCACTGGTCAAGTGCATTATACTTTTTCTTTTCATCACGTTTTATGATTATTATGGGTTGTCATTACCTTTTTTACATGCTAACACAGGCTTCGAAATCGATCACTTAATCCCAATCTATATAGTTCAACAAAACGCGACGAACACTCTCGTCTCTCATTATGTGCATCATCTACGATATCAGTTACATTGTTCCCAGCACTTTACGTACAGACGATCTTAGAGTTGTTGTTGCATCACCCTATTCTCTTAGTCAGACTTAACATTATTTGTTCTATAGCTATGTGTGATTGTATAATCTTATTTCATGTGACAAATGAGAAAGAATGTTTATAACATCTGAACACATGTCCAGACACGTGTGTGTTCATAAGTCTTAACATAGTGGCTGAAAGGAACGAAAAAGAAAGATTTTTACATGTAGAGTCGGCACGTTCAACAACAGCGCACACTGCTCGAACCATCACCGACATATTCAAGCTGACTGTTGTTGGTAAAAGGTAATCAGGAATGAACGGCACGCGTCTTTCCGACCGTCGTGCTAATAGCGTTCGAAACTAGAAATTTCTGCATGCCGTGTCTTATCACACGTTTTGTTTACAGACAATCAATTCAATCACAAATAATAACGTAGATAATTATATTCTATTACGCCATTACATAACTCGTGCACATATTTCTAACTTCATCCTTGTCGTTTATCTACGTCTTTGTTAAATATCAGGTCTACATGAAAAACTTTACCACTGAAGCATGCTTTTAGCGCATATTCTCTTGTCAAAGCACACAGATGAGAAACTTTCATAGAAGAAGAAAAACACCTTATTATTTGCTAACGAATGCCCTCGTCTATATTGTTTTTTTTCATATGACACATGTACTTATGGTTGAAAAGTATAAAATCTTGTCTAAGCATGATGTATTAATTGCACATTGATAGACTTGTTTAACTCGAGAGTCACGCCGTGTACTGCTTATGGCAGGTGCGCTTGAAAAGTGCATGTTTTTCTCTTTCTGTTCCTGTTCTCGATTATTCAAGACGGTAACTAGCTTTCTGTATTGGCAACACACCGATAATATTCTGTATATAAATGTTTATTTCCACTTTCATGAAAAAAGCGAGTTGAGCAACGAGAATATTTCCAAAACAGATCTAGTGGTATCTTCATAACGTAATATTGATCAAAATATGTTTTTCGTAACACGAAACGATGAGCGAATAGGTAGATAATTAATTAGCGCGAAACAAAATTATACGATGCCCAATACCTCCCTGCGTGAATCAACCCCCTTTATCTTCGTCATATGACATTCGGGGAGTTGCTGTCTATAGAACACCTGACTAATGGGAAGTCACATGATTGAGAAAAATGACATTTCTTCTCTTCCTCGTTTTCCCCATCGATATGTAAGTCTTTAAAAGTACAGCAGAAATTGTCAAAAAAGGTAAAGCAAACGACAAAATAGTCTCACGTCTCACAGTCTCGTCTTCTTTCTTTTCTTAAATGACATCATCACCATAATAATAATAATCAGACTTTCAAGATGACGTTCTTGCTTTAATCGGTATGTCTAACTTGTTTATATAGCAAACTGACTCATGAAAAGATAAGATTCTAGTGTATGTGCTGATAATAACATATTCATGTAAATCAAACAAATGATCTGATTCAGGTTAACAGAGTCGAACTTTGATTTTTATTCTTTGCTCTCTAAACACATGCAGGTGAGATAAGCAAAAGTAAAATGAGACAAGCAGAGAGTGAGAGTAAAACATATAATCACTAACTAATAATCACCTGTAAAATTGCATACATACCTATTCGTAGTTACATGAAAAACAGACAGAAGCAGTAGATAAGAGTAAAGTTATGCCACGACATACCCGACCTCTCCTTTTTTTTCTATCTGTTTTGATTAGCATTTCGCAGTTATTTTCGTCAGGAACATTTTAGCAGTTTAGTCTTTGCATAGCAGCCTGCGGACTAGAAAGAATGTGTTAATAAGTAGGTCCATTTATCCTTCTCGAAATAATTCGACTTTGAACTGATCTATATTTTGTCTATGTGGGGAATTTTTAGATCTATTTGCAATTCCAATATCATAAACTATTCTATTATTCTGTTTCACATTCGTGTCTGTGTACATATATATACATCATCATCAAAAGAAATCTTCAGAACAAACCAATCATGGGATTACTTCGATTTTTCAAAAGCAAATCCAGTTTATGTTTAAGTGACATGGTCACTAATAATGCATCATTAGGTAAGAAGATATGATTTCTAGACAGAGATAACTTTTTATCTGACTATTCAGGACTTTTTTTATTGTGTCCCTAAGGTAAATAGTATCTCGACGTCATATCTTAATGTTAGTCTAACGCAAGAAGAAGAAAGCAGATAGATATTGAATGAAAGTCAAGTTTTCTCGTTGCTTTTTCTCGAGTAGAAAAAACGACGTTTTTTCGTTTGTTTTTCGCCTGTCAAAAACTTTTCTCGACGTCGACGGCAGTCATGACTACTCGATCGATCACTGATAAACAATCATTTCTGTATCGAGAACAAACCGCCGCCCGTATAGAGAAAAACAAAAAACAATAGTTGCGCATCATCGATCATCATATTTATTTTGTCAATGACACAGGCAATGCTTGCAGGCGAGATCAACGATGTTCATCATCAGCTTTCAGTATCTCTGACAAATAGATTACCCTATTATATAAGACAATCGTGCAAATCGACTTCGGAAATGGTGCTTGCGAAATCAAGTGAGTTTGACTTTTGACATGATGATTTCACTTTCATGTACCACCTGCATGATCACTGATGATTGGTGGTTATTACCGGTTTGTTTAGTCGCTAATCCCTTCTCTAATTTTCTCGATCGAGAATCGACTAGTTCTGTCTATTGGTATGTTTACATAGACAACATCTGTTTCTTTTGTATGCGTTCGTCTATCGTTGCTGTGTATAGTTTATCATAGCAGCCAACATCATCGCCACAACATGACAACTGAATAAATTCCTTTTGAAAAAAAGCAGCAAACTGTTATTTCAATTTTTTGCTTCGTGTTCTTTCAGTTCGTTTTTTTTTCTCTCTTTCTATTCTCGCTATTCATCCTTGAATCTCTCTCATCGATTGATCGTTTAGTCGCAATGCATATACCAAGGTTTTACGGCTAATTACACATTTTCCCGTCTCTTACTCTTGTGTTCGATCCGTTGCTTAAATAGATCACATATTGAACAGCAAGGTTGTTGTATATCCGAATAGTACAGTAAAGAACACGATGTTGGCGACACTACAAGGTCCTGACAGTTATAGTAAAAGTCAATAAAAGCGAGTCATCAAACACAGATAGATAGAAAGAAATAAAGAAATTTTTTGTTTTTTGTTGTTATACCCCGAGATATGTCCTGACAAGGCCGTTCTCTTCTTTTTCTTCTTCTTTTTCTATTTCATTGTTGATAATAGAAAAGCAAATTGAATTAATCTGCTTGTTTGAACACATACGCCAAAGTCTCGACGACCTTGCTTTGAGAACCATGCACTTTAGAGAAAACGATGGAAAAGAATGACTGAAACATATGATTTCTTTTTTCCTCGTCATTTTACATTAGTTACGAGTTACCGTCGTCAAAACCGTATGCTACGACGCGTGGGCTGAGCATGCATGTTTATTCGATACAGCTTCGACCGCAAACTTCTTTTTTGTTTCTTCTTCTTTCATTAATGAAGAAACTGTTCTCTTTCTTTCTTTTTTATCCTTTTCGTCGTTGCCTCATATGATAGCTTTTTCTTCCTTGAATATTTTCTTTCTTTTTCTTGCTAGTATACAATTCTTTCTCTCTCCCTCTCTCTTTTGTGGTTAACGGCATCGTCCATCAATACACTCGTTTGCTCAACCAGTAAATATCGAGAAATGAATCGTTTTTTGACACTTCTTTCTTTTCTTTTTCTTCTTCTCTCGTTTTTTTTGTTCTGCATTACGTAACATTAACTAGAAAGTATGTGACAGATTGCAGTGCGTGTACCCATGTAACGAAGGAACCTTGAACGTATATGCACTCTACGAGTATTGGATGAGAAGAGAAAAAAAACGTAAAGAGAAGAGAGAAGGAGACAGCAGAAGTGTCAAGACAGGAGAAAAATAGTGTATCCCGGACAGCTTCGACTGTAGACGGACGAGTACGTATTCGTTTCAGCTGTCGAACGAGTGAGTGTGTTTATTCATATAAAATGGGTTAGTGCAAAGGAAAGAGAAGGGGAAGAAGAAGAGAGGAGAAGAAAAAATTCGGTGAAGTGTTGTCGCGTATATACATATGCTTTCGCTGGACATCGACCGGCCAGTTACAGAAAGAAAGAAAGAAAGAAAGAAGGAGAGAGAGAAAATAGCTGATTGTACATTGCTTCTAAACGGTCAAACCAAGCAAACAGAACAAGCGCATGTAGACGTGTGGTGTTCAGCTGGATATAGTTTTTTCTTAAAGTTTTCAATCAATTGCAAATCATTCAAATTCTGTTCGTTTTTTTTAGAAGATCACAATAACAAACTATCTGAAGTTGACTCATCATCAACATCATCATCATCGTCTTCGTCGTCATCGTCCTTGCACACTAATGAAGATCATGGCAATAATAGTGTAGCTGTTTTTTCCCTTTCCTCATCATCATCAACATCATCCTTAACCGAATTTATCGAACCATCATCATTCATGTCAACACGTATTCTACCTGCCGGAATTTATCGTGATCAAGAACAACCACCATCGTCGTCGTCGTCCAATTCCACTGAACAAAAGTCTTCAGCATCCCTGACGACACGTTTCAATGCGTATCGTCCATATGAAAATAATCAACTACAATTTCCATCCAGTTGTTCCAATACATCTTCGTCATCGTCGTCATCATCACTATCATTAACCACAAAGAAAGATTTTCTAATAAACCACACGCGTACACAAAATGAACAAACTACAAATTCAAGTCCTACAGCGTCGATGCTTTTAAAAACACCGAACTATTCTCCAACTGTGGATGCATTATCAATCGAACAAGTTCTCTTCAACATGGTACGATTCGATGTGATTAAATCGAATTTTGGTGACTATTATCAATTGGGTGAATTTATCCGAAGTGGAGGATTTTCCGATATCTACGAAGGCACTCGTTTGAGTGACAATAAACCAGTTGTAGTCAAGTTTATTCCAAAAGAGAAAACAAAAAATTGGTTGATGATTAGTCAGAAAAAGTATCCAGCGGAAGTTTTACTACATAAAGCCGTGCATGAAATACAAGGTAGAGTATTTCTCGATATGTTTTCGGTTGGCACACATCTTTATTCATCTTTGCTAGGTATTATTCATGTGTATGATTATTTTGAGAATGCTCAACACTGGATATTAGTCATGGAACGTTTACGTAATTGTCAAGATCTATTCGATTTTCTCGAGTCGACTGAGAGTGGCCATTTAAGCGAAGCAACAGCGCGAAAATTCTTTCAACAATTAGTGCATATCAATCTAGCCATGCTACGGTAAGATTCAAGCATAAACAAATAGCTGCCACGCTGTCGACGATACAAATCAGAGTGCGAGAGAAAGTAGATATGCATCAGACCCAGATCAGAGACACTACTGCGATCAAGTACTGTTTAGACTATCCCAAGGTTCATTGAAATTGATGATGATATAGAACTAAATTGCTGGAAAGGAACCCTCGAAGGTACAACAGATGTTCACATCGATGAAGAACAAATTTTGTCAAGTATGCCAGCTGTAATGAGGAAAGTATTGCAAAAGAGATAAATCATACCAGCCCTGCAGTGATTAAACGTGAAAGTAACTCGAAGCAATCATGTGAATTTTGAAATGAATGACTAGAAAATTTTAATATCATACTAATAAAAAAGACACAAGATGGTTACATATGTGAAGTGTTCGTCGCAGCTGTTCGTTCTTCTTGTATAATGATTGATGAAAAGACTTGATTACATCATTGATACTAATAGATCTCTATTTGTCTTTATTTAGAAAGGGCGTTGTACATCGTGATCTCAAAAGTGAAAACATTTTAGTTGATCTGGAATCCGAATCACTCGTGTTGATCGATTTTGGTGCCAGTGCCATTTGTAAATCCTCAACATCCTATTATTCAGATTTCCATGGCACAAAACAGTATAAATCGCCTGAATACATCACGAAAAAGCGTTATGCAGGTATTCCATCGACCGTATGGACACTCGGTGTGCTGCTGTATGATATGGTAAGTCGAAAACTCGGTTCGTTTCGTTTGATTTGTGTTGGTTTTAGGTTTGTGGTAGTCTACCATTTGAAAGTGAAGAGGATATCACTGGTCACAAGTTAGTTCTCAAACCACATATGTCAGCTTCATTGAAAAATCTAATTCAACGTTGTCTCGCCCAAAATCCTGACCGACGCCCGTCATTTGAATCCTTACTGGAGCATGCTTGGGTTAAAGATTAATGTTCCTATTCAACAAAAAGACAAATATCGATATTTGTGTGTACAAACGTCTCGCAATTTTTCCTCTTTCTTTCGTTTGTTCTTTAATAATCAACAGTGAGTTTGTGTGTTTTTTAAACGAGAAATAAGAGAAAATCCCTCCTATCTATCTCTTCTTCACTGTGGTTGTAGTCGTGTTTCGCTCCTTCCCTTTCTTTCTCTACCCGCATATATTTTTTCCAAAAGTGGGTGGTGCTCGATCCCCTCTCGTAGATTTATCAGGAAATCTTTCTTATTGCTTCCAATCTAGGCAAATTTCTGTACGGTCTCAGTGATACCTGAACGTGCGCAGGTCATGTATATCTCTCATGTGTTTTCTTTTCTTTTCTTTCTTTGTGCATGAGTTAGACTGTAGTAGATTAGACGAATGTGCGTTTGTCCATTCATTCATATTCTTTCGTTTTTCTTTTGAACATATATCGAAACAAAAAAAAACGCTGCACTTCTTGTTTTCTTTTTTTTCTCTCTTCTCTTTGAAATCAAATGTCTGATAATTCTTTTGCACACGAAAAAAACAAACAAACTTACATGTATCTTGTCCTATTGTTTTTGTTTTTCTTCTGCTGCTTCTGTGACGAAAAGAAAAGAAGATGGAGGGTGAGAGTTGTCAAATTTGTTTAAAGAAGAATATTAACATGTATGTTTATGTGTGAAAATAAAACTTGTCTTGCTTTTTTTTCCTTCTCTTTGACCTGTGTCGTCTTTATTGATGATCAGTTGTACACTCGTGTCTAGCTTTCGAAAAACAAAATCATAAGCAAATAATGAAATTTGGTTTTCCTTTCTTCTCTCTGTTCCTTTCGATTAACATTTGTCTTCAATCGATTCTGATGAATAAAAGAAACAAATCATGTAGTTATACTCGAATCGCTCCTCTTCTGTTTGATTGCCGAAGTTAATTAGAATCATTTCCGTATCCACGACGGAAATCAAATTTGTATCTTTGTTTTCATTACTAATGTGCACCGTTGATTGACATCAATTAGGAGAGAAATAGCTCAATACGAAATTTGGTTGTGTAATTGTACTAGACTTTGAGATGAAATGCGCATATCTGTGATATTGAATAATTTTTGACAGCGGGCATAGCTCATCGTTCAAATTCAGGTACTCATCGCTCGGTCGTTCGTAGATTGATTTCAAAGCTATGAAAGTTAATAGAGCATATTCTAATTGAACCCGAGAAGATAGAAAAAATGATAAACAAATAGAACGATAAATATCAGTTTCGATCGATATCTGGTTTTGGTCTGTACCCTTGGTTCATATCTACATTCATTTTCAATTAAGATGATTATCACGAGATTTAAAACAATGGGAGATTTCACTTGTCTCAAACTATTTGATTTTGTTGAACAGTGCTTCGCACATACTTTCAAAGACACGAACTGATGGCAAATTATTCCTTTGCTGCATACGACAAGAAAAAAAAACGTCAAGGGTATATCGATCGACCGAAGGTAAGGATTCATTTCTCTCGTTTTTTTTCCTTTCAAATAATTATGAATTCATCGAATTCTGAAAGCATAAAGCGTGACGCCGAGTCATCAGGGTGCGCTTTTATGGTGTACTAGAGAGACAAACTGACAAGTGCAGGGCTGAGAGGAAAAAAGGTACGTTTGTCCTGTTTTTTTTTTGCACATACATATATATGTATTGCATTGCACGAAAAAGAATGAAAAAAAAACGCAAAAAAAACTGTATTGTTGATTATGGAGGAAACAGAATCGATTGACGACATTATTCATTTGAGAAAAAGACATAACTATTTGTTGAATGTGTGTTTATTTTATATCTTATCGAACCTACTAGAACAAAATGGCAACATGCTACGACGCTGACAGTGCCAAATATGAGTACTGTGCTTCTCATCTCTCAACTTACGTGTAAGACATGTCAGAAGCATTTCGCTGAAGAAAAAAAATGTCATTTCTGCTTCTTCATTGAATTGTTTTAGTGCTGTAGGAATCATTATACCATTAGCTATTTTATTTATCATCGCACTCGTCTATTTCTATCTTCGATGCCGACAAAAACAATTACGACGAGGTGAGCAGTAATAACTTGAAAATGTTCGAAATTTCATTTTGTTCTTTCTAGCACAACAACAAACGTATATGGCAACTATTATTCCGATTTATAATAGCGATCAGATACCTCCGGGAACGTATGATTATTCGTATCCGCCTCGATACACTTCAATGATATCGAATAGTTCGGATAAACCACCGTCCTATGAACAAACCATGCAGGAAACAATAGAAACGAATGCGGATGAAACTACTGCGGACCGTTCGGCAGCTGTGACCAGTTCCTCATCGTCGGCGGATGCAACTACTAGAAATCAATCATGATAATCAAACCCTAGTTGGAATAGTTCATTTTCTGTATTTTCATATATAAATTGCGTACGAGCGACATCTATACGAAAAGTTTCTTGTTTGTTTTGAGATTAAATTGACTCAAGTTGATGTTGACATCAATGCCTGTCTGAATATATGCGAATTATTGTCTAGTTTCAAGTCTTTTTTCTTGACAGAGGTCGTTCCATTCTTTACCAAGAAGTAACTTCTTAACAAATCCATCTTTGAGAGAAAAAGAAGAAAAGTAAATAAACAAACAAGGCTTCCGTCTGTTCACTTTCCTGTACAATCTATTTTCCTATTAGTGCAAAATATTGTTACTATTCGCTAGTTTCGACAAAATTTACTAGCAGCGTTCGTGGATTTTTCTCGATGTCGACAGAAGGTTATGACGTTGTATTATATAATCTAACGTTGTATTCTAGATAGTATCTCTTTTTCATTAATCATTAAGCAAATCAAAGAGAAAAAAAGAACATCGTCAGTGATTGTCAACTGCATGTATTAGTGTATCTTGGTACTCAGAAACATCACCTTTTTCCTACTGTTATTATCGTCTCCAACAGGCGTTTGATCTGATTGAAAATACATAGATCTATTTCGAAGAAGCACAAATGAACGATCTCAGCGTTGAAGTGGGACATCCTAACGGTGCCTACTACAAAGTAAATCATTTGATATTATCAATAGCAAGCCAAGACTTTTTACTTTAGGCACATGTTCATGATGTGGATACAATCGGTATTGATGTTAAATATGATCAAGAGTAAGTTTCAATGCCATTTGATTAGATAATTCTCATTCGATCGATTTTGATTTCGTAGTTTTCTCCCTCCAACAAAAGTTCCCTTTTCTGATAATCGCGTCCGACTACCACCAGAACCAAGTGATCTAAAAAAACTAGCACCTGGCGATGCATGTGAAGTATGATATATCGCACATTAGGTTATGATGGTTTCATTTCATTCTCTTTCTCCATTAGGTTCTCGCAAAAGCCAAAGAAGACGAGCCACTCGGCTGGTGGCCGGCAACTGCAAAAATGTTCAGAGGCGAATTTTTTGTTGTTGATTATAAAGGCAGTGCTCAAGGCTCTGTTTATTCGGACATCGTACCGAGTGATAGAATTCGCTATCCAAATACAAAGTAAAACTGATTTCTTCTTCGAACAGCTACGCGGAAACTTTGCTTTCATTATTAATTAGTCCACCGATCACTTATTCAATGTTTAAACGGATAGAACTACCTGTTCCCAAAGAGAGTCAAGAAGCGTAAGCAGGATTCGATTTTTTATTCAGACAAAAAAGCAACTATGGCTATGCATTTTTAGATGTAATAATCCAGCAAATCACAAAGATTTCAAGAAAACATCGGGTGCTGCAATTGTTCGATATGATAAAGCAAAAGAATGTCTTGTTGTTATCGTATGTCGAATGTCATTGTTGACTTTGTCCATGCATAATTCGAATTTTGACCTTCTAGTCTGACAATGACAGTACAATTCGCCGTGCTCAAATATTATCCGAAATGCATTTTCGAAATTTACGTTCAAAAGCCAAACTTGTTCAAGAAACAGAAAAAGTTTCGAAACAACTTGAAGTAAGATCGATATGACCGTACGTAACTAGCTCTATTGAAGAGATGTTCTCTCTTTTATAGCGAATCAAGGTCAATCAAACATCCAAATTTTTCGAAAAATTCACTGTCAAAACCGAACTAATGGGTCTTGCTATTGGTTCACATGGATCAAACATTGCTAAAGCACGTGAAGTACCTGGCGTCACAGCTATTGAAGTTGAGGATGAAACTTGTACGATTAAAGTGTTTGGTGATGTAAGATCTGGACCAGTCGTGGAGTTTTCTTTCATTATTGAAAATGATCTGCATTTTTGTAGACGGACAAAGCTGTAAAAGAAGCGCGTAGTATACTCGAGTATACTGAAGATGCTGTGTCAATTCCGCGAGAACTGATAGGTAAGTGCAGGAATTGTAAAGATAAGAACATTTCTGGATTGATTGGCAAATTTAGGCAAAGTTATTGGTAAAAAAGGTCATATCATTCAAGAAATAGTGGATAGAAGCGGAGTAGTGCGTGTTAAAATTGAAGGAGATAATGAACAACCAACAGCACATGATGAAAGCAATTATCCTGTAAGTTAAAGTATATTCTTCAAATATTTGCGCAAATTCTTGATTGTTCTCTAGAGTCAAGTGCCCTTTATCTTTGTCGGTACAGCGGAAAGCATCGCCAATGCAAAAGTTTTACTCGAATACCATTTAGCTTCTCTAAAAGTACGTTTTTGTGCAGAAGATGCTTTGGTGTGATAAGAAGGTGTTGTTCTCTAAAGGAATTCGACGAATTGCAAGAAAAGAAGATCCAAGTGAATGAACAATTTCGTACAATCGTTGGTCCACAGCAAGGCACTTCGATGAACATAACAGCGGGAATGGGCTATCAAGGTGGTCGACCGCAACGGTATGAGTCAATTCATTTAGTTTTTCGAGACAACAGTACAAAATAGAGATTGAATCTGTTATTTTAGTTATGAGTCCGATCGAATGAGTAATTCTGGTAGTACACGAAGTTTCCGTGACACTAATTATCAACAGCAATCCTACCCTCAACAACAACAGCGTGGTGATAATTACAACAATCAACAATCTCGTCGATCAAATAACTTCGGCGGAGGTAGTGCTAATCGCGGACGTCGTGGTGCTGGTGGTAATTTATATCGTGGTGGCACACAAAGTGATGCTGGCACTGGTGGTAAGTGTTAGTCTGAGCGAGTTTCTTGTTCTTTTTTTGAAACGAGAAAAATTCATTGTCTCATACGAGAAACACAAGGATGATCATATTTATCTTCGCAGACGAAGCTAGTGAGTGTGGCGATGCAGCATCATCGACGGTTGGTACCGGTCGAAAATTTCGTGACTGGGCAGCACAGGTCGAAAGTGAACAACAACAAGAGGCTGGCTACAGCACTGACAGTATGATACATTCAGCTACGCTACCCAGAGGTGCTGGTGGACGAGGTGGTCGACGCGGCTGGCAACGTGGTCGACCACCACTACCTAACCGCCAAGGTGTGCATATAACAATGAATGCTTTCTTTAATTTCTCTTTTGCTCCATGCATATATAACAAGATGATCGGCTCGCATGCATCTAAACGAACGCATTCTATTTTTATAATAACAGACGCATGTTTGCTGTGACTAACTGATGAAACTAATGTTGAATATCTACTACGAACTGCTTTCTTCGTAGGTTATAATGATCGTCGTCGAAACAATGATGCTGAAGGCACAACCTATGATGTTCAGGAAACCAATGGTATGTGAAAAATTCCATATATGAAAATCTTTACTAATTTTCTCATTTAGAAGGTCAACAACAGTATAATGATCAGTATTCAACGCAACGCTATCGATATGGTAATTCTCGTGGCAATCGTGGTGGTAACAATTATCGATATAATAACAATAATATGAATAATAATCAACATGAATATTACGAAGAGAATTACGGTATTGGTGGACAATCGCACCAGATGTCATCGAAGAAATCTCAACAAACATCCTCCAACAATGGAACAGAGTCCAACGATGTGTCCGCATCCGACTCGATAAACGGTAGCGGACCTAAAGAGCAACGGCCACCCAAACAACATACCAATGGTGTCAAATAAAGTGTTCTACAGACTAGGAAATATTGATGAAAAAACAATCCACATATTTGATTTTTTATTCTCGTCGCCTAATATATTACATATATATTTGTGTGCGCATGTGTGTATTTTTTCTTCATGGTTGCTGCTTTCTCATGTTTTTGTACATGCTTTTATTCGTCTGCTTGATTTCATCGTTTTAAACGGAGTAAACATAATGACTAAATCAACATCTGTCTTCCAGCAACCAGATTAATCGACACAGAGCAAATTTACTCGTGCTCCTTCTTGTGATCCTTACCCTTTGACGTGTACGTTTCTTATGTTCTCTTTCGTTTCAAAATCTAGCTCGTTTTCGTTTCTTTTATGACTGATGATGTTAATCACGTGTGAATCTTTGTCTCTCTCGCTCTATATCTTTCTCTCTGTCCCATGTCCTGCATCAGCGAACAACACACATCGTCACATACATGAGAATCATAAAATCTTCTTTCGTTGTACTTCTTTACTTTCTTGCGTTTTCTCTCTTTCTTTCATTGCACTTTTTTCCTTCTTTTTTGCTAAAAAAACAAGTATTAAAGAAAAACGAGATGGTGACAACAAGTTATGTTCATCTAGACGAATGTTGATACACAGTCTATCTTTGATTGAATATAATGGAATTCCTCTGATGAATCAATGATATGCGAATGTTGTCTTATACTCAAATGCCATGTCTGGAGATTCACGTGACTTAAACTCAATGAAGAATAACAGCGAGAGGAAAGAGAGAGGGAGATAATATGAATCTAGTTTCTTTTTACTGTAGCAAAGAGAAGAACGAGTGGCAGCATGTAGAACACAATACTCAAACCATTTCTCTAGACTAAATATTTTCAAATCGATGTAGTCTCGTGAGTATATAAAAGGAGAACAACGATTCTCATCTATTTTCATTGTAACTCATCAGCCAATAATATCATACACGTGCCATCTTCGAATATTATATCATCACGACATAGCTATGAGTTTGAATGGAGGTGATCCTCGTACATATAAAAGTAAGTATACAGTCAGTATCTGGTAAATCTTTTAACCTTGAATTTATTTCCATAGAAATGTCCGATCATAGCGCGAACGATACTGTTAAGAATGACTACCAGCAAGAAACGTCTTTGACATCAACTACTGCGAACACAAATGATTCTGCTCATCGAATAAATACTTTCTCGTCATCGAGTACAACTGAAACATCTAATCAATCTGTAAATGATCAGAAAAGGTCATTCTCATAGATCATTTTGAATCCGCACCGTGATTTGATTCGTTCATAACTAAATCATGTCTACTTGTTGTTTTTTTTTGCAATATTCATTCAAAATACATTTATTACCAATCGAATCCACGAAGATATATAATATCATTTCTCATTTTTCACTAATCAATAATCCTCTGCAATTGAGAATGTTGTTTAGAATATTTGCAGGCATTTTCGCCTACGGCTGAATATTTGCTGATTTTGTGCCGTTTACTATTCATCGTGAAACAGTTGAGAACAGTTCAGATATAATTCTTCCAACATACCTTATATTGAAACAGTTCTGCATGACATCTTCATACTGTTTATTTAAACGATTCCGCACGAAATTTTGTTCATATCTGCCTATTAAAGTACGAAAACAAATCTATTTTCATTAAGATTAATAATACGTTTGGCCTGAGAAAAATCTTCATCTTATGATAAAAATAGACTGCATAGCGAGACATAATGCTATGTGTTTTCAAGATTGCTTTTCTGACGGCTACCATTGTACGTGAGTAGATAGTGCAAATGCGAGAGACATTCACAGTAAATTCAGTTTTCTCTAAAGATCTTTTTAGTTACGATTCTATGTACCGTGAATGCCATGTATCTTCGATAGCGCTTTGTTTTCTCAACTGATGAATCATCTAGCTACAAGAAGAGCACATTCTAACAGATCTTCTTGAGTATAACCGAATACAAAAGCTCCTTTTAAGGCAAACGGTGAATATACCCACGTATTGAATATCTCCATATTTTGTTTCGCCTTTCGCAAAGATCTCCGGATGGTCAATGCCGAGGCGGGTCACTAAATTTTCGTTTGTCATTTATTCTTTCTGATACAACATAGAGGACGTTTTTCGAATGACATCACGCAGCTGAGTGTATTTTGCACTTCTGGTATGTCTCACATATCCAACCATACTCAACAATACGTCTGAATAAATTTTATGGAGTACTCGCCATTAGGAAAGGAAAGATTTTCATAAATTAACAAGGATTACTGTTTGAAATTCTTTTCTTCTGGTTGTTATTTTTATTATACTCTTTTTTTTTTGTTGTTTTTAATCTTTCCTAACGATGATGAATAACAAGATCAAAAACAATAAAACTCTCATCGTTGATTTTAAGCTTTCTTTTTCGATACACCGACAGTACGACCACGTCGACCGGTTGTTTTTGTATGTTGACCACGTACACGTAAGTTCCAGTAGTGACGGAGACCACGATGGACACGAATCTTCTTCATACGTTCTAAATCGTCACGAACTTTGGTATCAAGATTGTTGGATGTCACTTGTGAATATTTGCCATCTTTGATATCTTTTTGACGATTGAGAAACCAGTCAGGGATTTTATATTGTCTTGGATTACCAATAATGGTGATGACGCGTTCGACTTCTTCTTCAGTCAATTCACCAGCACGTTTAGTTGCATCGACATCGGCCTTACGTATAACAACATGAGCAAAACGACGACCAACACCTTTGATAGCTGTTAAAGCATAACCAACTTTACGACGACCATCTATGTTCGTGTTGAGCACACGAAGAATATGTTGAAATTTTTCTGGTTGAATTAATGGTGACGACATGTCGTATGGAGATATTGAAAAATCTGAAATTTCAAAGAAAAGATAGTTCGGTTAAACGAGAGCGTTACAATACGAGAAAAACTTGGAATTCAAACGAGTGAAGGAATCAATGGACGAACGACGATAGGTGGAAAAAATAAACAAGTAAACACGAACATACAATGTTAACATCGAGTATTTGTGTAAAATCTTTCGTTTATTGTTCATTAGAGAAAAATTGATCGTATAATTGACTAGTATAAGTTTTCTAGAAAAAAAATTCCAGCATCGAAGTGCATTAATAGTTAGCTTGATTGAATAGAGGTATTGCTATAGAACAGCGAATACCAATGGCCGAGTAAACTATGTAAATGTTATTCTCTTACCATTTCTATCGAGTCCTGTCGTCGAGTATGAAAGTACTTGATAGGAGACGAGAGCACACACTAGAGAGCGAGCGCAATAACATTAGTTATTAGCATTTGATGAATATCTAATGTAGGCACATAAAACAAGATTGAAAATTTATCGAGTATTTCTCCGACACACGTTCGTAAATTTTTCATTGTTTTTTGCAAGAATAATTTTAAAAAATTAAGTATAAAACAATGGGTCGTTTCAGATAAATCAAATCTGAATATGCCTCTTTCGTATACGAAATCGTCTCAGTTGATTTCTGTTAAATGGAGTGCTTCCCATTTTCCGAATAATCTCACTGTCCTACGTTCTGCGAAATCACGAATGGCGACGTACGGCGTTTCGCATAAAAGTGGCTTTGCTATGGTAGGTTGACAAAATGTCAAGTTAACATTGATATTAAGATAGTTGTATTTAAGGTGACAGTTTCTGAAGACGGAAAAAAACAAATTCACGGGCAGGTTATCACTCGAGCAATAGGCACTAATAATACGCCTGCAGCAGACAATGATGCTCGATATATTGCTCATGTTGTACAAGTAAGATTTTGTTGGTTTAACTGATTCTGTCACAAAGAGTCGTTGTAGGCAGCATTTATCAGTCTACCAGTTCGAAGTATATTGGTTTTGGCTTGTACAAAAAGTATTCAAGTAAGACTTTCAAAGAGCGTATTTATATATGTACCTCTGTGTTAAATTGAAGATTTATGATCCCGAGGGAACTGCAAATTTACATATTCATATGCTCGATAAAACCCCACCGGGACGAATCGGTAATTAAATAATATGTTCAATAAGTTGTATACGCTTGAAGTGATTTTCAGAAGCATCGACATATTCTCGCGGTATTGTCGGTATAAGCCAAAATTTACTCTGTGTTGGTAAGCATATTTTATTTGTGACGAAGCTGTTATATGCGTTATATTTTACCCTCATATTGCCCCTGGTTTTGTTCTTGCGGTTGTCTTTTCTCACTCTAACCCTCCTTATCTAATGTGCGCGTATAAAAGACTGCGTTTTGTTTACGACTGTTGCGATCCTCGCGACGGAGCGATAAATGAAAGCGTACATACATCGACGCATATGTCTCTTCCGCTAGAAAATCGCCACACTAGTATCATGCGGAATTCTGATCCTTAAATTTCTTCAGGTATCCACAATGGTGACATTCTCGTGTTTAATATTCCACCCAAAGGAACAAATATTTTCGTCAAAGAGACACTTTCAGGTAAACAACGATCTTTTCAATCATGCAAAATTATTCATTAAATCTTTAAAGGTCATCAATGTGGTATCACAGGTTTAGTTGCAAATGATGAATACTTGGTTTCGAGTGACACTAGTGGCATGATTCTTATATGGAATGTCGGTACGATGTCGCAGATCAGTAATATTCAACCTACGAGCACCGGAGGTATAACAACATTAGCAATGTGGAAGAACTGTGTTATAGCAGGTTATGCTAACGGTATGATCCAGATTTTCGATGTTGAGAATGGTAAGTAAAGATCGTTCAAAACTATTATGTATGATTATCGAGGACATTTCATTAGCGCAAATCGTCGGTTCAATCACTGCACATTCGCGATGTATCAACGCGATCGATTGTAATGATGAAGGATTAGTTGCGTCCGTCAGTGACGATTGCTATGTTAGAGTTTGGCAACTAACCGGTGATGCCGAAGATCTACAAGTAAAACAGACGGAGTTGCATTTGGAGGAGAAATATTTTACATTTAGATAAATCATGAATGTAATCATCAAATTGAGAACAGTCAATTAGTAGGTGTGAAATTTCTGCATTCCTCTCAAGCTGATATCGCCATTTCCATGTACGATTCCAATGAAGTGATAGTCCTTCGTGCATAAGAGATCCAACTGATGGTATCATCCGTGGACAGGTGAATAAACAGGCAAAATAGAACAAAAACAACAGCTCACAGGACGCATGGAGGATCAGAAAGGAACGTTTCTCTCTGGTTTTCCGTACGCCTTGCGAATTATTCTTTTTCTTTTTTGTCCGTTTACCCACTTTTTGACTATTGTTTGTACGCGTTCAAACTGCTCCAATAGTATTTATATGGTATCATGTTATCGAGCAATAAACCTTAACACAGAATCGTACTTTTAAAGATCGAAAAGACTTGACGAAGAACTATTTCCTTGAAAACCAAAGTCATAGTAACGACAATATGTCACGCAGAGGTATGATGATGATGTTGTTGACGTCTCATTATGCTCAGCAGTAGCAATAAGAGAAAATTCATGATGCTCGTCAAATGAAATTACAGTAACGTGTCGTTGACTCACAAGAAAGAGATGTTTTTCTTTGCATAACAAAGATACCTGAGACATATTCTCAATGCTATTCGTATTTGAGTTATTTGCTGTTACTTATTCATGGTAGATTTCATAGGAAAAGTATTGCTGAGTATTCACATTCATTCGAGCACAGTTTATTAGTAAAAAATTTTAACTACAATGTTTGACGATCACACATATTTTTTCAGAAACATTCTTCAGTTTTTTTTAAATTTCAATATCTTGAGATAAAAGAAAAATATTCGATTCTCCAACATAGAATTTATCAAAATAGCGCGGCCTATAGAAAATGAAGAGAATGTATAGGAGATCATTACTCGTATACAAATATTAATAAGAAAATAAAAACGAAAAATAAGCACAAAGACGTGAGTTAAAGAGTAACAGGATATTGTAGGAGAGGGAGAAAGAGTATGTTTATGTCTAAGCTCGTATGGGATCTATTTGTTTGTCAGAATGAATAATCTCGAATGACAAGGCGTATGATGTAAGAAAAACAGACGTGTTTTTCTTCTCAATAGGTTTTAGACACGTTTAGATTGAATTTGTTGAGCCGCTTGACTTCGATCCGTGATTATCATTCGAGCTTGATTCTTTCGTGTGATTGTAATCTGACAAGGACCGAGTAGAAATGGCTCACCATCGATTTCCATAGGTAAATCTCGTCGAATAGTTAATTTTATTTCGTTTCCTTGTGCTATACGATGGCCACGTCGTCCAAGTCGAATACGTGCTAATTCGAAATGTTTAAAACCGATGATTTCTAAGTAGCCATCTGAACAACTCTGTTCACGAAATCGATCGTCATCAGCTTGCGATTGCGCACACCAAAGATTATCATACGTGCCTTGCCAAGGATTCGTTCCAGCTGCATACGATGCGATATTCAATATCAGTATAGCATCAGGACGAAAATGAAAGAGATCTTCGTCCATGTTTCTTCCATCGACATGTAGCTCGAAGAAATTAGCAATATTTCCAAAGAGATATTGACGATCGAAAAATGTGTTACTAACAAGCAGAAACATCAATGTAAATAAGTCAACGTGGAATTGTTAACATACCAACTGATACAGCCATACGCTAGTTTATTGAATACTCGATTAGCATAACGACGCGGACTCGCATTGCGTTTCTCATGAAAATCAAGAGCGATCTACATAGATATGAATAGATCGTTACTAAGATTGTTGTTGATTTCGAGTACGATACCTGAGCATCGGCACCAAAACTAAGATAATTATTGAACACAGATTGTGGAATCTGAAAGACGAACATTCATTGACTCTATTCGTTTGTCTATCTTAGTAAGATTACTTTTAAAGTGGCGATACCTGTGTGAGCCGTAGATTGTATTTCAATATTCCATCGATCGAGTAGGCGTGCTTCTGAAATAGCTAACGATTGAATGACAGGTGCTAACGCTTCACCACGATATCCAACACCCCAGCCAAGAAATCTCGCCATATCATTTCCTGTTCCTAATGGAATGACGCCGACACTAATAAAGTCCATATACTGCATCTGTGAAGCATCGAGCGCAGATAGTACCCAACCAACTGTACCATCGCCTCCGCATGCTAGAAAAAAGATCAAGTTTACCTATACATTGCAAAAACGCACGAGGAAAGAAGCACTACAAACCGATAATTCTCAAATTTTTCTCATTTTGATTTTCTTTTAAACCTCGTTGTGGTCCATGATCTTTAATCAGGTCATAAACATTCTCTTCACCTATTTGAGCTCTCAACTGTTCAAATACCACTTGACCTTGTAAACCGCCACTAAACAATAATTAATCGACAAATTTCTGCTGAAAACAGTTTTATCTTTTCATACGATTTCGGATTGACAAATGCGATGAGTTTTTCTTTGTACGCATCCTTTTCTGTCACCTCCATCAATGGTTTTTGTACAACCGTTGAATTATTGTCACTTGGTGAATTCATTTTAATTAGCAGATAAACTCAATCGATGGTTTATTCTAATACTGTCTGGGGCCAACCGAGAGAAACCATCTAAATATTTTAATCAATGAATCAGAATAGAAATGGATTAAAAGAAAAATATTAATCTATCTGATGGAATGGAATGTCGATTGTTTACTGTTCTCCAATTGGTCAATGCAATAAACCATCAAAATTTTTCACCGTGTATGTTGAAACAACACGGCAAACAGAAACGATACAATATTGATACGACTAAATGGCATCTCGGCATCGATTTCTCGAGCGATCAATCACAACTGTGACTTTTCATAATCGTCTCACGGAAGAAGACGCAATGTGGCGTCAACGTGAACAAGAACGAGAGACAAATCCTGTTCAACGACGACAACGATCACGATCACGCTCGCCCCGTTCCAAAAAGCACCGACATCGATCATCATCGTCATCTGAAGATAGAAGCAGCGTGAAAATAATTAGCAATCCGCAGACAGAAGCTGAATTTGGTCCACCATTGCCAAGCAATCTTGGAGTCGACGCGGATCGATGGGATCATGCATTTTTCATGCAGAAATATCCCAAAGATTACGAACGACAGATAAACAAATCCAGACGAAGAGACTCAACGAGCAGTAGTGAAGATGAGAGGAAAAAGAAGAAACATTCAAAACATGATCGAAAGAAACGAAAGAAAGAAGAGCATAAGAAGAAAACAAAACGAAAACGTCGATCAAGAAGTTAATAATAAAATTGTTTTTCTATTGTCAGATATATTGTTTATTTTGTTGACTAATACATAAATTGATTCATAATAAAATTGTTCAATCTCAACTTTGTGCCTGTCGAGCTATCTCTATGAGAAGGCAATATGAACAACTGATCGGTTTTCATCAAACGCAAAACAATCGAATTTCTAACTTTTGTTTATTTCATTATCATAACTCTATGTTGTATATTCATAACTAGTTAGTTCACAGATGAATTCAAATTGTGTAGACGAGTACGACACATAGCAAAAAGATTGTTGACAAATATGTCGAAATCTTCCAGAACAGTACGATGACTGATAATGCAGACACGAATGTAAAGTCGACTATGAATACGGGTTGTTGATGCAACTGCAATACCAGATATTTGAATATCATTTAAAAGTTCATTATTGAATACATCTATTAAAGCTTCGTTAGATCTATCCAATTCCTCGGGTTCCACCCGAAAATTAACGATGTTTAATGTTATTGGGCGAATGACACGTACGAGAGATGCATGTTTTTCTAATAAAGAACCTAAATATTGCGCTTGTTCACAATTGTCAGCAATTTTTTCGCCTAATTTGATCGTCCCATGTTCTCTTAATGTAAACCATACTTTTAATGCACGAAATGTACGTGATAATTCGCTTCCTAAATCGCAAAACCAAGGTTTGTCACCAGCACAACCACGCTCCGTATTTGCCAAATAAGACTGATGAACAGAAAATGTCGATAGAAGATCATTTCCATCCCGAATGAGAACACAACCAGCGTCGTAGGGACAATGAAGCCATTTATGAAAATCAAAGGCCAAAGAATCGGCCTGTTCTATACCATGTATTAAATGGCGCCGCTGTGGATCGAGTATAATCAAACTACCAAAAGCACCATCGACGTGAAACCACAGATTTTGCGTTCGTGCAATCGATGCAATCTCCAGAAGATTATCAAAAGCACCCGTATTGACTGTTCCTGGAATGAACAAACGAAAGTGAATAGAACCAGTTTGACTTACATGCGTACCTGCATTTCCGATAACACAAAATGGAAGAAAACCATTCTTTTGGTCGTCATCAATCGCTGTTTTGAGCTCGTCAATATTCATACGAAAGTCACGATCAACTGAAATGAAATGTATGGCCTTTGATCCCATACCTAACAGTTCTAATGCTTTGATTACACACATGTGTACTTCGGTCGATGCATAAACTATCAAACGTGGCGCATTAGCAATACCATCTTCTCGGACATTCGTCAGGAATCGACGACGTGCCGATGCCAAAGCAATAATGGTAGCCATTGATGTTCCACTAACAACTATTCCGCCATGTTCTACCTTAGGAAAACCAAATATTTGCCGCATCCAATGAATAACCTTTCGCTCAACAAGAACTGCACTATGCGTACATCCACCAGCATTTATATTTATTGTTGCTGCCAACATTTCAGCTAATATGCCACCAAGCGTACCTTCACCCATCGCCCATCCCCAAAATCGAGGATGTGTATTACCCCTTGCATACGGTAGGACATAATTCAATACATCATCACATACTTTGGCGAGTGTTAGGCCGTGCTCAGGCAGTGATTCGTCATTGATAACTGATCGAACATCATCTGGAACAGGCTGCCATACTGGTTTATCACGTCTTGTTTGAATGCAATTTAGAGTGGCATCCAACGTTTTATGAGCGACGTTCTTGGCCGATGACCAGTCGACAGGATCGAGAGATGTGGTATTCATACAACGTTGTGGTATTGTTGTCGTTGACGAACACAATAATTTCAGTTGAGCGATTTCATTAATTAAACAAACCATCTGTGTTTTCCATTCATCTAATGAATAAGCATCATCCACAGCTTCATACAATTTCTTCGATGCTCGTACTAACAAAGTGCCGAGCTCTGTATGTGCCATGTTGTCCTCCATTAGAAAGAAAAATCAAAAGGAATGCGTTTGCCCTTTCTTCGATTACACAAGCAGCTTTATATACAGGCAAATAGCAATCAAGTAAAAACAATGCAGTCTTTTAATAGTTCTCTCTCTTCTATGATTATCGCGCTACAAGCAAATACGAAGGAGAAAAGAAAGCTATGTAATTCAATATCAATAAATTGAATTATTCTAGTCGATACTGGAAGGCAGTTTGATGATGGCTATACTTACAGCTCAAATGCTCTCGTTTCTTGTCGCCGCCACTCTGAACGGAGTATTTATCTCGAGAAAAGTTTCGTTTTTTTCTTGTTATTTTTATTATTCATCAGTGAGTGTGTAAAAATTTGTTCTTTATCATCTTGATTAAAAAAAAACGACATGTTACCGTCTATGAAGACAACAGTCGTTCTCGCTGGATAAAAGAAATAACAAAGAAAAATGAAAGATCAATGGTAGATTTTCTACATTTCATCGTCATCATCATCTGCTTCTTCCAACGATGCCTAGATACGAAACAAGTATGACAATACTGTATATCATGCACGAGAATTTCGTCCTACTTTAGCGAATTTTTCAGCATCTTCAAAGACGTTTGTTGGTACTCGTTCATGTTTGCCATCGTTAACTAAATTAAAATCAGATTCGAAATTGTTTCTTTTGATTTAGTCGACTTACCTTTTCCCACCCAACTGAGTTCTAACTCGAACATTCGATCTTTGACTTCATCGTGAACTTGATAGATACTAGAATGAGTGTTCGATTTTATAAACGAGAATATTGAATCGATTCAAGCTTACATCTTTGCTGCTTCTTTGATTCCATCTTCCAATTTTAATTCCGACAACTAAAACACCACCAATATACGAATGTATATCCGTTGTACAATGATCGATAGATTTTACCTTCAATTTTTCAATTTCAGTCTTCGCTGTTTGTTGTGCTTTCCCAACAGCAATACCAAAGTAATTCTGAACCATCAAATCAGTAGTATTTGAACGCTTTTCTTTTGTCTAAAAACAACTACTTACATAAGTCACACCTGATGGTTCGACACCATACAGTTGTGGACCATCACTTTCATAAGCAGCCAAGAGGATGAAACAGCCAAATGGTCGAACAAATCCATACAATGTATAAGCATGCATGTACATAGCAAGTCGATCAGCTAGATACTGAATCAACCTCATTAAAAGATCACAAATGAAAACCTCGTATTTACTTTCACCGGGATCGACACTCCATAGTCATATTTATATTGTTTAGCCTCATCACGAGCGACAGTTAAGAGTTGTCGAGCATCTGCTAGAAGACCAGCTACAGCCTTAAATAGAAATTATTTATTTCGGTGAAACAACGGTTATTCTTGCGAACCATTCCAATATGTTGATCAACATTATGGATTCGTTTATTGGAACCAGATTCATAGAGACGAGAGGTGACGATCTTTTCTACTGCAAATGCAACACCATCTTTGCATCGTAGTGCGACGATAGTTCCACTTGCTTCGACTGCCTTGTTGGCATATTCAACTTGAAAGACGCGACCGTCAGGAGAAAATTGGGAAGCACTTAAATCATACTAATTGAAATACAATCACCATAGGAATTTATTTAAAAACATGGAAAAAATTTTCAACATACTCCGGAGCCGATCGATGACATGCTTTTGTCTTTTTAAATTCAAATGAGTAAAATTATAACCCAACTCGATTCTGATTGGTTCGTTTGATTTTTACCATTTGTCCAATCTTTTTCCTTCTTTCATTTACTTAGACAAATGGACTCGTTTCTGTATGTAACATGTATGAACGAAAGTAGGAAGAAAATTAAATAAAAACAACGAATAATTCACATTTTTTTCCAGGCTTTTCCAAACATATTCAACCAACAACGGAAAAAAATCTGAAAGAAATCGAAGCGGATGATCTCTTACTAGAACGTAACCAGAAAGCTTCATTCAAACTTATTTTTCTCAGTAAATCAATATCATTTGTAGAATTGCAAGCTGAACTGGACCAACGTTACAGTGCTCTTGAAGATTTACAAAAGTCGGGAAATACCTACGATCGACAAGAAGTCGAAAAAGAACTAGATGCTTTGGAAAAATTGCAATACAAGTACAATAAAGTTGAGGCGAGAAGGAAGAAGAACGCCAAACAAAATTACGAACAAGTAAGAAAACGAACCGTACGGATAGAAAGACTAAGATCGGTTTTAGATATCAAAATTTGTCGATGCGTATGAAACTGGTTTGAGTGCATTGAAAAGTGATGTCAATGATCGAAGTATACTAGCAACTACGAAAGAACACAATGATTCATTAACAAAATCGAATACTTTTCAAAGTATGTGGACAAATGAGAATTGAAACTGTTGAGAGAGATGTTTTAACATAGGCGCGGATTTCGATACAAGTCAAATGGACCCATTGTTCAAGAAACGATTGGATAATTACTGGTAAATTTCAAGTTTTTGTCTTTCGAAACGAAATCATTCTTGTCGTTTTATAGGAAGGAAGGTAGTGCAATCTATTATCGATAACTGGCGATCGGTTAGCATCGAAACAATTTTTTTTGTTGTATTTTGTAAAAATAAAGATGAAAATTAGATATAACTATTATCTGTTCGAACATGAACACCTCGGAACGAGGACGAGTTAAAACTATATATATACGTCGATGATCACGTCTTACTGCGTATCGTGTCACGCATTGACAAGATGATGTGTTTCATAGTACAAGGAGTAAAACGTGCATTGATTGGCTAAATTTTATGTTCACGCTTTTCGTTCATACTTTCATTTAATTTACCGATTCATTTAATGTCTGAATGCTATCATCAAAACATCTAGCTAAGCCCGTTCGTAAAACTTGGAAAAATGTGAGTAATATCAGCTTGCCTGTTTTTCATTCATCTTTTTCGACATTCTCACAGCAACCTGCTTCATCACTTGGTAAAGCCGTTATCAAAGATTAATCGTGCGTGAAAACATGGCAGATAAAATTTCGACTTTCGAGTAAAGTACAAAATCACATGATTGTATCTAAATCTGTCCATTTTTACTATAGACGCTGTGATTCAAACAAAACTTCTGACAATGATGATTCCGTTTTATCATTGTCATCGACGAATGGTTGGATCATTAAGTATAGAACCATTCCAAAACCGACTCGGCCACAAGGTGTATGGGATGGCTACCAAACAAAAGAAGAATTTGCGTTAATGCATTTGCGTTAAAGTTCTACAAAGCGATTGCTGTCATACTTGATTTTCTCTTATTTTTAAACAGTCGATTTGTCTACTATGAAAAGTTAACTTTCGAAAAAGAACGCTTTATTTATATAATAAACATTTCAAAAACAGTTTGTTAGTCAAGTGCGTTTTTTCATATTCACAAAATTCTTTCTTTATTTCGAGAAACAAAATAACCATATGTTAAAAGAAAAACAAGTAAGCGCTAGTTTGTTTAGCAAACATTATAGAAGTTCATTTTCTTTTCACGATGTTGTTCTTCTATCACCTGTACAAAACAATGAAATCATTATTGACAATTAAGAATTAACTCTCTTTCGATCTTCTGATGACAAGTGAGATGTTGACGATCGATCGTCGGCATCAATATGAGTACGAAATAAACTAGGGAAATGGGATTTAATCATCGGATCTTGTTGGCCAGTGGCCGAATAGTTCGTTGTTTCCATGCGATGATCTACATCTTCCGGATCAAGAAACCGATAATCAACATCGTTAAATTCGCTGATAGATGATGATTGTTTTTTGTTTTTATCATCTTGTTCATCGTCCACTTCCATGTTTTCTTCGTTAAGATTATCATCCGATGTTGCAGAAGTATTGGCAGCGGAATCTTTTGTAGTTTGCCATTGTGCTATAACTGCTGGAAGATCTTTCGCAAATCTTGCGCTTAGATCTGCATGTCCAGAAGAATTCAACAACTCAATAGTCGAGAGAGTTATCGATTGAATAGCATCGAGTGACGTCGATTGTCGTATTCGCTCAAAAGATTCGAAGATAAGTTTGTTCATGTCATTAGCAGAACTAAATATGAATAAACATAAGAACTTGTTCAATTGATAAAAAATATCTACGTACGGTCTCGGTGGTATTTGATTCATACGATCAATACTTGACGATTGCAATGTTGGAGGACTAGTATTTTCGGCAATATTTGTTGTTGGTTCTGCTGAGGTGTTTGTCGCTAAGCGTGGATCTTTGTGCCTGAGCAATCGAGGATCTCGTTGCGATGCTGGATCTTGCAAAGCCACTGGTTTATAAGTGAGATTGCTCATTGAATGAATCTCATTTGAACGACTGGCAGACTTGCTGGATTTCTTTCCAACACCAATGACAACAAGAAATAGTTGTTGCAAATCAACACTTTTTGGTAGTGAGAATGTTTCGAGAACATTTGATGAGCAATCTTTTGTATCAGCTGGTAGGACGTACATATCACGAATGACTGTTGGTTCTGATCGTTTGTTGATCACTGTGGCACGACCAGATGCACGCATGAACTCAACGTAGCGTGAAAACGCTTGATTTTCATTATTATTGGACGAAACAAGTGTAAGAATGACGACATCGCGTACAGGAAGTGAATCACGGACATAATCCCAAAGATCACCCAGTCGTAGGCGGCCAAGAACACCAAGCTGTTCAGGAATGTCAGCAATGAGATATTCACTATCACCATATATTTGTGTAGATTGACATGGAATTTTTGCGTCAGTTGGAAGAATAACACCACGCCATTGAGTGTTGACACTGGATGGACGAGCGATGGGTGTCGGTAGATACCTATTGGAAAAGAAAGAGAAATATTTATAAATGAATGTTTCCAACGATTGCTGATATTTACGCTGATGATGATTCTGTTTTTGGTTTCGATGCAGTCAAAGGATTATAATCATTACGAACTGATGCTGGTACTGATGGTGCGTAGTCAGTGTTGTCACCGGACGATTCGGAAAGTTGATGATTTATGGAAGGACGAGAGTGGGTGGCAACATTATTCAAATCATCATCATCATCGTAGAGTAAAGCATCGATACCAGTTGGACTCTCTGGCTCGATATAATCATTGTCAATATCAACAGGCATGAATGTTGATAGTGGTGGTGATCTTTGTGATTCTTCACGAATTGGTGATGCCGGTGATTGTTGATCTACTTGCTTTGCCATTAGTAATGGTTCCATAGGCTGGGGTATTGCTTCTGTTGGAATTATGCGTTTTGGTGATGACGCTTTTGATTCTGTTGAACTGACATTGACTGGCTGATCACTAGATGCTGACTTTGTATCATCAGTAGATGTGGAAACTATAGGGTTAGGTTTTGGTTTAGGCTTGAGTGCAGGTTTTTGATCTGTTGTGGACGTCGTCGGTTTTTTTGCCTTTGGAATCGATTTGACATTGGAATTATTTTCAGCTTTTTTATGCCCGCGACTAACTTCAGATGTTTGAACCGGTTTAGCTTCGGTGCTTTTATTAGTTTTCTCTTGGCCTATTATTTGTTCTTTCTAGAAAAACAAGATCATCGGTCAAAACGTTTCTAACAAAGTTAATTTACTTCTTTTAACATTGTTAAAACTGAGTCATTATCGACAATGCCTTGCCGTGTGAGTTTTGTTCGAGCTCGTCTTGCCATTTCTTCGGCTGTTTGTTCTTCAGCTTTCATAATCATTTGAACTTCTTTGTTAAAATCATCCTTGCGTTTTTCTTTCTCCTCTAGATCATTCGAAAGCATAATTTCGTTCTATGTCTCTTCTTTCTCAGTCTTACCAGGTGGTAACATATCTTCTGGTTTCATAGCTACGATTTGTTTTGCTGTGACTTCTTTCGATAGGATATGTTTATAGAAAAACTAGAAACACAAACGATCAGAAAAGTTGCTTGTTGAACAATATCATAGGGGAATTACATTATTATTCATATTACTGATATTGGCCAGAAGGGATCGAAATTTATTCTTATAAGAATTATCAACTTTACCATAAACGCGATACATTTCTTCTTCGATTTTATTTGTAAGCGTGTGAATGTCTTCGTTTGAAATTGTTTTTTCACCAGATTTTTCCAATCTGAAACAGATACGAGATCTTAAAGAGAAAAAATAAGTGAAAGACACGCCCTTACCTCGCTATTATCTTATCGTATAACGCTTGAGGAACTTTCGTTCGAATGTCGGCATAGTTGGGAACACTTGGTGAACTGGGTGTATTACTTGTTTGTTTGCCGAGTTGAACGGGAGCTTTTTTAATTGGCATTGATTTTGTATTTGGTGCAAGTGGTACCCAGGAAAGTTTCGGTTTTGTCGAAGTTGGCGTTGTTGGTGTTGTAGGAGTTTTTGGAGCGATTAATGATGGTGAACGTGCGAGAGTAGGTTGTATAGCCGATTTGGATTCGTTTGCTGTCAGTAGAATTGACTGTCTTAAAGCAGGTTTAACAATTTCATACGAGGGATTTTGATTAATCCAAGTGCATAGGTCTTCGACTTTAGGCACCAATTTTCGATCCAGAACTTTCTTGGTTCGACTTTGATACAAAAGAATATCTTCACGAGTTGGTGGATTCTCATTATCCTGGAAAATGAAAGCATAGATAAAACATCGATTCATTTAAGATGACATACTGTTCCTTTACTGCGTTGAATAGCTTGAAGTGTATCATTGATATGACGACGAATACAAGCTGGTGAACAATAGACCCAACTTGATTTTGCCCAATTGCTACAGCCATGGGCAATACAATGAATTTGTGGTTCCTGGAAGACAATATGTGTGTACATATCTTTTTCTGAGTAAAATTCTTACGGTCGTTGTATCACGCTGAAAGAATACTCCAGTTTTGGGACGTTTTGATGGCTCAGAAAGGGTCAGGTTTTTCGCAGCGTTTACATTGCCATTTCTTTCTCCGACCTTGCGATCACTGGGCGAAACAGCATCGATTCGCTTTCGTTTAATCAACAGCGATTCATCAGACGAGCGTCCTGATTTGATTCCTGAATTAGAAGATGCTACTCCTAAATAAACGAATTCAATTGATAGGTTCCTTTCATGAATCTATCATACCACGACATGGCGGACAAACAAATTGATCGCCGTTCATATCCAATACTCTTGCTTGTTCTTTTGTTACACCAATGCTAAAATAACGAGCATAAATTACAATTCGATAATGTTCTGAAGATCTGCAGATTACCAATCTCCATGATACCAATTGGCACACGAATCACATCGTAACATAAGTCGGGAATGATCCCATGGTTTTTTACATATGCACCAAAGACGACGATGTTTTTGATCGGTATCATCGTTTGATTTACTTTTCTTTTCATTAAACATTTCTTCGTTTTCATCGTCATCAGCGGGCATATCTTGATCGTTGTCATCGTCGTCGTTCTCATCATCACTGTAATTCGTAGTATTTTTACCAGTTCGATTGTTTCTATTCAGAAACGTTGGGCCGCCAAGTGCCCAACTTGACTGGCGAAGTTCATGCGCATCGTACATACCTCGCTCAAGATCGCGATAGTTTAGTTTTGGTCGGTTCACTCGTTGTGGATAAGATTTTCGACTACGAATCGTAAATGAGTCATCATCGTCTTCTCTGAAATAGAAAACACATCGACTTCATGCTCTTGTTCATATGCAAACAGAACAAATGAAACATTACTGTACGCAATTCGACGAACTGGTATCTTTACTGTTGCTGTCATCGACACCAAGATTATCACTTGGTGAACCTACAATAGAAAGAATATAGTCAAATATGCGACACCTTTAGTTAGAAGAAATAAGCTGATTCTTATTCCTATTTTTAATACTATTAAATGTGAAATCGACTATACTCGAGTAGATGGCTACTTCATACATAGTAAGCTCGTGGCGAAAGTTTCAAAGATACCATAGCTCCTTTATGTTCTCTTCGAGCGATGAACGTCTTTCGCTTTATTTGAACATTTTTTAGGTTACATGAGCCTTGGACAAAGTCAGAAAACCGATAATACCGCTTCCAAGATCCTCAGCCGATTTCGAAAGAGGGCGCTAGTAGTTCGTCAACAGAACTATAGTAAACGAATTCCTCTTGCTATTGTCGGTTAATCTCTCGACTTTTGGTTTCTCGTGAATCCTTTGCGCTGCCGGATAAACCGCCCGTTCATTTTCCTGCTTATTTGTTCGGTACAGACAGAAGACCGTGGAATTATATGCAAGCGTAGTTCTTTGTCGCATTCTCTATCCGTTCGATTTCTTTCTTCCATGTTGCTTCGTTGAAATCCTTACCTTTTGAACTGCTAGCAGTCGAATGTGTACTTGTATTCATTGAAATATAAAACAATCAGTCACTAATGATAATGATAACAAATCTTGTCTTGCAAATATAGAAGAAAAAATAATTGCGATGAGTGAGGAGATGCAAGAAAAAGACAGATGTTCGTGCGTTCTCTGTTCTTGAGTTTTCCTGCACAATCAAATCGTTCTTGTCGAATGAACTATATGTTTCGTTTGGATACGATTTGACTGTCTACAAATAGTAGATAACGAAAAGAAACGACAGGAGAAATCAGCGATTCGTTTTGTTGTTGTCGCTCCCTCTTTCGATTTGGTTTTTTCAATTATAATATGACCGAGAAAAAGAAAATCAGACCTGAAAACGAATAAAACAAACCTATTCGGCACTCTTATCTTACACCTTGTTTCAACATCCGACACTAAAAAAAGTTCATTTCAAGAACAAATAATCTGTATGTTTGTTTCTCGATCGACGTTTTTTCTTTCAATAATTGGTTCGTTCAGTTTTTAACTAATTATCAACTCATTTATGCACTACGAATTGCAATGCATGTTGATAAGACTTCAATGAATTCTATCAACCAATGAAAAACAGTCTATGAGAACTTCGTATATAGTGTCATTTACTTGAAAGTTAATTTCGATCGATTGAAACAAATGTCTGTCGAGGAAAAGCAAGCACGATCAGTATTTGTCGGTAACATTCCACATGGAACGTCGGAAGATGATATGAAAGCGATCTTTACAGTTATCGGACCGGTTTTGTCGTTTCGAATTGTGTTAGATCGAGAAACTGGAAATCCAAAAGGATATGGATTCGCTGAATACGCAGGTGAGTATCGATCTTTTTTATAAATAGTAAAAAGATAATGTCTGTCATAGATGCCGACATGGCCCAGAGTGCGATTCGAAATTTGAATGGTTTCGACTTTGCTGGTCGATCGCTACGAGTCGATAAAGCATCATCTCAAGCAGATGAATTACGTTTACTTCATCAACAAACTGCTATGGGCACATCAACATTTGAAACTGTTCAAAGTGCTAATGTAACTCCAGACAAAGTCCCTGAAGTTATTGCTCGAACCATAGGTACCATACTTTGTTGAATCTTTCATGTTTTTTACATTTCATCTTGTGTCGTTTGTAGTCAATCTTCCACCTGAGCAAGTCGTCGATCTAATGAAACAAATGCAGACGATCATCAAAGAATATCCAACTGAAGCACGAAATATTCTCATTCAACATCCACAATTAACGTATGCCATGCTACAATCATTGGTTGTCATGGGTCTAATTCCACCAAACGAAGCAACCAATATGCTTCACAAACGACCAGATAGTTCAGCCATCAATCTTATAAATAATTCGTCACCAGCAACAGCGGCGGCAACAGCACACAATCTCGTCGGTGGCTTATTGCCTAACCATACATTTCCAACGCCACCTAATCTTGTTCCACAGCCACCCTTACCTATCGTTCCACCGCCTCCATTTCATCCGCAATTAGCATCGATGAATTTTTCAATGCCAACAGGTCCTTTAGGCCAGCCTAATCCAAACCTCACGGGCAATGCACCTCTATCACGTACAGATCAAGAGAAAGCTCAACTGTTGATGCAAGTTCTTCAATTAACTGAAGCGCAGATTGCTCAACTACCTGCAGATCAACGAGCAAGTATTATTCTCTTGCGAGAGCAAATGCAACAGAGTGGAATGATTTCTCTTTGATGAATAGATTTTCTTTTCTGTAATCTAGATTCATTTTTATTTTTGTTATTTTTCTGTAAAATAAAATTAGAACATAGCGATACAATCCTAATAAACATTTTCTTACGATTAGACATTAGACAACTCGAACCGTAACGGTACGTCATATCGATCATCGAGATAAGATCGTTCGTGCGATGTGTTTTCGATTGCTCATTTGTACCTTTTTCTTCATAATAGCTCTTCACAATCATTTGCTTTTGACGCTCTTATGTTCGACAAACTGATCCTTGCAATCAGTCGCTATCGATCTTTCTCGTTCGTTAATTAACACTTTTCGAATTCGTCTCATTTTCTCGCCATAGGTTGGCATATATTCACTCACTCATCCTAATCTCTGCTTATGCATGCTATGCAATTATCAGGAAGAGTCTGAGCCAGAAAAAGCGATGCTTAATCGAAAAATGGAAATGAAGTCAAGTGAAGTGGCAAACAAGTACACTTCGAGATTTTATTCTCATGTGTTACGTGTCACGCATCGGCAAATAATACGACGTTGCCGTCGTCGTCCATTCTCATTAACACTTGAACTTGTTTTTTTATTGGAATAATAGCCATAAATTAGAAAGCAATCGGTTACAGCTCATATGTAATCAATTCTGATTTGTAAAAGAATGTGTGTCAAGTCAATGGAGGTGATATGTAAAACAATCTTTTACCGACGTTCATTTAACATCTCGATTCGAACTGCTTCTCGTCTATCAACCATACGATCATCCCGCTGTGTGCATCTTGAAGAGTCTAATCAGCATAGAAGTGTTATCTTTCATAAACTGATCTTCTTGTTTCAGTATATCTTCACTTGTGTATTTGATTTGTCAATCGGAAGGATGTTCATATAGTACTCTTGCACTTCGAATGTGTAAATGAATGACAAACAGATTTATCTTTCAATAATCTCACGCGAAATGCAATTTTCTCTAATCCGATTCTTTCACATTACGATCAAAGAAAGATGAGCAGATCTCTGTATAATTTGTCGCCAATGGGTATTCATAACACACGATGCTCATCACTCAATGAGATCAAACATTGATCTTATTGTTGTTGTTGTTGCATGTTTTCACAAAAGAAAGTGTCAAACCATAATACGAACAAAATTTCGTCTCTTTTATTGAATTTCATGTCGGTGTTGTTTCTTTTTTTCCTATCGCGAAGATAAGATTAAATTAACATATTGAAATTCGATTTATATGAAAATGAAGATCAAGTTGCAAATGACATGCATTTTGTTGTTGCATGCCAAGAGTGAACGGGCAAAGGTAATGTGATTTCAAGTGGTCACCGTACTCCCATCGTCTTCACTTGACTTCATTCTCGATTTTTATGATTAACAGATTAACATAGTGACTTCCGGCTGACATGTCAATGATAATTGTAGTGTTCGCGAATGGAAAGGAGATTAAACTAAGACGTTACATGCAGCGCATGGGTAGTGGGTGGTACATGAGAATGTTGAGTGTAAAATTAATCACAAATAGAAGAGAAAAAAAGGTGTGAGAACATTAAAAAAAGAAACTTATTGGAAAATATCAACTAATCATCTAACATGCGTTTCTCAATAGGAGAAAGTTTATCTTATATTGTTCAGGTGTTTTTTATTGCTAAGACAAAATATGTATAAAAATTCAATAACATCTTTGATGCTGAGTATAGATCGGATAGTCAATACTAGATAATAGTTTATCTGTAATGTCTTCGATAATCAATTGTGCATCATCGTTGTTCGTAGAAATCCGTTTGGAACGTTGATGGGCTTTCATCGAACGATTTTGTCCAATTGATATTGCCATTGGACGAATACACCCGTCGACAATCAATCGTAGATCGTTTTGTATGTTTTTATTGATTTGTTCGGTGGAACTTCCGCACGGTAATTTTGCATAGCATGCTTCATCGTTCGCTGGACGGAGTGAATCATCCGAGAGACAACTTTCAACAAACGAATTGACTGAAAGACAAGGAGAAGTTGATAATTGTTCGGTTTGTCCAGCACATAGACGATAAGTTGCAGGTGCAATTCGAACGAATTCGGTTTTGTCTATCGTTGTCGGTGGAGATGGGCTTATTCGAATGCGTTTTTCCATCGTTTTATCTGCAATCGATAATGATTGTGGACGTTTAACTGTTGTTGTAGTTGTCGTTGTTCCCGAGAATGTTTGACTGTCTTCGAAAACATCTTCTAGACTTGAGGGTGAGGGTGAGGGTGCGGACGTTTGTTGCTGTTGTTGAGATGTATTGTTGTTGATAATTGTTTGAAAATGATGAATAATTGGACGTGATTGAACATGAGTTGCTGATGTTTCAGATTCAGCTAATGATTCGACTGATAAAACTTTCATTGTCATTAGCGGCTCTTTGGATTCAGGATTACCATTGATCGTATCGCACATTTCGCCAGGCAGTGGATCAGCACTTTTATTATTATTAGTGCTTTCTTCAACTAACGACGATGCCAATGACGAATTCGGTAATGATGGCGTTTTTGCAATAGGCTCCGGTGTGTGTCTGGGAAAATCAACTAGACAACGATGTGACATTGTTAAAACGCTCATTTCTATCGGGGGCACTGGTGTTTTTTGTTGATGAGGATCGCTTACTGGTGGGGTTGAAAAGGTCAAAGGAATCGGTGGAAGGGACGGTCGTTTCGTGTCGATCGATAGAGTTTTTTCGCAACGACCATTTCGCCGTATGGTTGGTTCAGTATGAATAGGAACGAATGTGGTCGGACGAGTGAATGACAGCGAGGGTAATACCGCTGTTGCTCGCTCTCGTCGTATCGTGAATGGTGGCAATTGAACAAATGTGATCGGTACTACATTGTTCGTATGCGTATTTTCCAAGTCGCATGACTCGATCGCGGGTGATATTTTCGTACACGCTTTTGTTTTCGACGCCCGAACTGCACTTGTAGTTAAAGACGAAGTTCGCGCGACTGTTATTGTTGCTGGTAACGATTGAATCAAGGGATTGCCATTTTTCTCTCGTTTTTGAGTAAGAGGAGAGATCGGCGCGAACCATTTCTTCGGATTTAATGACCAGCGAGTTTTAGTTGGCATTGAATCTGGTTGAATGAATTGCAGAAGAGCGACTTTCAAGTTTTGCTTTTTTAATCAATTTGACAAGTAACATGTAGTGAAGAGAAATGCACGAAATCTCACAACAACATAGGAATTTTTTCGCTTCTTCTGAAAGCGAACGAAAACATAGGACATGTTTGATGAAAATCCGAACAAAAACAAAAACAATAACAAGTTTACATCTTTTCTTCTACCTTTCCATTAACTGTTTCTTTCGCGTATTGGCAAATTAAATATTATTTTTTAGAAATCATCGTTAATCTCAATGTGCAATTGACAGCACTCGATAAACATATTCGAATATTCTTCTTTTTGCGCATTCTCTGTCTGTTCGTTACTTTCTATAGTTTATTATCGCTCAGATTCAAAAATAGAAACAAAAAACAAAGAAAAAAAGAAACAAGTCCGGCTCGATTCTTTGAAAGTATCGTTTTGTCAAAGGCCTTTTCATTTGAATGTCAGTTATAATAACTCGGTGGCAAATCATATATATTCGCTGATGATTGACTTTGATTCAGTGAATCAAACGCTGGTGGTGGCAATGGTGAATGTACCATTTGTCTACCAAAGCCATAGTTAGAATTATCGACAAATTCCAGAGGAATTTGAGGATAAATAACTTGCGGATATAATCCGTTAGTACGTCCATATTTTTGCTCAATAGAAATACTGGGTATTTCATGCGAAGACGGAGTGTGTCTCATTTGGCCCTTTGGATTGTGACGACGCGTATGCGAACTGAGATGCTCTGTTTTCAGACAAAACACAATCAGAAGAACGAAGAGAACAGTTAAGAAAATTGAAACACCGAGAGCAATTCCACCGCCGATTACTCCCGATGAATTGCCTTTGATTAAACCTAAATTAACAGAACAGAATTAGCTGTAAAAGAATATAGACTTATGATTGTCTACCATAAATCAGTGCAGTAAGTCCACCGACAAGTCCAATAGCTAAGAAAAGCCCGATGATTGATAGACATGCTTCTTTGCCTGACGAAGCTTGACTTCTATTAGGTCGTTTCGATAAGAAAATCATCTTTCACACAATCACTTTCTATATCGGTGTTGTTTGACAGAAAATTTCTCGCAAAATAATATCTAGAAAAACTCTTTATTCAAATATTTTCTTCTTTCTTTTTTTCCTATGATAGTTGTTAAGCAACTGACATTTACCCATTTACTTTTTCTAGTGTTTTCCTTTTGTTTCTTACTTTACATTGTCGCTTTTTTTGTCCTTTGTGTATACAGAAGAAAATTCAATTTCTATTATTTGCTTTTTTCTGAAAAGGTTCATATTCCCTCTTCTCAAGCCGACTCGCTTTTTTTTTATATCTTAAATATTTCCCTCATGTCACGTCCAAGTAGTTTTCCTGAAAGAGGAAAGCATTCAGGACTTCAAAGTATTGATACTCAAATAAACGATGACGTATATTTACACTGTAGCAAGTGCACTATTGAAATCAAACTTCAGGGTAATTTCTCTCGACAAACTTCCGAGCTCAATATAAGTTGTAATCACATGTAAAAATAAGCATATTATGTATGCATTACATAGCATAATCAAACCATCTGTGAAAAGAATACTTATAAAGAATGATTCCAAGGATTCTCTAATCAATCAATGATTTTTTTTTCGTAAGAAGTTACAAAGATGCATCTGCTGAGTGAACATCGATAGTGTTATTGTTTTTTATTTCGATCGAAAACAACGAACAAATTAAACGAGAAGTACAGCATTGATACATCCATCATTTTCAGGATGATTAGTCACCTGAGCATATTTTCCCCATACGACTTTGCCACCTTGGGTAACCATACCGAGTTCACTGACGTTAACCTAATGTAGAAAAACATAATTGCTTTCAATAACTATTAGCAGTAAAACACTTACTTCAAGAACAGTTCCTTTGGTAATTACACCTAGTGATGTATAGAGTGGTGAACTAGGATTTTTCTTAACACCGATGATTGGTAATTGAAATGTAGCTTTTAATTCTGGATGTGTCACGTGTGCTTTTGTGAATCGAAGTGCCTAGGACGAGAGAATAGTGTTCTAAAAATGAAGAATGAAATTGAATGATGGTTTACCATTGGTCGAATGAAACGCTCGTATTTTGGTGGTTTTCGAGTAAATCCTTCTCCGACGAAACAAGGTTTGGTAACTAATCGTTTCCATGCTTTCTCTAAATAAATGGATTATATTCAATATTCACATAGATAGAACGAGAAGTGTGACATACTTCGTCGTTTTCCCGATTGAACAACTCGGAATACTTCCGCTTCGCTTACTGCTTTCACTTTTGGTATAGGTACGTCCCATTTACCCTAAAAGATCAGAGTGAGTGGTCGCTTACATAGATCAAGATCAATTCTTACAGCCTTTTCTTTTCGTTTCTGTTTGATAGTATTTGATAAAATTTTAGCTCGACTTTGTTTCTCACGGTCGAGTAAATATGCTGGTAGAGCACCTTCAGGTACTTCCTCTCGTTGTTTTGTTTCTTTCTCTTCATGACTTTTGATGGTTTTCTTCATTTGAATCTTTTCATTTTGACGACGTTTGTTGTATAATTTCGCTCTAGAATAAAATTGAACATGAGAAATGATTGTGGGTCGAATTCAAGTAGACTTACTTAATGCCACGTAAGGTTTGAGCCTTCTTGGATAGAATATGTGGCAAACGTCCTTCTTTCTTCTTTCTACAATTAGAGACAGTTTGAAAGGAGTTTTAGTGAATGAACTGAGATTACTGTTTTTCATAGTGATCGAATCGACGACCATGTCGTTTACGATGGAGTTCGATATGTTCGTTTTGTGGCTAAAATTCACAATCAATCTCGGTTTTCTCATTCACCACGATGAATACTCACCATGGTTGCTTAAATTCGATCTAAAACAAGAAACAAAAACGATCAATTCATGATGTAAAAGAACTAAATAGATGTATGTGTATACGATCTTCGATTAATGATTATCATCATCATCAGCACTGTTTTGTCTGATAGATGTCGCTTTTCACTTCGAAATCTTCTTTTATCATAAATAAAACTTTGTATTCTTTTTCTGAATGAAAATCAATTTTCAATTTTATCTTCATTTGATTCCGGTCGACCGATTGGTCGCTTCAACCAATCCATTCAGCAAGTAAATAGTAAATAAACAAATCAATGTCATCGACAACTAGAGACTCAGTTTCATTTCAGTAGTTACATTTTCTAATACTATCGGATGACAGTTGAATCACCGCTGGCAGAACAACAACGTGCGGTTGTTGAACTTTACGTTCAGTCAAAATGGCTCAAAGCAAATTTAACACTTGAAAACGACAATCTCTTCATCGAATACGAATATGATAAACAATTACCAATCGAAGATGGAAATTCAACTTTTCGCGATACATCTAATAATGTTAGTAGCCAAAAGCGACTGATTAAGATCTCAAAACCAGACAATACTGGTCTTGGTAAGAATGAGAAGCAGTGAGACATTCAGATTCGAATTGAATTATTTGCATTCCCTTAGGAATAAGTATTAAAGGCGGACGAGAAAATCGGATGCCTATATTGATTAGTAAAATCTTTCCGAACATGCCTGCTGATCAAACTGGACAACTCTATGTTGGTGATGCGATTCTGTCTGTTAATGGTAAAGATCTACAACATGTTTCTCACGAAGAAGCAGTGCAAATATTGAAAAAGTGTGGTAAAGAGGTCGAACTCGAAGGTCAGTTTGTATAGCGAAGAAGAAATGTGACAAGCAACATCTTTTTCTTGTTTCAGTTCGCTATCTCCGAGAAGTTAATGTCTTAATGCAAAAACAAACAAGTTCTCTAGCTGGTAAACAGCCATCTCAAGACAATCTCAATGAATCAGGTGCAAAACGACTTCTTGCTACTACATCTCCGCAATCATCTAATGATTCCATTCGTTACGAAACTAAGCGTATATCTCTTCGTCTGTGTTATGTTTTCCGTCGGTCAGCATCAGCCACTGATATGATCGTTTTCTCACCTTCATCATCATTACCACCGACAGCATCGCCGTTACTAACAAACGGAAGCAATGGTGCTATCTTAGATCTTGTCTTACCATCGATTCAAACGTGCTATAGCATTCGCTTCGTCGATGACATGTATGCACGCAAATGGTTTTACATAATACACGCGAAAATCTCACGCTGTCTTTTGAGTATTATACCTGACATCGAAGAACGACTCTATGTCGAACGTGACCATAATGAAGTGAAATCATTAGGATGGTTTGCCGAACAAGTTCATTATGATGAAGTGACAACTATCCGATCATGGCGACCTGTTTTTTTCATTCTGACAGAGTTTGATCTCTGCCTATTGAGCCACCCGCCAGTTTCAAGACAAGCATCTCGCGAAATAATCACAAGCTATCCAATATTGACGAGCAGGTAACATCTGCGATGATGAAAGAATGCTTTGCACTTTTCATCTTTAGATTAGTGGCATCGACGCACGATACATCAGTCGATATTGATATTTCTTTCTTAACGTTACGTATTGGAACGAAATTTGGTATCGTAACACATTCTCTTCGACTGGAAACCAAATTAGATTCGGATTTCTGGATTCAGTCTATGAGCCAATGGACCCAAAATGCGGTTTTACGTGTTCAGGAAGCGATTTTTCGTATGTAAAAACCAGCATTTTCCTTTCATTTTGTCCTGTTTTTTTTTGTTATAGCTTGTAAATGGAATAATCGTCTATGTAAATTATATTTACACTACGAAGATGGCTTTGCTTTGTACAGCGATCCTGAGAACGCTCAAACAAATATCCGCTTACTATGGAAAGAATCATTCGAGAAACTTCGTTCATCCTCGGATGATAATAATCATTTACTTACTCTAGATTTTCATGGTGAAGAAGGTGTAATGGTATGTGAACACGTTCTTTTTAGTTAAATCGAATTGTTCTTTATGTTTAATTAGGAATTGTATTTCGAAACATCGCCAAAACCATTTGTCTTCCATTTACATGCATTTCTTTCGGCTAAAGCAACACGCTTTACTCACACTAAATAAGATTTGTTCATACGTTTCTAGTCAATTAGCACAGTTCATTAACCCATGTCTTTTCCCAGATTCGATCGTCTCTCTTTTTTTTAAATTGATATTCAATCACCAGATTATTTTTGTAATTTTATGTCTTATTTGTCTATGACAGTTCGTTCGTTTGCTCTCTCTCACTCTCTTCTATTCGTTTTCGTACATTCGTTTCCATTTTAATATGTGTAAATACATGTGAAACCTTGTGTATTTATAATATAATAAATCAAATTTGAAAAAATCGAACGCCGAAATTTGATCAAAATAGACAAGAACAGCATGAATGACTCATACTTATCCATGGTCCAACTTCTTCTCTTCTTCTTTTCTCTAATCTCTATATAAAATACAGACGTATATAAATTCAAAACTGAAGATAACCATACAGTCAGAAAGAAAATAACCGCTCTTCGATCATCGTTGTATTCGATTAGATAGGTATTATCAAAAAGTAAACTCGTTTTTTTATACATACATACGCCCGCACTTAACAAGCCTAGATATAAACTTGGTCAGCATGCGTCTATCACTACATGTTTTCATCATCGGTCTCGCTCTGATACCGGTGATCTGTTCCACACCGGTTTCGCTTGGAGATGGATTTTATTTACCGAGATTAGATAATGTTGAATCTCATATCGACAATTTGTGGGCAAACTTCAAAAAGGGCTATGGTATTGTTTACAACACAACCGTCGATGAACTTCATCGTTTCAAAATCTTTGCTGGTCATGTGAAAATGATTGTTAAACATAATTTAGAACATGATCTTGGTCTACATACATATCGACTTGGTATCAACAAATATGCAACATTGGTAAGTCAGCCGATCGGTTGGTTTCCGAAATCGATTTCATCGTCTTTTTTTTTCAAGACAAATCAAGAATTTCGTCAGAAATTTAATGGTTATCGTCGCGAGAAAAATTCACGTTTGCAATCATCGAACATCCGACGAGTACATGTGCCTGCTTCGCCTTACATTGCACTTCCTGTATCAGTTGATTGGCGTGACCAAGGCCTCGTTACACCTGTTAAAGATCAAGCGCAATGTGGTTCATGTTGGGCATTCAGTGCTGTACGTATACAATTTGCATTGAATTGACTTTTTGTCCCACTGTGTGTGGAATATTCTAGACTGGTGCATTGGAAAGTCATCATGCTCGTTCAAGTGGTAAATTAGTTAGTTTGAGCGAACAACAACTTGTTGATTGTTCAACCAATTGGGGTAATAATGGATGCAATGGTGGTTTAATGGATAATGCATTTAAATATGTTCATGATAACAAGGGACTTGACGATGAAAAAGCATATCCATATGTTGGAAAAGTAAGAGATGATGAATATTGAAAGATTACGAAGGATTTTATGAATAATAGGATCAAGATTCGTGTAAATTTCGTCGAAAAGCTGTTGGAACAACTTGCGATGGATTTGTCGACATTCCTGAAGGCAATGAAACAGCTTTACAAGAAGCTCTAGCTTTGCAAGGTCCAGTTTCAGTTGCTATCGATGCTAGTCAAGAATCATTTCAATTCTACGTTTCTGGTATGTAAATAGACAACGAATTTAAATGCGACATATGCTTGACAGCTGTTGATACTCGTCTTAAGAATAGAATTACTTCAGATAATTCATTGCTTGTTTATGACTTTATTCTAGGTGTTTACTCTGATGCTAAATGCTCATCAGACGATCTCGATCATGGAGTTTTAGCAGTTGGCTATGGTGTTGCTAATGATCCAGTCAAAGGTCAACAAGAGTATTACATTGTGAAGAATAGGTACGTGCCAGAACGGGTCTTGTCTGCTACTATTTTCTAGCTGTTTTATTATCATAGTTGGTCGGCTGCTTGGGGCGATAAAGGATATATTAAAATAGCTCGAAATAAGAAGAACATGTGTGGTATCAGCAGTGCTGCCAGTTACCCTATAGTTTCTGATAAATCTGTCGAAGGTGAAGTGATCAATTATTAAGCAAATTATCAACAACAAAATATAAAGCGATGGCAACATTTTTCTCTTGTCGTTTTCTAGTGTATATGATTGATTGTTATTCTCTCTCTCGTTAACTTTGAAAAACGCATTTGATACTTTTTTGTATTAACTTGACTTTCATGTTGCTCGTGCGAGGTACACAACTATGGATATCAACCAATCAGGATGTTTTCTGTTCTATTTATGCTTCGCTTCCTTTGATTTTACTTGAATAAAAAAAGAAATCTACTTGAAATTCATTTCTTCATGGCGACGAATCAAATTAATTCAAATGCGAACTATCAACAAACCTGACATTCTGATCTGTATCTGTTTTTAATACGCTACATTACGCATACGATCTGGATATTGGTTGCACTGATTTCGATGCAAGCCGATTTGTTCGAATCTTGTAGATACGTGCGACTATTTCTTTTACCTACAACGAGAAAGAGAAGCATTAGTCGATGCATTCACCGATTATCGTTCTTTTGTTTTGGTATTTCAATTAAAAATCGATTTAATCCATTCTGAATCAATTATACGAAAAAAATGGTCTGCACTATTTTTACAAAGGGAATTAAGAAGACGGAGAAAAAAACCCAGAATGGTGATAAAAAATACGACACGACACGCCTAAAAAAAACCCACTGATATGTTATTTCTATAAGAGAACCTCAACTGGGAAAAACCCACTCGCTTATTCTGTTTGCGTTCCCCATCGACATAGATTGTGAGGAAAATATTATTGGTTATATATTTAAGGCACCTAGAACATTGCAGACTAAGTTTAAAAGGTAATTTTCTCAATCTGTTCGGTTTTGTTTCGAATTTTGAACGTGAGCTTCGCTTGTAGTTGTTCCCTAGTAAAATTCACATGTTGTATGTATAGGTGCATTCGTTGTAATCCCTCAAAGCATCAACACCATGAGCGACAAGAACAATAATTGAATTTGAATTGATGGAGACAATGTTTGCACATAGAAAGTTTGGATTGACAAACACTGAAGTGTTTTCTTTTCCTTTCGTTTCGTGTTGATGACATGATAAATATGAAAAGTGACTGGAGAAAGAGATCTGCATTTACTTTATTCCGTTCTCCGTGTAAAGTGAGTTATATGATGGTTACCAAGATGATGATCATGCTCAGGTTTTTCCTTAGTTCGTCAAATTAGTTAGAATACTATCAAGTCTCGTTGAGAATGTTTTTTTTCACTCAAAAATAGATACAGTCTCTTTCGTATTAGCAAGTTCTGTTCGATTGAATTTGAATTCATGATATTTAAGAAGTATCGTTCACCTCCACTTTCCAACTAAATTGCAGTAGGAAGAATGAGTAAAAGTCAACTATCCGCGTTATTTATGACGCATATTTTAAGCAATCAAACCGATTTACTTCCACAGCATTGAGTAACCAAAACATGCAGATAATTTTGATTTGTTTTCCTTCGAAACGGTTTTCTTTATTGCAGAATAGAACATATTTTTTAATATTTTTTAGCACAAGTTTTGACAAAGTCATCAATAGTCAAGTATATCGGATCATTGAGACTTGATACAATAGCATTCGAATTTGTTCACTTATTTCCTTCGTGTTGACTGTGACATTTCCGACGAATAATTACTGACGATGTCTCGCACGTTGACATTCTATTTTGAACCAAACCTGGCACATTTTTAGATGCAGACATGTTTTCGATAACTTTCAAATCAAGACAAACTTTGAAATAGATTCTGTATATTTTCCTTTTGATTGTATGAAGTATCTTTTCGTCCGTTCGTTTTTTTTATGTATGCTATGTCATCACACGTAATCTGTGTGAGTATCTATCGGACAAAAGAAATGGAGCACGTTGACTGTTCTTTGAGAAGAATATCTTTATATTGAGTAATTTTATACCACGTAGCTACTCATGAGTCATCAAAATTATGAAAATTGCTATAAATTTCAAGATATGCATGACTATCAGTCATAGCGAAAGGCAAGTTTTACGAAAACTACATATCTATTGAAATTTGAGATTATTGGACTGAAATTGAAGTCGTACTCGAAAATCGAAAGTAGATAGTTCGTTCGATCGTACTTTTTTGCGTACATTTGAGCAGTACTAGAATCGCGGAGATCGAGTGAGAATCCTTCGGCTTACACGAGAGTCACTGAAATATTTCGGCGTTGAGAAAGATCGGAGTATAAATCGAGGCGAAAATCTTATCTAGCTTCATATAATAGAAACTGCTTTTACCCATAAAGTACAATCATCGAGTGTAATTAATTGAGCGCTGATTCAGCAAATGCATTTGACTAATGTATGACGGCAGCGACAGTAGTATTTTCGAGAACGTTACTGAATTGACTGGATTGGTCTGGATGCATGACCAATGAAATAATCTCGTATTTTTTCCCAGTGACGTTGTCGTGTTATGATAAGGTCAGGTTAAAGCGTTCATAAAGCGTTGCTGCTTGATATTTCACATGTTTTTTTCAGTTAACAGAGAAAAAAACCTGCAGATCACCTACCTTGCTTACTTACACGAAAGACCTATCCTATTGTCAAAAAGTATAAAATAACATGTTTTCTTCTCAGAGGAATGAAAATATTCAAGGTAACACGTGCAGTATTAGTGTTCTGACCAAACCGCAGATTGTAAATTCATTTATTTCTTTTTTCAGATTTTTCTACTACGTGCCAAACAAAAACTGAGGGTCGTCCTCACCAAAACTAAAAAAAATGGCAATTGGAGTTCGATCCAGAAATCATACTGTATCATCGAATACCTCGATGCAAGCAGCTCTTCGACAAAAACGGCGCATAAAGCCTGATCTCTGTAGGTTGGCGAGTTTTCGACAATGGAAATCAAACACTCAGTGCAACATATCAGCAGCACTTCTTTCTAAAGTTGGATTCTCATACACTGGACAAGGTGATAAAGTTCGATGCGAAGCCTGTAAATTGGAAATTGACTCGTGGAAACCTGGAATGGATCCGAGGCAAGAACATATGGAACGAAGTCCTCAATGTCCATTCGTTCTCGAGCAAAGTGAACTCTTTTCGAAACAAGGTAAGATATGATCTCTCTCCTTTTGCTTCCATCTTGGTTATTGTACAGAGAAAACATTGATGAATACAGTTATCATTACGGATACTTTCGAGTAATTTATTCCCACATTGAAGATGTGCCGTTTAAAAAACTTGTACACACATGATTAAACTTTGATGTTGATATCTCAGTAACTGTACATCATTGTTTGCATGCACATGATTCAATGGCAATCCTAGTCATACATTTTTTGTCTATACATATTCAGATCAAGCGGTATCGATTCTCAAATCGCCAATAGCTCGTACTAATGTATCACGTACTGATTATAGAGGATATATGGACGATGGTGGTGGTAGTCAAAATCTTCATAGGGACTCTGATCAACCAACAATTGAAAATTTGTTCATCATTTCTCTATCAACCGAAATCGTTGACCGTGCTCGAGCCTACACGTTTCTCAACTGGCCGTCGATTACACCAAGTGCACAAGAAATGGCTTATGCAGGTTGGTGGTACACGAACATAACCGACAGAGTAATTTGTATTCATTGTGATGCAATGTTTCACAACTGGAGTGAAACAGATCGTCCGTACGAAGTTCATCGTCTGAGGTCTCCGCGATGCTATTATATTCGTATGAATGAAAGTAAACAACCTACCAGTAATCTACCGCCCATACCCGTAGCGAACCAAACAATCAATGACACACCAAACGGTCAATCCATTGTTGGCGCAATACACGCCGAATACGCATTAGTCGTTCGTCGTCATCAAACATTTGACAAATGGCCAGGAAACGGCGATACTCCACTACCATCGATAGAATCCTTCGTCGACGCCGGATTTTTTTATACAGGTTTCATTGATCTAAGACTAATAAATCACAGTTTGTTTCAACTAATATTATTTGTCTAGGTGATAAAACTATCGTGCGCTGCTTTTACTGTAATGGAGCTTTGCGAAATTGGCAAGCTTCAGATGATCCGAAAGTCGAACACGCCAGGTGGTTTCCGCAATGTGCTTATATTCGCCAGTACATTGGTGAAAATCTTTATCAAGCTATTCAACGTAAAAATCGTGAAATACGTGGTAAAGTTGATAAATCATATTTTCTCTACGATTTTCATGTTCTCAATTAAGCACAACAAAATCTTCAAATGAGTAACAGTGGTGCATCGTCTCAATACATTCCGTGGACAAACGATGAAATTGACCGGATGGTCAAGGCTCGTTTAGATTTGCCTGTTGTCGAAAAACTTCGACAGGAAAATTACAGCATGGCAATCATTCGGTAAGCTGATCATTTGAGATAGAAAATTGATCGATGTACTGATTTCTTCTTTGTTTAGAAAAGTTTTTGAAATGCAACTTCGATTCAAAAGTATATTCATACAAACAAATATCGAATTTTTTTTTATTATCTACTTACTTAATTTAGAGGATGATTTCAAAACCGACGTCGACCTTCGAGTTGCTTGTCTAATATTAGATAAACAAGTGAAATTAATCAATGGAAATGAAGGAAATATTTTAGTAGCACAACATTGGGTAAAAAAGTACTATGAAGATCAAGAAAAAGGAATACCTACTCCGCAAATAGAATCCAAACCTATGTCAATCGAACCAATGAAAACCGATATACCGAAAACTACGCCAAAAGTTGCAGCTCATTCTCTGACAACGACAAAAACAGGTAACTACTTATTCTGAACAGTCTAGTTTTCCACATTGTTCTTTGGTTCTTTTAGAAGAGTCACTTTGTGTACTGTGCATGTCTACAGATCGTCAGGTCGCATGTCTTCCATGTGGCCATTTGACGAGTTGTGTCGCATGTGGACATAGTTTAAAAACCTGTCCGATTTGTCGAACTGCTGTAAAAGCATTTGTTCGCATATACACATGATTTTTTGGAAACAACTGCCGTTTTCTTCAACTGCTGAAGGCCTTTTCCGCTCAGTAATATAATCCAGTTTTTCCTTTTTACTCACGCTGCTATCACTAAAGTAGCTTTCGAAAATACTGCTAATGGCTGCACGTTTCTCACTAGTGAAAATGTATTCATTATCTTTACTTTTCGGTGACTAGCTTGTGATGGTCCTCTTACCCGACGAGCACGTTTTTTTTTGTTTACCGCCATCTGCAATAGCAATAGACATGTCTTTCGTTTTGAATCTTTGAAGAGTGGAGGTAATCATGTTCTCCGTCTCCCTACGTAGGGTTTCGCGAGTGACATCGAGTTGTCTTCGTTTTTACAGAATCTTCGATTAAACATGTTTATTGCTATTGTCGATAGACTGATCCATTTGAAACTAACTTATATATGTGGTTTAAATTTTCGATGAAAACATTAATAAACATATATCCATATTTTCGTTTGTTTTTGAAAGTTTGCAATCAGATCGCATTGTTTACTCCACTAGTGATGTAGCTGATTATTTTTTCCCAGTGTGAAAATGACTCATGCAAAGTAGGGCGTGGTCGTAAAGCAGTCCGACAAAAAAAAAGAAAAATTTGATATGTGCACGAGCAGTGTTTGCTCATTCAGACGACATAACAGGATCAAGTCTTAGGAAAAAAAAAGTCTAAATTTCGTGGCGTACAATTGATTGTAAACCGAGAAAAATATAATGCTGGATTTGTTTCAATGAAAAAAGGTCAAGACAATATCCAACTATCGTTGAAATTCATATTCATTAGATTCACTTTGTTTTTATCTCGAATGAACCAAAAAAAAAATGAGCGAATCCAGGCAATTATCCTCTGATAGAAAAATGAATCAGTCTTACCTGACATATAACCTGTTGACAACCAGTGCATCGATTGCTCAGGAAAATATAATGACAATCCATAGTCTCGTCCTTCTCTCATTTCTCTTTCTATTTTTCTATAGAAATAAAACAAACTATCGAGACTATTCTAGAATCATCGATACTACAGGTACAAAGGATGGAGAGAGAAAAAAGAATTTTTCAGAACGAAGAAAAAAACAAATGACGAAACTACAGCGTGGTATGTTTATGCAGATTTGTTTTTATGATACAACATAATCTAGCCGTAATATTGTGGGTTGATTGAGAAGTTGATAAAAAGAGAAAAGCTATAGTCACATTTACAAATACAAAATGACTTGAAGTGAAGCAAAGGAAAGACGATGAAATTGGAGTTTTTCTCGACCACTCAGAATGAAACTTGAATTTCACTCCTATTTCTATGAATCGGTGTTTTATATGACCAATCACAGATGTTCTCATTCTTCGTTTCTTCTACTTCCCAATCGTGGAACATACTATCACAAGGATTTTATGCCCATTCGGTCGTCCACAAATTTCTCGTTATTAAAAGCATACTGTGATTAGTAGAACCAAATATTCTGATTAGAAATCAACTCTACTTCTTCCGTGTCTTGTATATGTGATTAAGAATGTTTCAGAGGCATGTAAAGTAAACAATCTATATTTTGTTTATCAAACAAATGCTGGAAATATCCAATCTAAAACCGGTTTTCACTTCTTCTTCCTATAGGATGAAACAACTCGATACATTGAATTCGGAAATGCCATCTCACATTTGTTGCGAGGAGCATCGACGACAGTTAGTGAAATTCGCTGATCTATCGCAACTATTACCCAATATCGACATGACAAATTTGGCGTTTTATTTTGCTCGACAATGCCAGAATAATAAGAAAGCTGCTCGAGCAGCACGACGTTTAACAGCCGTATCTCAACGAACAACGACGAATGATGACAAAAATACTTCACCTTTCCATATTGTCGATCGTCTACTTGCTGCACCGACCGGCATTTACGCACCTGAATTGAATTCTCGCCCATTTCATGAACTTTGTTCTCGAAAAGATTTACTTCTTTCATTCGAACGTTACAGCAAAGCATTCACACTTGAAGATTACAATGTTATCCCGTATGCATTCGACATTCAACTAAAACATCGTGCATTATCATTTCTTTCCAAACAAGAGACTTATAGTCGTTTAACGTCTATGACTAATATTACTCTTAGAGAAACGAAAATTAATCGTGTGCATAAAGGGTCAGTCATTCGAGTTCATTCCATTGTTGATCCACTGATAACCCCAAGATCCATACAATTAATTGTCGAAGATGACAACAACAATATTGTACGTTTATCGATATATAATTGGTACACAATTCTTGCCGATCAATCAAGTGAACACATCCGAAATCGAATGAGACGAGAGAGATATTTCATGATTGGAAATCCGTTTATTAAAATGGCTGCCGATGGCTTATTAATCCTACGAGTGGATAACCCCAGACTTGACATGTGGTTTACGGACTACGAAAGCGAAATTGAACATATGACTGCTGATAAGTTGCGTGACCTAGGTAAGCAATCGACCAAGAGATTATCTTTTCGACTGATTACTTCCAGGTAACAAATGTTTTCGTAATAATGATATTCATGGCGCAATTGAATATTATTCCCATGGTTTAATCAAAAGTCCGAATGATATGCGAATTTTGAGTAATCGCGCTGAATGTTACCTTCAAGATCAATTACCTCATTTAGCTTTTGCTGATTGCGAACGTATCTTAGAAATCTGTGCGAGTAATTCGACAGAAGAGAATACCGATGGTACATTTACATGGAAAATTCATTATCGAAAAATGCGTGCTTTGATTGGTTTACAGTTGTTTGATCAAGCCAAACTAGCGATTAATTCTTTATTGGAATATACACAAGACGTAGCATCATCGAATGAAATTCTTGATCGTTTTCGACGTATTCTCGATTGTGATATTCCGCNAAAATTCATTATCGAAAAATGCGTGCTTTGATTGGTTTACAGTTGTTTGATCAAGCCAAACTAGCGATTAATTCTTTATTGGAATATACACAAGACGTAGCATCATCGAATGAAATTCTTGATCGTTTTCGACGTATTCTCGATTGTGATATTCCGCGTTTACAGAATGAAGTCGATGGAAAGTATGATATGTTCGATTTATTAACCAATCGAAACAAGCGGCCTGACGATTTTCTCGCCGAATTCGAACGTGCGAACGTCTGCGAATTCCGGCAATGTGAAGAAAAAGTAAAAGATTTCATTTTCAGCAACTATCAAAGATGATCATCGAATCTTTTTTAGAACAAAGGTTTTGGTATGTTTGCGTTGTGCCCGTTAAAACCTGGTACACTGCTGCTTGTCGAACGGCCGATCGCCTATGCTCAATCGAAACCAAATGAAGTTCTAATCGATGATCCTTCGCATTTGATAACTTTTTCATTGACTCAAAAATCCGAACATCGAAATGCAGATGACGGAAATAGTCATGGCGGTAAATATCTTCGGCAACCTTCATTAGAACTCCTCAAACAAATTGAAACGCGCATTCTTCTCGATCAGAAGTACTATATTGAAAAATTATCCCATCTAACTCCACTTCGTCAGTATCCATTAAGAAAAAAATCCGAAGACGAAAATTACTTCACACTTCAATATAAGGCTTTGATTGAAATCTTCGAACGTAACGTTATTAACAATGGTCTATGGGCAAAACTAGCACGATTTAACCATTCGTGTTTGCCGAATTGTTTTTACATGATTATCAATCAGATTTGTTTTGTAAGTGTTTTGAGATCAATTGAAATCGGCGAAGAAATGACGATTTGTTATTTTCCTGATGTTTATTCATCATACATTGATCGTACACTTCGCCTACGGGAGTTTTCGATCAGTGAATGCAATTGTAAACTTTGCGAATACGATCGGTTCGAAGGTCAGGCTGAAATGCAACAATTATGTCGACAATTTGATGAAAATGAAGATGATGAAGATAAACGTCGTCATTTATTCAAACATTTAACACATCAATACAGCACAACACGGCCATTAGGTTTCATTGAACAATTAAGTCAATTGAAACGATCCGTTAAACTCGAAATATTTCTTGAACAGGTCAAACACGGCTATGTTGTACATCCATATGTTCTGAAGTACATTCTGTCACATAAAAATAAGATCAATCAGTTGGAAAACGTTGTTCAACAAATACAAACCGAACTCGCTTATTTCAATTGGACAAGTGAAGATGGCAATAATCAAACCAGTCGATTTCTAGAGATTATCCAAGCATTAATCAATTTTCTCTGAGATTTAATATTTTTTTTTGTCTTTGACTCAATTTTTTACACACTTTTTCGTCCGTTCTAATAAATATACATATGTGATCGATGTTTGTCAGCGAACATCATAGTATTCATAATCACGTGCCTTAATAGTTCACGGTGTCTAATCAAGAACATGAAATGAATACGTTTATGTTGCTGGGAGACGAGAAACTGACTGAAAACTTTGGTATACGTACCTGACGATTGTGCTGAGAGATGTTTGGAACAGTTTAGTGCATATGTTTCTGTAAAGGAAAAGGAGCAAAATGAATCTGCAAGTTAGAAAATGCAAGTTTTTTTTTCTCAGTAATATATCAATCGATTCTTTTTTAATTGACAAAATATTCGAACATGCATGGAGAACACGCACATACATATGCGCAACTAACGATGTTAAGCTTTTTAATCACGAATGTGTACAGAGATGTAGAGAACAACTTTATCAGTCATTACAATCTTAAATCAATAAGCAGCCGAGAAACACAAATGAACGCCTTGAAAATTCGAACGTAGAAAACAACTTCGATCATTTGATATTCGTTGTCAAACATAAAATCAGAGATTTCAACCGTTTAACACATTCTTTTTTTTCACTCAGAATTTCATGAATTGTTTAGTGTTGCGAACATCGAACCAGATATTTTGCAGAATCGATACAGGTCAACATCTGATATAGGTCATTCCCGGTGAATTATTACGTAATGAAAGATATTACAGATAGTAAACACGACGGATTCACAGTTGTATGATCTTTAGAAAAAGATAATTGTCTTACATATGATTAGATATAATCAACGCATTCAACAGAGCAAAACGTTCTAGTTGAAATAATTAGTATCGTTAATCCACTACTGTACGAGAATAGAAATTGAGTAAATATTCGATGGTGCCCAAAATTCGCACGATTATTTCGTTTTATGGGAAACTCTTTTTATGATGATTTGATCTGACGGTATGTGTTTTTTTTTGTTTAAAATAAATTAGCTGTACAATCATTAAAGATTATTAATAGAGAGTAATATGCGTGTCATAGTAATGAACAATGTTGACAACTCGATCGTTGAACAGATTAATGTTTTTTTTTTGTTATTGGTACGAACAAGGAAAAACTTGATTTACTTTTATCTCTCTATGCAATAGATTTGTACGTAGACGTAGACATAAACGCGTATATCTAACATGACCCCTGGGCAATAATCTCGACAAATATTCCTCTAAGTTGATTTTCATGAAGTGCAAGAATGCTGATAGAACGATAGAGGGTAGATGGCGATATTGTATTTCTTCATCTTCTTCGCATCATTCTCGCGTCCTCTTCTCATCGTCGTCGTCGTCGTTTTCTTTTCTCTCATTGGCACGTATTCAAGTGAAAATGTTGTCTATGCTTCTTGCTTGCCGTCGCTTTTTCTCCCCCCCCGGCCCGCTACCTCTCTACTTCGGCGNTCTTTTTCTTCATGGTTTTATTCTCTAAACTTCTCTGGCCATCATCTCTGTATTTGTGTTTAACTTGTTAGCTATGTTTATGTTAAAATCGAAAACAAAGTTCCTGTCCTGTTCATGCTATTGATTTTGTTTGCGTATGTGTGAGAAACTTCTTACCAGCTAACATTATTTAACCATCATGTGTTTCTCTTTATAGTTTTCTTTTTCGTTTTCTTTTTTTTGTGAAGGAATGAACAGAGGTTGAAAAAGAATAAAATGAAAACATGGAGAAAAATAAAAAAGATTGTTGTTCAAGTTCTCAAGCATACAGATTTGTTTCTGATTGAAAACAAACGCAGCGCTGCTCTGTAAAAACTTTATCATTCTATTTACTCAATAGAAAGTAATGTCATCATACTAAATTATTTCTTCGGAGGAGATCCAATACTATACTTTCTCTTCTCGATCAGCCGATGGGAAAGTACATGTTTCTTCTGCCCCGTTTTGTTGTTTTAGTCGGATGTATCGTTATTGTTTAATTGAATGAAGAAAAAAAAAGTAATCATCGTTCATTTTGACAACAATAGAAGTTGAGAGTAGGATGCCAATTGATCGTATCTCGCATCTTGTTGCACAGGCACCGAATGAAAATCCCAGCCGACGTCAATCGTTCTATCGAACATTCGTGCAATTCCTCTGTTCAAATCTCGGCCTGGTCATCATCGTGGTCGCATACAGTATTGGCGGAGCTTTTCTTTTCATTTTGCTTGAGCAATATATTGAACTGCAAAATTGTCAGGAAGCTAATCGTACGTATACGAACATTTGTTCAGTCATACTACTATGCTCATATTGAGTATTTAGTATTGGAAAATGTTTCGGTTTCGAATATCTCTGAATCGATGTTTAACTACGTTTCGATTTCGACTGATAGCAACGCGGTGATGTACGACCAAATCGAAAGTTATTTAGAGAATTTCACCAGTGATATCTATGAACGTCGATCTGATTTCCGTTATACTGGACAAGATTGCGAAACAACATCTGGTTGGTCATTTTCATCAGCACTGCTTTTCGCAATCACGGTCATTACATCCATTGGTTATGGACATATCACACCAGTTTCATGGTAAATATCGACGACATTCGGACGAAGCTAATCTTTGTATTTGTTTAAGGGAAGGACAAATTACTTGTATCTGTTATGCACTGATTGGTATTCCGATATTTTTACTATGCTTGGCCAATATAAGTTCCATTTTGGGCGATATGTTTCGTTTTATGTATTCGACATTTCTGCACTTCATGTGCTGCTGTTGTCGAGTCTACATGCGTAACCGTCGGCGAAAACAACGCAGACTCAAAGGAACATCGTATAACGATCATTTTTCTATGGGTTATGTGGGCAAAGAATCCATTGATCCGAACTGGCCAGAGGCTGCTCAGCAACATAATGGTGAACGATTAAGTGATGAAGAATATGATCTGGATGAAGACGACGAGAATGAAATGGATGACGTTTGGACACGAATGGAAAGTCGTGTGCCGATTTTAGTTGTCATTTTAATTATCATTGGTTACGTTTGTGTGGGAGCATTTGTTTTCAATCGATTCGAAGGTTGGTCAATGGTAATATCGGTTTATTTCTGTTACATCACACTATCAACGATTGGCTTTGGTGATTATGTAAAACAGAATCCTTCGTCGAGTTTAATTTATCTAATTGCTCGCTTGTTTAGGTACCAGGAATAACATCCGGCTCAACAGACGGCTTACGTTTCCTGGCAAATTGTCTTTACATTGTTGTTGGTTTAGCTGTCTTAGCAATGTGTTTTGATTTAATAAAAGAAAGTATTGTCGACAAATTCGAATGGTTTGTACATTTATTTTGATGATGACAATGCTCGTTTATTCGCATTTAAATACTTCAGGATCGGACAAAAATTCGGCGTTGTTCAGCAAGAAGATGATTTAGTTGACAATGATTTTACACGATATGCAAATTTTCAATACTCACAACAGTCAAGTCAAGAGAAAATCAACTCGCCACCGCCAGCATATGAAGAGCCGGTTGCTGAAGGTGGTTGGTTTAAAGATATCAAAGATAAACACGAGCCACTTCGGGACAAAATCAGTGCTGCAAGTGACAAAGGTATCAAAAATAAGCACGAACCACTTCGGGAAAAAACCAGTGTCGCAAGTGACAAAGTTATCAAAAGTAAGCACGAACCACTTCGGGAAAAAGCCAGTACGGCAAGTGATAAACAAGTCAAAGAGAAAAATGAACCACTACGAGAAAAATTCAGTGGCTCAAGTGATAGATATATCAAGAACAAGATCGAACCACTGCGAGAAAAAGTCAGTATCGCAAGTGATAAATATTAACTTTTTCAAAACATTCTCTGACAAAAGTACATTGATTCATATATTTCTACGTGTTGTCGTTGTCTACTTGCTTTTTATTCTCTCACATTCTTTGCACTATTTCTGACATGTCTCGTACATATACATTGAAAATAAATAATCCAACCATTTGCAGCGTCATCTGTTTCGAAAATAACTGTCACTGGTTATCAAAGTTTTTCCTCGATGAATTCATTCATTCTTTTCTCGCATTTCCCAAATGACCTCGTCAATTGTCGCAAAAAATTTTCTCTCGCATATTGGCTTTTCGCATTCCAATGCATCTGATCTTATGAATAAATTTGGCAATGATATGTCACGTTTAATGGGCACATCGCATCAAGAACTTATTGAAAATTCTCTCCCACTTGATCTACGCCTCCGACTGTTACGTGCGATTCGTTGTTTTCATAGGGAAAAATGGTCGAAATACTTAATGAATCACATTTCGAGTCTCCAACAGCACGATGCATTCGAAAAACTAGTGTATCATCTAATTAAATGCCACATCTGGATTATGTATGCATGTTGGACAGTGAATTACATCCGAAAATACCTCGTCATCATGGATCATACCGATCATCAAGCACTTGGACTTCTGTGTGATAAACTGCAATATTTAAAGCAAACTGTTGTTCAACTCAATGAAATGATTTCGGTGATAAAAAAACATTTGTCTTAGACAAGGTCGATGAAGATTTTTCCTTTTCGCTGCCATTAGTATTGGTATTTGATGATTTAGCTAATGATGAAAATATAGACGATGGAGATCTTCATAGGACACAGGAACGTCATAACTAATACCTCATCAATAACTGTATGTCATTCGATCATCGAGCAGTGCTTTGCCTATCAAGAATATCATTTTTCTTTTCTTCTCGGTATGATAAAAGGCATAGGTCTGAAATAACAAGCTATGCAAAACTCGTCGCGCAAAAATGTCGAACTCGAGATAGGAGAGAGTGTCGACATCAATCAGATTGTTAGTTGGAACTGGAAAAACACATTTTTTATTCATTTTTTTTCAGAAAATAGACTACGTTTGTTTGCAAACAAGAAAAGAGTCTTTCTATTCATTTTTCTACAGCTGATTCATCAATTGCTTCGATATATCGAACGTCATCGATATTACTACTTAGAATCGATGTTATCAACGAAACTGCTATGAACAATGTCATACCACAATGAACACCGTACGCCCAACGAAAATGATAAACTTGATCACGATAACTTAACGGAAGAAAGACTAAGATAAAACTATCGATGATGGTCGAGAATAATAGAAGAAGAATAGTACACTTCCAGTATCGATGACGGTTAGAAAACGAATTTCTTGTTAAGGATAATTTCGCGGTTATGATCGACACGAATGATAATAAAAATGAGAGCACGAGAAGTAGAACGATGAGTGATATAGAGAATATACGAATGTCAGGACGAAAACCAGTTCGATGACATTCCATTGTCATTGACGTTATAATCTGCTTCGTTCGATGGAAATGCTTTTCACAACTAAAGAGGGGTCCATAGTGACCTTGTTTAGTTTCGATCCAGAACGATGTCAAAAAGGCGATGAATAAGAATAAACAATGGAGACTGGTGAGAAATATAATCGCTACTTTAATCGGTGAGACGATGAGAATACGTTCAAATCTCGCACGCGGTGCATACATATTGTCTTTTAATATGCTTGCCGTTGATTATTCGGTCTATTGTCTATCGGAGGGCAAATGGTATGTATGATATGGTAGAAATAGATTCTATCGATTTGTGGCTTTTGCACACAGGAGGAAAAACAGCGTCTTCCCTTAGCGGTATGAAAGAAAAAGAAAAAAAGACAGCAAACATCCGTCATTTCTTATTTAGATGATCTATGTGCTTCATAGAGCAAATCCTCTTGCTCAAGATGATAATTATTTCGAGGTTGCTTCAGAGATGAAATAACAAGGACATCGATGGGAAACTGTCGATGATGCTTATCGCGAGCAGAACAGGTGTATATCAATGATTTGATTGTATTTCGATGGAATAAACATGTTCGACGGTGAAATGTCGATATGAACGTGTCTAACGTTGTATTTGGATGAAAATCTTTAAATAGATCAGTAAACAATAAGTAACGAAACAAAAATACAACTAAACGAGATAAGACAATGTATCACATATGTGTGAGTTACCTGACTAAAGAAAGATAAACAGCCCAAGACGTTGTTCGTTACTTTAAATTTTTGTCTTTAACATAGATAATTTAAGTAAATAAAAACTTGCTTGTTTCTTATCATCTCATCTATTTTACTGAAGATATTACTGCTTTCGAAGTAATATTCGACAAAGTATCTTGCTGTGTCTTTTCTTCTCATTTTCAAAAACGAAGACTCGGAAGTTAACTATAATAATATGCAACGAGTAAGATTATTATGTCAAATAATTCTTAGTTTCACGTTAATTACACTAATCGATGCCCAAGTCGATCCACAATTATGTCCTAATGGACCATCTGCTCCTATTCCCGACCCAAAATGGCGACCAATTCCATCACGATTTGAGATTGTTACAGAACTGGTTTCGGACACTGAGGTCATGGAACTTTCACAAGCTTTTTCAACACAACGAGATGCTATTGCAACAAATTCGAGATACGGTAGATATTTTACTTCTTGATTTTTCACAGCGATCTATTTATTTCATAGGACCCGTTCAATTCTATTGGAATTTCATTACTAATGAACAGTTTGAAGTGCTAACTGAAATTGTTAATCAAATACCTGTTCCACAATGTCTACGACAAGTTATTGGTACGACCTCTGAAACGAGCGTTATTCAGCCAAACACACTGATACTTAAACCATCAGCTTTGCTTGGTTTTGATGCTCGAAATCAAGCCAATGCGTACTGGGGTGTTCGATACGATGGTGACGAAGATCTACGCGGTATACCAACCAATCGATTCAAATCGTGTTTCTACATGAATGACATCAAAGCTACCGTCGCAGTCACATACCATGTATCTGATCCTGATAAATTTCAAGGTTATTTAGCACGCAATCAAAGTACTATTCTCCAGATTGATGTTCGAGTGAAGAATCAAATGAATCGAATGGATGCATATACATATAATGTTTTTCGTTACATACCCAATCCAAGCCGTCGCGAAGAACGACAAGCATTAGAAACGGCAGCCGGTGTCTTCTGTCTAAATCGAACGTCAACCATGCCAATGCCAACTGACTTCCCAGAACGAATTAGTTCCAACTCAGAAGCCTTTATACCAGAAGCAAATAGTTCCATTTACAGTACCCATGGCCTTTACGATTCCGAATTTCAATTCACTCGCTTTGACGTCTGGTTTCCTGATCCATTCGGTGGACCCACTTGGGCACATTTCACTGAAATACATGACTTTGCTACTGGCCTTAGTTACCAGTACAACCACACGACTCGGCAATGTAAAGTTAGCGACATAAATACATTTTTTGGTGATGCAGAAACAGTCAGCGATCAACCGAATCTTGTTCAGATGGGCTCGCCGCAACATTTACTTGTCACGGATGGCATGTCGTATCATTATACAGGCGAGAAACGGTGTCGCGATCGACTTTGGTGTCATGTGTGGATTGGTGAAAAGTATTTGTCAAATGAAACAGTTCAACATCAGGAATGGTACTGGTCATCGAGTATGAATGGTGAACCATTACAGCATTCATTTCCGGTGAAAATGGTTTGGAGAACATATGTCAAAGGTGCATTGACAAATTCTTTTGAAACTAGTAAGTGACGCGAGTGCTCTGTGTCTTTTTCATCATGTTCGTTCTATTTTGCAGCAATTTTCAATTACCGTCGCAACCCGATGACCATCTTCGAAATCGATTTCGCTCTCGCTGACTGTTACAGATCATTGGGACCATCAGGTAACGAAGTCAAACTCATCGTGTTTTTTTTTCGCCAAGTTAATAGTCGAACCTTGATCTCGTTTAGAAAATTTCAATCTTGCGGTATTATCATTTACAGTCGCAAATGACAAGAAATATCCTGTATTCGAAAATCTAAATTATCTTCGCCTTCATATTTTCGAAACTCTTATATTCGCATTATTCATTCGTCCCATTCGTATATCGAATCTAATCGTCGATCAGAATGAAAGCAATGACATTTTAGTCACATTCACATTACTTGATGCTGCACCACGGACAGGACCTGTTGAAGTTCCCATCAAGGAATCATCCTTGGACACATTGATCGAACGGCTCAATGCAGTGATCGACTCTAATGCCCTTACTTTCCGCGCTAGAGTAAATGCGAAACAAATCATCTTACGCGCCCGTCCCGACTCCTTGAACATTCGACATCAATCCAGTCAAAAGAAAGTGAGAAGCACCGGACCAAGGATCACTGGCCTTTGGATCGGTTTTATCACTGCAGGAGTCATCATTGGTGCCGTGACTGGATTTTTGGTTTTCAAAAAACTGGCCACAGCATAGACTCGAACAGAATTCTTTTCTAGTTTTTATACTGTACTGTAAGCCAAATGATCATATATATTTTTGCCTTTTGAAAGATCATAACTCGAAACTAATCAAAGCTATATTGCATTCATTTGTGGGTCTTCTTGTACTATTTATTTATGAGAGTACATGATATACATTTCCTACGATAATAACAAAACGAAAGAATGTCGTATGACTAAAATCATTGTCTAAGTATCAAATTCTTCCAGATGGATACCAGATGTTTGGTATAAGATTATTGAAATAATTCTCGCGATCACAATGACATCGTCGAAAGCGATTATCTGGTTATGAAAATCTTCAAGAAACAATTCAATTTGTTCTGATCAAAGTCATTTATATCTGTCAATGATAATTTCTTCGGTAGTACTGATTTTGTCAGTTTTGCACCGGAATGTTTTCTTTTCGAATCTCTCGACAATTTGCTGACAATCATTCTTCATACAAATAGAAAAAAACAACAAATCAATTCTCTTGCTAATAATCCCAGGTATTTCTAACAATAGTGATCAATTGTGTCCATTTTCATGTGTCAATGATTGTCTTCTTTTTCTCAGTTAACGACACGTACACAGCCGTTGATGTCTATCCGTTTATCCTATTGTATTCTCCAAATAAATCATTGCCGAATGCACAACGAGAAAGTAGAATAGCACAATATGGTTTCAATTGCGACTGTTGAGTAGTTGTTTTTCTGACTGTCACATTGATTTCACAATGATGTTCTGAAAATATTTTCTTAAGCCTATTTTTGCCTTCGGAGAGTTCTAGCCTCCTATGATAACGAACGTCATCGTCGTTCTTCTGACGTCTCAAATATCCAGCAAAGCAATTTATTTACGCCTCGAATTCAGAGATGCCTAATGAGTGATTAATTGATGAAGAAAAAGAAAAATTGACAAAGACAGGCTTGTCGACTCAAAGTCTACGGTTTCAAGATGTTATTGTCAATTAGAATTATTTACTGATATAATCAAGAAAGTACGCTGAGAAGAGAAATCGCTTTTTTTTCTGTTCATCAATGACAGATCATCGAGCGGAATTAACTATCAATTAACATTTTTCGATTCTCAAGTAAAACAGATCTATCAGAAGTATGTTATCGAATTATCGCGAAGATACTCAACACTTTTACTCGTTATTGACGCATTGCTGACTTTTTCATTCGAGAATGTTGTCAGCTCTTCGATCATTTGACTAGCAATACCTATCTTCATCGAATCAAGATTTCCGTTTTCAAATCACATAGATCAAACATCAACATTCCCAAACTAGTTGTATTCTGTTCTTTCTTTTGTGCCTAGTCCTTGACGATGCTATCAAACAAGATCAAATGATGAGATGAAAGCTGACAGCATGAAGAACACAAAGCAAAATGATTATTGTTTGTTTGATCGGTGAGTTTATCTTATCAGAGAACGAACTGTCTGTTAATGTACGTATACGATTACGTGTGTATGTATACATATATATCTGTTACATTAACACTTACATCATTGATGATGGAATGTTCACGTGATTTTCTGATATAATGTAGGAAAATCGGAATAAGGTGTCGATATGCATGTCGACAGACAAAGACGTATCGTTTAACATGCAATCTGAGATAATTGTATATCGATAGGCTTTTAAGTGTACATAAAGGGTAAGAAACAAAACAGATCTGTCTTATAAACAAGTCAAAAGCCATAGAAATCGCTGCTATCGGATGAAAAAGAAACCAATGCTTAAAAACAATCTTATTAGAAAGAAGAAGACAGGCAATTGAATGTACTAGACATTTCCTGTTATTTCCTGCAGAAATATTTGTGTAAAAAAGGATTAGTAACGGAAGATCTGTTTGAGTAAATATCACCAAGAAGAAAATAATTACTACTGAAAAAAAAACGTATCCTCGTCTGGTAGGAAGGGCATTGATAAAGAGGAGAGATCGTCTTTTCCTTGCTCTGTTTCTTATTTCTACCGTATGAGATGAAATCAATATAGGTTTTCGGAGACAGCAGAATGGTTCGTCAGATTTTCTAATTGAAAAAGAAAAGCAAACGCCGATTTCAAGAAGATGAAATCACCCAACCGTGCATTCGATCATGCTTCCATAGGAAACGAGTGACTCGTTTGCATCGAACATGCGTTTGTCGTCTGTCATTGCCTTTCAAGGGATGAATATCTTTTCTTATCTATAGAAATTGATTTGATATAGTTTTGTGAAATATTCGGCAAGATATGATTATACTGGTTGGTTCATCTAAATGCAAATCTGACATTGCCTTTTCTCTTTGTTTCTTCTTTCTTCTCTCGCCTCATCGCCACTGACAATATGTAAGTACAGGACTGTTCTACTATCACAAACCAATATTGATCTCTACACACACGCACACACACACACACATTGCATTGATTTTCTAGATGTCTGAACCTAATCTATGTTTACTCTATCAGAATTGTACATCACCACTCACTCCTTCAGGTACATTGTATAAAACTATTCTTATCGTCGTTGCCGGTTCAATTCTATCCTTATTGACAACTATTGGCAATTTACTTGTGTTGATTTCATTTCGCATTAATAAACAATTACGAACTGTAACGAATTACTTTCTTCTCTCGCTTGCTATAGCTGATTTCACTATTGGATGCTTTTCTATGCCGATATTTTTCACTTTTTTTGGAAGAGATCGCTGGCCATTCAACTCATTTTTATGTGATGTTTGGTTAAGTGTCGATTACACAATGTCCAATGCATCTGTTGCTAATTTACTTCTGATATGCTTCGATCGATACTTTTCAATAACACGGCCGTTGACATATCGAGCGAAACGAACGCCAAAACGTGTCTCATTGATGATCGCTTGTGGTTGGACTATATCATGTTTGATTTGGACACCGGTAAAGATTCTAACCATGTTGATAAGTATGAGACGACTTGCGTGTTTGTAGTGGATCTGGGCATGGCCGTTGCTTGACAAGAGTCGTCCGCCAGGTGAATGTCATTTGCCGTTTGCTTCAAAAGCAACAGGTAATTTTTGTCACAAGCAAATTAGAATTGAAAGAAATGAATTCTAGTGGCGATTCCAACGGCGATAGCTGCATTCTATTTGCCTGTTACGCTCATGTGTTTGCTCTATTTTCGTATATATCGTGAAACAGTGAAACGTCGAAAAGAATTACATCTCCTTCAAGCACAACATCACACTTCGTTGTCTCAAACACCGCCAGCAACAGCAAATACCAATACTAATGGTCGTTTTACAAAAAATTTAAGTATTGCTGGTACAACATCAGGCATGGAGCAGGATGAAAGCGTCTCAACAGATTCTAATCGATCTCATGGACGAATTCTGTCGATTCAAACATCAACAAATAAGAAACTCATCTTATCACATCGAAATCAATCACGGCGATATTGTTGCTGCTGGAAAAGGTAGGATAAACACGTCCGTTGCTTGTATAAATGATTTTTATATCAACGATTATGATGAATATTTTCGTCTGACTAAGATTTATCTGACATGTGCATATGTGCATTAAAGGAGAAATGATGAGACAATAGAAACTGACATTCTTTCAAACAAACTATCAATGAGATAGACTATTAGCGTACACACATAGAAAGCGAAGCGTTGATTGTCAATCATGATGTCCATTCTCTTTCTAGGCAATGTGAAGAAACACATTCGAAAGCAGGTAAAGACGACGATGACGATTCATCGAGTGAATTTCGTCCAGTCATATCTCCAACAATCGATCAGAACTTAGCTGATGCGTATTTACTCTCGAATAATAATGGAAAACTCTCGCTGATCAATGATCATTCGAATCCAATTCAAGACACATTAGATCAAACGAAATCACTTCCATCAACCGATCCATGGATACGTCGATGCGATCAACCCCTATCGACGGAATCTGTTTGTGATCAAGAACAATGTCAAAAGTCGACTCAATATGAAACTCATCCATGTTATCAATCTTTATCATCAACATCTGAAGATTGTCTTTCTCATCATCATCATCCGCAACAGCAAACCTATCGACAAATATTAATCAATTCTATCGATAAAGATATCGAATATGTAGAATCGAGATTACGCGGTCAAACAACAGTTTCACTTCCAACCACACATTCAACAACGTTTGCACACGAGAATACTTGGCGACGTTCATCGAATCGAAACTATCCCAACATCCTATCATCCAATGATCCACCACCGAATCGGAAATCTTCGAACTTAAACACCAAACAATCATCAAATGATGCGATCAGTACAAATAAAGCAAACAAAACTCCAACGAATGAAAACATCAAACCAAACAAACGACGTATCGAAAAAATCAAAGACCAGAAAGCAGCCAAAACATTGAGGTAATTACCAATAAGCGTCGTTGCCTTCGTGTTAATAGATTCTCATCTATATTTAGTGCGATTCTCATCGCATTCATTGTCACATGGCTTCCATACAATACAAATATAATTATATCAACCATCAAGCCAGATGCATTTCAATATGGTTTTCCAATGTATTGGGAACGATTTGGCTATATGTTATGCTATGTAAATTCGACAATAAAGTAAATATTTGTGCTGTTTGATGTTTATTGAAAAGCCTGATTGTTTCTTTTTTTAGTCCGATGCTCTATGCACTGTGTAACGGAACATTTCGACGAACATTTGCTCGTATACTCCGCTGTCAGTGTCAACGACGTCATACGTTAAAGCATATTCAGAAAGCGTATTACTTTCAGACGAAAACCAACGTGCCTAATCACAATTTCTAGTGCGAAACAAGAAATCTAATGTTCGCTCGTTTAGTGTGATCGATTCTTGACAAAAAATTCTGGTCGTTTTCAATGTATATAAGAATAAACAACAAATGATAGAAGTCTTCGTACAACACACATAGTTTCGGGTTAGAAACAACGTTGAGAGACGTTCGATTAGAATCGGAAGCAAAGCAAAAGTAAAGATTAGTCTGATATTCCAGATTTCCATATGTTGATTGACATATATCGACAAAGGTGAGTCCTTAGACTCCATAACACTAAATAAACATCTCTGGTTCAAGATAAAATTCAAGGTAAGACTAATTGATTGATCAGTTCTGGTAGATATTTCAAGATGTGAAACCTTGGTATCAGCATTGAACAACTTAGATCGAAGAGATGATCTCTTAGGAATGTCAAACAACAGATATACTTCTTTGTTTCATAAAATAACAAGACATAGAAAGCAAAACTATAAAAAAATGTTTTCCGTAAGATAACAATTCGATGAATCTTCATTGTAACTCGTTTGAATAGTTTCATTTTAACAATCATGAAAATCACGCCTGAAGAGAGGTTTAGTGTTTTTCATTCATCGAAGAAAAATTCAAATAAAACAAACATATTCAACACAAAATCTGCAATGTCAATTCATGAAAGAGATATCAAAGAGAAAACATTCGTTTATAGACGGTACGGACTGATCTAATGGGCAAGATTTTCTTCGAGAAACGATGTTAGTGTATCCGTATCCCATTTTTCAATACCCATCGATTCGATTTGCTCATCTTGTTCGTTAAATAAGTTTAGGATGGGATCCGCACCGCGAACATATTGAACACTGAATGAAGGAAATCGCGCAGGACGATCACTTCGAATGAACGCCGAAATTTGGGCGTATCGGCCCAATTTTCAGGAACATACTTGAAGAACTGCTCGATGATATTTCTATAAGCAAAATCAAAATAGGCCAACTGTCAGTTGACATATTTCCTCTACTCTTACCGTTTTTCCTTCTCCTTCATCTTCGTCGTTGCTACAGCATTGTCGACAAGAACCTTCTAGTTCATCCAATTTGAATTGTTTTAAATCATTGCAACTTGAGCATACTAAATTATTCGAAGCAAACCCGAGATCAGAGCATTGACCTTCTGATAAAGATTCCGACGTTGCGAGAACCTAAACAGAATTTTTTCAAACTCCGCCGTTCATCATCAATTCTACGTACAATACAAGCCAGAAATTGGCTGAGAAAAGCCGCCAGAAAGTCGGCGGTGCGCATAGCACAATCTGAAATAAAACAAACGACGAGAAAGTCACAGCTGGTAGTATGTAAAACAAAGAGAAATCGACGAGGTGTGTTTGAAACTAATGAAAAATGCGTTCTCTTTTGTTTATGTGATGTGATATTGATGAAACTTCATACGACGTGTTCGATGTCTGTGTCGCTTCATTCCTGCCTCCATTTCGTCCAACCAAACAATCGTCAATGACGTTTCAAGATTGAGATTGGATAAAATTTTTGGCCGCTCGCACGCCAAGTAATTTTCTGTCAAAAATGAATCATTTGAAATAATAGAATCTCGTTATATTATATCATCAGAATCAAAATGTCGTGGCGTGAAGCCTTGAAAAAGCCAGTGGCTAAACCGACCGCACCCAAACCGAAATTCGTTTCTAACAATGACGATTGGGAAACAGATATTAGTTACGAAGTAAATTCATCGATTTCATTTCGAGAGAGAGCTCTTTCGTATCTTTGTTCGAATAGAATCAAACAACAGAAAAGTCGCAACGATATGGTTCGACAACCGTTCCTGGTTCTGGCCGCATCGATCACGTTGACTTTAAATCAATGCAAGAGAAACTTAAAACAGCCGATCAGACTGTCAAACAAGTATATCAAGACAAAAATCCTAATCGAGGTTATGGCGGTAAATTCGGAACCGATCAAGTGATGGATAAAGTAATTCGAAACATACTCTTCTTCTCTTAATTACGCAAAATTCGACTTATTCTTCTAGTCTGCCGCAGATTTTTCATACAAAGCGGATATACAAAAACATTCCTCACAGACAGGTAAGATGAAGAAAGAATTTTCATTGAATTTCACGACGATTTGTATTTGAAGATTTCGAATTGTATGTATATCTTTTCTGATTAAGTTCATTGCATATGCTCTGCTAATTGTGTTAGATTCGAAGATTCAAATAGTCATTTTCTTTTCACATGTAATTACAACATAGACAAATATTCATGGAGTCACATACAAAGCTGCAGAAAAAGCAGGATGACTAGTAAAATAGTCAATGAAAGCTTCTTTTGGTATGGATTCAGTTTTCAAACCATTGTACATCTCGATTTTCTTCCATACTTGCTGACAATCCGTATGAATACCGTATAATATTGACATATCTCGAAGTACTTGTCGACCCATATTGGCGGTCATGCAGCCATTGCTTTGCGCGTAACGGTCTAGAAAAAAATCGAGACGAATGTACGGATGGATGGTATGTTGTAGCATAATGTAGAGAGAAATGTATTCATCGAATGTTAAACGGCCGGTTCGGTCGCGATCGAAAATCGTAAAGAGTCTATCGATTAAGATTTTGTTGTGTCGATTGAATCTGACACCTGCTCGTTTGTACTGTTCTTTGTAGATTCGGCGAAATTCATATTTGTTCAGAAGATAATCTTTTGATGCATATTGAAACTGTTTATAGATTTCATTGATTTGCTTTCGAGGTATCTGCGCTAGGTTTGATATAGCATCGAGTTCCCATTCTTCCGTTCGACGTCCTTTTTGTTTGTTGCCCATCATTGCGTGTGCATTGCTCAGAATAATTATTTACGCTTGAAAATACTATTTCAAACTTTAATGGCGAAAATATTGTCAGTGATCATTAGCGACTGCCTATGCGTTGCAGAACTAAAATGTTATTAGTTATGTGATTTTTCTTTCCTCTTCTTCATAGACGGGAAAAAAGGTTTCGGCGGTGCATATGGCGTTGATGAACGTGCGAAAGACAAATCTGCTCTTGGTTTTGATTATAGAGCAGAAGTGGAAAAACATCCGTCACAAACAGGTGTGAAAATTTCATTCTCTAGTTTAGACATGTCATTGCTTGTCTAGACTTTTCCAAGGGTTTTGGTGGAAAGTTTGGCACTGATTCGAATGCACAAGATAAATCAGCAGTTGGGTTTTCTCACAGAGAAACTGTACCGAAACATTCTTCACAAAAAGGTGCGTGTAATTTCGAATATCATGCTCTACATCTAAACCGTGTCGATTATTGTTAGATTACAGTATGGGTTTTGGTGGTAAGTATGGTGTTCAGAAAGAAGAACCTGACCGTTTGAATGCTCCGAGCTCGCCACCATCAGGTAAAGTGATCGTTAGTTTGATCCGAATCTATTTTCTTTCCATTTTTAGAACGGAAAGTTGAAGAAAAACCTGCACCGCCTACTGGCAGTAGTGCAGGCGTTGGCAACATTCGAGCACGGTATATTTCGTAATAGCAATATTAGTAATCGATAATTTGTTTTATACTATCTACAGATTTGAAAATATGAAAAAAGAACAGGAAGAGGAGGCTGCGAAACGCGTAGCTGAAGAACGAAATAAACGAGCCGCTAATGATCAGAAATTAGCGAGTAATGGGCACGCTAAAGTGAATCATTCCGAAGTATCTCCGCCTCCGGCCACACAGCCGAAACGAGACCCGTCGCCACCCATCCCACAACCTGTGGTGGCACCACCAGCACCCACACAAATTTATACACCGACTGTCTATGAAAATATCAGTAACAACTCTGAACCACAACGACCAACGGCAAAAGAAGAGCCAGTGACATTTGTTGGCAATGTCAATGTCTCTACGTTATTACGACAACGAAAAGCGTCATCTTCCTCATCTAAAAACGGAGATAATGATGATGATGAGTGGGCTGAACAACCACAAGCACATCATCAACCATCAACATGGCAAAGAGATCCGTCACCTACGCCGGTCCACCAACCGGAGCACTCAGCAGACAATGGCCAAGATCAAGGTATTAGATGTATAGCACATTACAGTTATCAGAAAAGTAAGTCGAGCGGCTTTTCAATCAGCAGTTGTACGTATTATCTATTGTTTAGCTGAAGATGACGAATTAGGTTTCGAAGAGAATGAAATTATTACCAATGTGCAAAAAGTACGATGAGTCACTTTGTTCTTTTATACGAAATAATCTGTTTTTTTTTGTCATATAGATGCATGAAGAGTGGTGGTTTGGTAAAATTGGATCGAGATCCGGCCTTTTTCCATCTAACTACGTTGAAGAAATTTAAAACATCATCGTCACATTCTTACGTTTACCTTCAGCCTCTAATTGACTAAGAAAATCCGTTATCAAATGTTACGATCGTTCTCTAACGTCCATAGACATCTTTCGCATGCTATCTGTGTGATGTAAATTATCGTTGTGACAATTATCATTCTTTTTTTACTCTACAGTTCTGTGCATTTGTCTTGTGAATTGTCCGATTCGTTGTCTTTACTTTTATTCCATATAATAAACATTCAGCGGTGCTTTTCTCATTTAAGACATGAGTATATTCCATCTAAGTTCATTTATTATTGTTCTATTATCATCGAATGTCGACGAATGAATACATATAGACAAGGACCCAAAGAAAAACATGAACATGAACACATAAAAAAGAGAATACAAAGAAGAAAAAACAAGTCGCCTATCGTCAGTGATTTATGTATACAGGGATGAATTGTTCGTATCAGAAATGTATGGCACATATACACATACCATTCGAATTAATGAAATGAATGATCGACAACAGTGTGATGTAACGAAACGAAGATAGTTTCAGTGAATTCTACGCTTTGTTGGTGAATACATGTATGTATAAATAGTGAAACGATTTTCTTCATTCAAATAACTATTCATTTACTGTATATGTAGATATCTTCTTATTGAAATGTGTTTGTAGTTGATGTTGGATTGGAACATTGAGCTGAAAGATTCGTTTCGTATCTCCTCATGTCATACGAAGTTTGTTGCGAAGGATAATAATGTACGCCGTTAACTTTTACTCTATAGCTTGACCAAGAATTTTGTGACTGATCATGAACGTTTGAAGAATTCGGCATTGTTACACCTAAAATGAAATCAGTTAGAGAAATGTCTCATTGTTTCGAGCTCATACCACTGTTCTTTGGATAAGTTGAATGCAATACTTGTTCGTGTCGATGATTGACTTGTTGAGGCTGATAATGAGTGGTGGGATTCAGATTAGTCGGATTTGCTGATGCTGTTGTAACGAGATTATTAGTTGCTAGGTGGAGATCTTCTTCGATTTTGACTCGTTTAGCAGAATGGTCATCAAGCTTGAAATCCGATGAAGATTTTTGTACAGGACTGGAGTGAGCTGAAGGCGATGTGGTCACTTCCCTACCTAAAATAAATACATTAGAAAATAAATTTGATCTCTATACAACTCTGCACTTACTATTTGTTGCTGTTGCTAATGAATTCTGTGATTTATTAACGATAATTGCGTTCGATTGTCCAACAATTTCGACGGTTAGTATACCTAATTCGATAAGACGCGCATTACCTTGCACAGCAAGTGAACGAAGTTGATCTGCTGCTTCCTTTGGAATATCAAATGACACTTTGACGCTGTTCCATGGTTGTACTTTTTTCAAAGCGAACCGTCGACGACCTGCATTCATAGATGTACGTGACACTGTGCTCTTACTCTCTCTCTTCAATGTAAATGAACCATACCTGTATGCAGTATTTCTCTCAGATTATCTCTAATCTCGTGCAGTTTCGTTTTCAGTTGGGGATCGAAGTAGTCTACTTTGCATACGAGCCGGATTTCAACAGATTCATGTGGTGCCATGATCTTTTGGCATCACTACAGAAACGAAAAAAAAATAACAACATACAACATTTGATTTTCTCCTATGTACCTTACTCTACTAGCAACACATGTTTCTCGATCTACGATCGTATGGTTGATTTATATCGATTAGAATAGGTATTAGAAAGAAATAATCGACTCATAAGATTGGAAGTAAAATGATTCGTATTGGATTGGTCGTAAATAATAACCATTAAATAGAACAAGAAAGAGTAAGATTGCTACCAATCAGTTTCAGGTATCGAGATCTCTATTGATGAGTACATTCTGAGACATTGTTGCTTTGCATTCCAACGGAAGTGATCTTCGGTAACAAACTAAGATTAATAACTTATGAAAGAAGATGTTGCACACATTTAATTCTGATTTTGTATAGTCGAATCTCTTCCTAGATGTCGCTTTTACATCGTCTGCTAGAACTCAAACCTAAGTTGATTATATTTCGACACATATATTTTCACTGTTATGATAACCTTAGTAATTAATTTATAACAAGTACAAAGTCATGTCTCCAGAGAATGCCTCGAAAACATTAGCCATTTCAACTGAATTTCAAGGACTACCATCGTTACAGAAGAAACGTTCGAGTACAACAAAATTCGTGGGTATTCACGTTTCATATGTGAAAAATGCAATAAAAAAGATGCCATTTGATTATTTTCTGAAATAATTTCTTCCATTTTTTTGTGTTGTATTACATAAATACATAAACAAACAGCAGCAAAAGGAAAGGGAAAGAGTGTTCCTTAGTCAGTTAGTAGCGAACACTCTTTCAATAAATTAATTATAATCGAATATAATGAAAAGAGAAAGAGAGAAAACGACAGGAGTCCCAAGCTGATTTCTTTTTTTTTCATACAAACGAAAAGCCGAAACGAAGGAAAAAAAAGGAAAGAATTCACTGGAAACAAATTATTTACATACATGAGAGAGAGAGAGAGAAAGAAAGAAAGCGCACAAGAAAAAGAGGAGAGAGAGAGAAAGAAACTGAACGAAGTGCTGTTGCTTTTTTTTCTGAAGTTTGTGCATGTTGAAAATAAAAATAAAAATCATACACATGCTCAATAACGATCTGCTTGAGATCTGAAAAAGATAAAAACGAAAGCTTAAGCATTGTTTGTTTCCTTTACTTGAACGGTTCACCTACTTTGATTTTAGTTTTGAACGTTCATCATAAAAAGACACTGTCTTATCACTATTGGGTGAACCTGCGCGATTCGCAATCGAATGATTTTGTTCGATACTCATGGAACGGGCATAATCTGATACGCTACTCAATAGACTTGATTTTCGTCCATTGAAATCACCAGTACCACCGCAAACATTATCACCGTTGTAGTCAACACCAGGTACAGCACATGCATCTCTACAGAATTCATTGAGAATAACGTTAGACAAAGTTGGTTGTCGGGAAAAGGAGATTTTACTTGATCGAACCAGCCAAGGCTTTCAGACTGTCCATTGTTTTCGATGATTTTTCACTGATTGTGATACTTTCCATGTCGAAGCTTTTGCAATCACTAACTTCTACTTGAACTTCCAGACTAGAACGGACGAGCTCGTAGAGAAACTCTCCTATAATGACTTCAACCTACCGGTTTGGTGGTAAACTTTCACAAAGTGAAACAGCGCCTGTACCCGGCAATGCTTTTGTACTTTCATTACTTCTATCGTCAACGAGATGTGTAACGCTATTGGATAAGCTAGTTGAATCACCTCCGATTGTTGGGTGTGTCATCACACTTTGATTATCTATCGAAGAAAATCCCGCATTGCCAGATAGGACCGATCAGTTCAGCTTACCGTTTAAAATGGCTCGTGCAATTGGTACTTCACGTAGAGAAAATGGCAAAAAACTGTCTATATTCGGTCCATCACCTTCTGATGTTTCATTTCTTGTTCCAATACCGCAACCGCCCGTTCGACAAAGAGAAATAGGAATAACCTAAAACGAGAATGTCAACGTTGATTGTCATTCACCAACGGTTTTGCAATCACTTACTCCATAAACATAAGCTAATAGTATGGGCACACCAATACCCACAGCAAGTGCTGCAACGATTGGCGATGCGACAACGCTTCCCATTACACCTAAGGTCACCAGAGTGTTTCTCTTCGCTTTACTATATTTTGGTTTATTGAACTTCTTGAAAATTTTTCGTCCAGCCCAAACAGGTACACCAATGATGACACCTGGCACTGCTACACCAGCAATTAGTGCGATGATCACGGGTGCGCCGATCAAGGTTGCTACCTGCCAGAGAATGACTTTCTTTCTACTCCATTGTTTCTTACCCCAAAATGTACAACCCGATGGGCTGAAAAAGCAAACACGCTATTTTGTTTTCATATTAAAAACTAAACATGTTTTACCTCAAATAATGCAAATCAGATATTTCTCTACCACATAACCAACAGAATTCTGCTTCACAGATTGGACAAGTCATATGGTTCTGAAAAGAAATTCAACTATGAGTATAGAAATCCTTAATCAATAACCCACTTACACATGATCCATCATCCATTTTCAATATAGATGCTTGACATCGTGGGCATTGTTTAATTTCGTCTCGCTGTTGAGCAGATGCAAGACTAATAAATGAGCCCGAACGAATTTTCGATGTTTTCTCTCGCGCAGCGTCTTCACAGGTTTTATTCGGATGCCATGTCGCTTTACAATGATAACAAAACGATGTATTGCATCCGGGCCGTAAACATTGAATTTCAGGACAAGCCGCATAACCGGATGCAATAACTGCGAAACCGCAATCAGGCGCTGGACACCATCGTGTATCCGTTATCGATTGTAGAACACGTCGTACCATAAATTGTTCATATTTCCCTATGAGATCTGGTTGGCTTTGCAAAATACGTGATATATCACTTGGATGAATACGTTCAGGACAATCACTGTGCGGACAGTTCAGTGTGACACGACCTTCGGTAATTTCTAGTTTTAGATAACTTTTCAAACACGTGCGACAATATGCATGCGAGCAAACGGTTAGCCGTTCGAATTGATCGTGTGGATAATCATGGCAACACAACGTACAATTTTCAAGACTATGACTATTATCGTGTAATTGATTCGTGGTAATAGGTATGATATTAATAACATGTGGCTCATTGCTTGATGGAACAACTGATTCGATAACTTCGTCTTTTACAATCGCGGATGACGATCTGATTGATTCATTGTCATGATGTGAAGAAGGATATTGTTGTTTAGGTGCTGCTTGACAAGAAAATCGCACCGATGAGGATGATGGACGACTAGTAGGAAAACGAAGAAAACTCAAAAGACGACGACGACGTACACTTCCATTGTTACTATTGGCTGTACTCGAAGTTAAAACTTCTACGAAAGAAAATCAAATAATAACCTCGGCTATTCGATCTATCTGTTTTACTTGAATTTGTGGTTGAATTAGATGCATTGTTTGGTAAAGAAAGTAAATTGGAACTAATTGGCAATGATGCTGTTGTTGTCACCGGTGTGCGATCTTTTGTGGACGTAGACGATGAATCCGTAGTTGAAGGTTGTTTTAATGACGAATGCTGCTTACGGTTTTTCGAGAACATTGTTGATGAAGATAACTAATAAAGAAAAGGATAAAACAAAATTATACAACACGGTCTTATTAGTTCCCATCGTTTTTTTCTTCCTCACCACGTCGTCAAGTTCTATGTCACGAGATTTTTTCGATCGAGAAGAGATATCGACCGAACGTTTTCGTTTAGAAGAAAAATTGCCCATATTTAGTCGTAGGCGAGAAAATGAAAAAAGAATTTTGTCACTGTACACAGATAACAGAACGAAAGGTCTACAAAGAGAACAGCTGATTTCGTCGTTTTCTCTCCTTTCTTTCTCACGAGCATATGTAGATGCGTAATATACTAGTCATAACTAACAAACAAAGAAAAAAACTTACTTTACTGTGTATATTTAATCATTTGATAACATAATAGACAAAATAAAAAGGAAAAAAGTTCGTTTTGCTATGACGTACACAAAAAAATAGTAAATATAGATCTAAAACGAAAGAAAAAAGATATATTTATTAAAGTTGCTTGTATAGAGAACAAACGACATTAGATTGAAGGTAGGAGGTGAGAAATACGCCTTCACCATTGTATAAAAATATATGATTCATTTAGGTAAATTAATTGCTAACTATTACGAAGGAAGAAAGGTTTGCTCATTTTGTTTTCGAAGAAGAGCAACATTGTTGTTGTTTACTATGTAGGTTGCGCGAACCAATTGGAAATCGAGTTGAACACGATTCGCCTAGAGGTAACAGCCAATAGAAACAGGATCGTGTATACCTACCGTGCCGTACATAGAATGGTTGTACAACAAAACGAGAACAATGCTCGGATGTTGTATACCTAAGGATCCTTCGAAACATACAAATAAATTGATAAATGAAGCGTTGGAGCGCGATAGAAAAGCATTGAATGCAGAATCCAAGTTACTTTTACTCGGTAAGAGAGAACATATTCCTTATTTTCAAAACAGAGAGAGAGAGAAAAGAGAGTGAAAATGGATGTTTTTCTTAGGTGCTGGAGAATCAGGAAAGAGTACAGTGGTGAAACAGATGAAGTAAGTGTGAAAGAACATAAAAAGATTTTTTCGAGATGAAAACTTTTATTTTAGAATTATTTTCACTGAAAATGGTTATTCGACAGAAGAATGTCTTGATTTCAAACCAGTGATATTCTCTAACACAATTCAATCCATGCTCGCCATTTTGCAAGCAATGCCTCGATTGAACATTTCATTCGCTGATTCTACACGAGAAGTACGTATTCTATGGCAATCAACTAGATATTCTCAGTTTCTATACAACTCAAAAGGAAATGATTAATTTCGACCGATTCCTGTATACGTCAAGAGAGGAGCGATAAGATCGAGATGTGATTTATATCTACGGAAGTCAATCGAGCGGAAATCAGAGATAACCGAACCACCAGTCTCATCCGTGACCTATAGATGACCGGAACAAGTTATATGACGTGCTGTCAAACAGAAAACATAATAATCGTGTCGTAGTTCGACTCACCTATCGATTAAAGTTAATATTGCCATATTTATCTTTAGAAAGACGCTGTACTTATTCTTAACTATACAGAGTTGGAGACGACGAATCACGATGTGCTGCCAGAAAATATTAGTAAAGCCATGCAAATTTTATGGGCTGATGATGGTGTCCAAAAATGTTTTCTACGTGCTCGTGAATATTATCTTAATGATTCAGCAGCATAGTACGTTCGCAACGGAAACAGTTCTTTCCGCATTGCTTCTTTTCTCGTTTAGCTATCTGAATTCGCTTGATCGGTTGACTCAAGTTGATTACATTCCTACACAACAAGATGTTCTACGTACTCGTGTAAAAACAACCGGTGTTGTCGAAACGGCATTCACATTGAAGAATCATCGATTTCGGTAAGTTCACAGCGAGCCATTTTTCTGATCTTTTAATTAAAAAATAGAATTGTCGATGTTGGTGGTCAACGAAGTGAACGGAAAAAATGGATTCGTTGTTTCGAAGATGTAACAGCGGTGATATTCGTTAGCGCTCTGAATGAATACGATCTTGTCTTAGCAGAAGACAACAGTGTTGTAAGTTGACTTGTTCTTTCTCATCAATTCTATTCTTATGAATTTCAGAATCGTATGCACGAAAGTATACAACTGTTCAAATCGATTTGCAATAATCGATTTTTTCAACATGCCGGAATGATTCTTTTTTTGAATAAAAAAGATTTATTCGCCGAGAAATTACGCTTTTCTCCTATCGGCACATATTTTTCGGACTACAATGGTTTGTCGCACACGGAACACATTCTTTATTGTCTTCTTGTGTGCTTTTCTAGGTCCCAACACATACGAATGTTCACTTCATTACATTCAAGAACAGTTTGAGAAAATGGATCTTCGTGAGAAGAATCACAGCCATCAACGTGATCTCTACGTTCATATAACATGTGCAACGGATACCGAAACAATGCAGTTCGTCTTTGCAGCTATCTCAGATATGATTATTCAAAGTAATTTTATGCATGCAGGAATATTTTAAAAAAGCATAGTAATGTACATTTTTCTTGACGATAATTATATAATGAATGTTATTTATTTGCATGAATAAAGTTTGTCTGTCAGATATGTAAATAATAATGTTTCTATCATGGAAGAATTCGAACTAAATCTCCTTCTGAACGTATTTTGATGACCATCCGCCAAGGAAATGGACACATAACAACATCGACCAAAAGCTCAACTAATCGATCGGTACGATGATGTCGTAGCTGAATCTGTTCACTATCGCAATCTAGTATTAAAGTTACGTCATCACCCGGTCGAACGACTCTCTCGTCATCACTTTTTTGTACGTGACCGGCTGCAACTGGTCGAACTAAATCCCACCAACCAAAGAGAGATCTATCGAAAAGATCCGCTCGTTTGATATCCTCTGCCGCGTTAGTAACTCCAACAAAGATCGAATCATGAATTTGTTCAACTCGTAGACGTATATGATGTTTGCCTTTCGAATATCGATTGCTTCCATAGACAATGGAAGGAAATAGAAATGTTCTGCAATAGCACGTAACCACATGATCGTCTTCCAATGTTTTTAGTTTACCATCGACGTCATCGAATCGTTCGTGGCATAGAGAATAATCTAGTTTTTCAGTCGTATTTGCAGTAGCAGTAACAGTAATAGGAGTATCAATCGTGCTATATAAGCGTCGAAGAGGTTGTTTGACGGAACTTGATGAAGAAGATGTCTGGTGTCCATGTACTCGAATCAAACGCATGGTTGGCTGTGATGCATTGTCTTCACAAATTCCGATCGGCGGTGGACATTCTAATAGTTTTCGAAGATCTTGCAATTGTCGTGCCCATTTCTCGATATCAGTTTCTGTATAATCATAAGATTCTCGAGATGATTGAAGCTCATCAGTCATTCTACGAACAGTTGTGCTCATTTCTTCTTGATGTTTTCTGAGTAGTTCTCGAAGTTCAACTCGAGCTATTTCAGCTGCCGTTTGAATTTTTCCAATGGATTCTTGTTCCCAAGTATTAATTCGATTCAAGAGAGTTGTTTCTGTATCGTATTGATTAAGATCTTTTCGAAATTCATCATGTTCTAAACCTATGATTTCTAACTGGTGAGAAAGTTCTTGACGATGTTCACCAAAATGTTTGATACAGAATGATAGTTGACAGCCCTGACAAATTGCCACTCCAGCACCTTTGTTACATTGTGAACATGGTCGTCTTTCATTAGATGATGCCATGACTCAAATGCAGTAAGACTAACGAGAAATACTTTCCACGGGAAAACTCGACAAATAAATATCTAATTTGCGCACATGTCAATAGTTTTCTTTTTCTGTTCTTTTGTGACAAAATATAATATGTTCCTACCTGTCAAAAGCATGACATCAGGTAGCTATTCGTCATTTACTTTAGAAAAGCATGAATGCTTCGCAATACCCCGCCAGGTGGTGTCGATAGGTCCTACCTATTGCTATGCATAGAAGATTGCGAAATCTATATTATAACGGGTGAGTGTGAAAGGCTTAAGGTACCGGTTATGGTATAGGTGCAAAAGAAACTAAGATTCATAATAGATGTCTGCAGTTCAAACTAAACCTCAGAGTGGAGAGATGCCACCCATGAATTAGTATGGCAATGGATCGTAGCGAAGAAACGAAGTTAATCAGTTTTGTGAGAAATTGACTTCGGTAATTCATTTACTTAAAGAGATATAACTAAAACTGTTGTTACATGCAGTGCACGATAGAAAAGAAAAGGACCACGGATAGAGCAATATGAAGCGTACTGACATCCATGTGTTCTGCATTTATTCAAAGTACGATTCTTTCGATGGGATATATTTTCATGGTCAGGGGGTGGTGCACGCTAATATATGTATAGAACACGCGCTTGAATATATTATCAGCTAGGCTGAATAAGAGCAAGGCTTCAGAAAAATTTACTCTCGTTACGAACATGACAAAATTGATCAAAATGGAGTTCACTAGCGACATCTAAGGCGCCGGACATTGGGTGTAGCCATTGGTTGATTTCTGTAAAAGGCACGAAACAAAGACGGTATGAGTCGTTTGAAAATTGAAAGGATAATCAAATTCGAAAAATTTTTCTGCATTAGGATACATACCTTCGTTTTGTTGTTTTGTAAAAAGTTTTCTGATGGCGTTTAACCAGTCGATTTTACCGCTTACCGTTGCTTGGAATGCAAAACGGTTTGCTGAGTCGAAATCTGCTCGTATGGCAGCTCGTCGAAGTATTTTCCGAGCGTCAACAAGTAAGCTCGCAAACATCAGCATTAGATATGACTTCTTCATTGTATTCTCTTCTTAGTTATGCTAAATACTGAGTGGAAAAGTCTTGAAAGTCAAAATAATGAAATCCGTCATGAAATTAATCGTTGTCGCACCGATTTACAAAAATATGATGATAAATTACAAGTACTGGATAATATGACACATTTAGCAACTCAATCATTAGAAGTTTACTTTCAAGCAGTAAGTGATGTGATATTTCAAGAAAACAAATCATTCCAATTTTTTTCATTAGCGTATGGAAAATCTACGTACATTTGTTACTGAACAATGTCGAATCATATCTGATGGTATACAAGAAGAAGCTGACCATTGGAAAGAAATTCATGCTATGCTACAACAGTAAGTTGAAGAGTTGATTGATTGTTTGAGCAGAATAATGATGAACTTTTTATTTGTAGGAAATTGGTCGTACCAGGCGACTTACGTTCGTATGGTGGCGGTAATGGATTACCACGAGCTGTTAAACAGAGTCCCAATTTTAGTCGAATTGCTGAAGAGGATGAAGAGGGAGAGCAAAAAGAAGAAGAGCACGAGGACGAGGACGAGACAACAGATATGGAAAAGACGAAGAATAGAACTACTTTACGAGTAAGTCTCTATTAGACAGGATGCATCTCATTGGAAATCGTTTCTTTTTCGTTCTAGCAATCACGAACGTTCACACCATTGATTACTCAGTCATTAAAAAGTGAGTCAATGTTCGAACAAGTTTCAAACTTCTATTTTCATCCGTTGCAGAAGCTCGCTTGCTCGCGTCTAAATTATCTCAGGATACATCCATGATTCTTCCACCTCAGTTGAGTGTATCAACCGCTGTTCACGAAGAAACAATCAACGAAGAACCACCAGCATCTGTCATGATTCCTGAAGCACATGTGACATTACCCGATGTATCTGTTATTGAAAAAGCAACTGAAATGAATCACGAAATTCCTAATTCAGAGCTATCTGTTTCTCTTTTACCATGTTTACCGACGGCAGTTCTTGACGAAGAGAACGGCTCAGAGGATGAAGAGAAACCCTATAGTAACAAATCAATTGCATCTACAATATCGGATAAAACATTTGTGAAAACTTCTCTCAAACCATTTTCGTCGGATGAAGAGAGCGATGATGAAGACGACGAAGACACTATTATCGAAAGCAGTCTCATTGCTGATAATACTGAAAATGCACGTCCTTTGCTGTTAACTGCAGATCGATCGATCCGTAGACCAGCACATCCTCCATCGTTGCCACCGGTACGTGAAGAAAATCACGTCTTAGTACATCAACCAATGATCAAACAAGAAAAAGTCAGCTTCCGCGAGCCATTACCTGTCGATCCGAATGTTTCCAATGGAACATTATTGTTGAATAAAACTACATTCGACGCAGAAGAATCCGATTTCATTCGTCCAACTATTGACGAGAATTGTAATACTTCGAAATTACCAACTATACCATCTGCTGATTTGTAAGATGTTCTCTCCTATTACAGATTTCTTCTAACAGAATTGTTCCTTTTTAGAAATGAAGTAGAAAACGAAAAAGACGATACGGTGCAAGAGAAACTAGCGGATGTTGAAATTCCCATAACTGGAGCAAAAACATGTGCAAGCCCAGTACTCGAACCAATGCTCGCTCCAGTACCACCTGTTGAAAACAATACCAAACGAAGAACAACTCGAAGAACCACGACTCGTCTCCTACGAGAAAATCAAAATGGTAAATTTCATTTGACAATAGGAGAGATGATCTATGTCGATTTGTTTTAGATAATCTACCGACTCAGACACCTGTTGAAATGCCTAAAACACGTTATGCTACACGTTATTCGACACGACTGGCATCATCAGTCAGCAACGAAGAAGTGACAACAACACGAAGATCGACAATGCATCGTCGAACAACACGTTTTACTTCGGAATAAATCACCAATCTCTTGTAAATACCTTTTCATGTGAATTTAACTGACTAACAGAAAATTGTATACTGCTTTCTTTACCATGTACGATAATGTATAAATGAATGCAACTCTTGTTTCCTATTGTATTGTTCACATTCAGAATAAATTTGTTTTCTTTTCGAAATCATTTGGCGCGTTTGGCAAAATGCCATATGACAATTTCAGCCGTCGCCTTCGGGAAAAGTATTCCACGCGGTTCCATGTTGCTGACCAACTTGTTGATCAACTTAAATCTCTCGATCAGACACAGATTTTATCAACATCAGTCGACCAATCCAAGCAGAAAAATCTACTTCGAGCACAACAAGAAATCTCTCTTCCATTGATATCCTATCTAAATCAACTCGCCTGTAGACAATCAAAACCCATCGAGAACAATTATGACAAAGAATTCGAACCTTATTTCAAGGAATGTCTCTTAGCAGCCGAGCGAATAAAGAATAATCAACGTTCCAATCGAGATCGACAGATCTGTTATGAGAATTTGCTTTTAACACAAAAACTAGACCGTGTCAAGAAACAATCGACAAAGACTGACCATCAGCAGCTATTGCTATCAAAAGCAAAAATGAAGAAAAAACTTCCACCTCAGTTCTCAAACACACTGCATTCTCTTTCACTAAACAGAAGTCAAAGTCAAAGTTCACTGTCTGTAAACGATACAGCAGCTGACGTGGATATTAACATAGAATCTTCAGAGTTTGAATCATCTCCGAAACAAGCTGATCGCATTTACGAGCATTTGAACAATATCGATATGACGATGATACGAGATACGATACCATTAATAAAACGTCCAAATTCTCGGCATTTCTCAATTTGTATCCTCCCACGAGACACACCCACCACTTTTGCAAATCAAAAATGTGCATTTAAACAAGAAATCCTTTATCATTAGTTTCTGAAGAAGACACATAACAAACAAGAATACGTTACTATTCACAACAGACTTATACATCGATGTTCTATGTCAAATGCAAATGATTTTCTTAATTTTCTTGATTTAATAAGATAAAATATAATAACAATAATAATAATAATAATTTAGCTTGGCTTCTTTCCAACGAACACATATGTCAATTAACAAAAAGAGACTCGCACCGGTTTTTCAAAATGGAAGACAGATGAGTAAAAGAGAAAACAAAAGTAGACTAGAAAAAGAAGAAAAAGGAAACTCCTTGATGGTCCTAGTTATGTTTCTTTCCGTATACAGCAGTGATTATTCGGAGACAGCCTCGAACCATTTTGGAAAACCAATATAAATTGATTACATCAAGTACGCTACATACAATTATAAGGATAAAGCGAAAGTGGCCCATATGAGACCACATTGGTGTGATAGCGACTGTGTACACCTTCCACCAGTAAATCGGCATGGCTAAGATTCTAACGAAAAAGAAGACTAATGTCATGCAAAGTCCATTGAAGACAAATGCTTTCGATGTTTTCGAAAATTTCAATGTGTCGAGAAACCATCTAGAGAAAAGATCAGGCAAATGGAACATTTATAGAAATGATTTGATTCTACCTCATATTGACTAATGGGGTCGATAATTCAGCTAGCAGGCGAAAATTCGCGAAATATGGCATAACATTAAGTGTTAACACATAAATAAAAGCGTAGATCGAGAGAAAATGATGAGCCATACTAAATGGATCACCGATCTTTCGATAGTGAATGATACTGATGACCGTATCTAAAACACAAACGAATGGAAATTGCAAATCGTTGCGGATTTTTCGAAATCTTACCACTTAATAAATATCCAATAACAATTGATAGATTCGTTTTTAATAAGTAACTTTTATACCTATGTAAAACGCAAACAGATAAGAAAACTATTCAATCTTACAAAAGTTTTTCTTTTTACAAAAGCGGATTGGCTTCTAATCCATGATCAGCTATCATCATATATACACAAATTGTTCCGACTGTGAACGAATTGATTGATGAGCTGATTCTAAATTGCGAATTTTCATTGATTAGACTTTTCTCTCGAGAGAAAAATAAAACATTACCTGGTACTCCAGTCAACTTTTTGTGTTTCGGTAAAATATTGATAATCACGTATTAATAAATTGGATAAAATTGGATTGAGGAATTTATAGAGGAAAATAAAGAGAGTAAAACTCGTTGCTGCAACAGGTAAAAATGTCGGATCGAATTTAATGTTGCCCATTTGCTCAAAATGGTAAGACGAAAAATAATGCGTCGTTGCTGCCATTGTCGTTGTCATTGCTTTTCTTTTCCCACTTTTCAGTTATTCATCGCATACTATGTCTAAAATACATATCATCGACGTTCTCAATTTCACCATTTCTGAGTCATCTTAGATAATCAGGAAAGGAAAAGCTTTCTCGATGTTTACTTGCCTTTGTAAACAAGGGAACATTCACATCTGAGAGCGCGATTGTAAATTACCACCGAATATCATCATCATCATCACTATCAGCATCGATAGATCTGAATGTATATTTTATAATAGCGATGTGAAGCCAGTCAGAAGATAGATGAGATCAACGTGCAGATAGATGTCATTAGTTATCCACGAGGTGTGACAAATTGAAGAAGAAAATCTTAAATTAGAACAAATGTTTATAATCATTCGATATGACTGAATCAATAGATTCAATCGTAAAAAGAAATAGTTTGTCCGCAAAGTCACGTTTGGAAGAAAAATTTCGTTGCTGTTATGTTTTATTTCAGTAATCATTGTTATTCAATACCGCAATGAGTAAATATCTACCTTGCTTTTGACAACGATAAGTGTCACACCGAAGAAAAGCGAGATGTCTTCTCATGATTGTGTACACTTCTTATCGGAGAACAATTTTTTATTACCAAAAAGTCAAACAGAGGTCGTTCCTTTCCTGTATCACAAAGGCTTCTTCTGTTCACCGGATATTGTTTTGCGAATATGAATTTATAAATATCTTCGGAGAACCCGTGAAGAATTTCGTGCCTTAAACTAATGAGTAAGGAAAATAACGCTGTCTAGTGGAATAACTAGAATAGCACTTAATTACTCGAATTTTTGTAACGGGGCGACAGGTTACCCGCTTGAGTGGGTTCCACTACTTTTCGGAATCTGCTCGTGTTGTAGCGACCTAGCCCCATTCCAACGTTTTATTTCAACACACGAAAAATAACTTTTCAGATTCATTGAGCACACAGATTTAAAAGGAAAAAAAGCACAAAAAAGCATGTCGATATCAATTAATAAATATTAAACTGTTTGCAAAGATTTACAATACAAAAGAGACTTCTTAATTGTTCAAAATGACATCTGTCATTGGATTTCGGGAGCGTATCGAACTCATCGGATCGTAATCGAGCATTTGATCCAGTTCGCGATTAAGATCAGAAAGCATCGAATCAATATCGGACAGGACATTGGTAGTATCATTTCTGGAAAAGATCAAACAAATATTCTCATTTTTCAAGACGATTGCACTCACCTGATTGTTCTGTTTTGCTTGTCTTTATTGAATGCTTCAATGTAATGTGATCGTTTGTCAATAGTTGACACTGATAGATCATGTACGTTCGTTGCTAAGGAGACTTTCTTGATAGGCGAAGGTGTATCGTGACGGGTCATTTCTTCGTTATTATCATAGATAGGTACTGTTTTCGAAGATTGCTGAAAAAATTCCATTGGCAATGAACGCTTCATTGTGTCATATGTATCTTGTGGATTTAATAGCGAACGTTGTTTAATTGTTCCGATGTTCTCATTAGCGAATGGAATACCATTTGTTGATTCAGTACTGGATGATAAACTCATATCATCGAGAAACTGCAAATTAGTTATTGTTGGAACATATTGAGGAACTACGGGTTGGTACTAAAGAAAAGATTTGCTCGAAATGATTACGAAATCAAATTTGAATATACTTGATGATGAGGATCATAGATATCCAATGTTCGATCGGTTGAAGTGATGTTTTCTAAACTACGTGCTCGACTCGACGGCATAGATTCATAATTATGGACAGATGCATTCATTATTGAAGATGATAAAGGCGGTGGGAGACGAAATGACGATGGAGGAAGGTATGTTCCTATCCGTTGTTTATTTGTTAAAGAATTCGGAGATACTTGATATTTTCTCAAAGTTGTATAAGTTCCTGACTCATCATTTGCTATTGGTCGAATGAACGATCTGAGAAAAAAATCAATTGTTTAGAACAAATTGTTGGACGAAAGTCTTTTACTTTTGATCATAACCATCCACATTATTATCTGTACTTGATGCTTTCATCTGTTTTGTTTTATTTGCATTCGGTTGATAGAGACCTTTGTCAATGTCAAGTAAACGTTTAACACCAAGCATGAAACGTTTCTGATGACCTAGACGAGCTATTCCAATTTCCTCCAGATCTTCCCAAGCAATCTTCTGAATATCAGTCAACTGTTTGTAGTTCTGTTTCGCTAACAGTAACATGTATTGTTCCAAACGAAGTTGACATAACCAGTCGTAGAGAGTGTCTGGTTTACTATCAGGTAGTCCATCAGCGAGTTGCAAACGAGCGATTTCAGTTTTGAGTTTTCGCCGATGCGATGGATGAGTTATTCCAATGGCTGTTAAATCCTAAAGACTCGAGGTTTTTTATTCAATTTTGTTGCATAGATTCGAGCGAAATTTACCTGAGGTGTCATACGAACGATTGTTTGAATATCATATCCGTTTTTAATGAAATTTTCAGCATAGTTTTCATAAGAGAATTCTCGTAACCATGCGTAAATAATTTCATTATTAGGGACGCCATTTCGAAGAAGTGCATTGATATCCAAAGGACCTGATTCGTCTAAACTACTATTTGAACTTCGATAACTAGTTTTATCAGGATCGGATGATTTCGATTCACTGCTACTCATAGAACGAGCATCGCCATTGCCAACAAAGCTCGACAGAGCAAGTGTCTAAAACATGCGAAACGTGTTGCGATCAAAACTTCATGAATGAAACCTACTTTTGGACTATCGTAAAGTGCCGTTGAACATCGTCCGCTATCAATACTGCTTGCTGCACTGTGCCGATATGTATTATTTGTTGGGCTAGTTCGCCTTGATCTTGAATTCCAATTTGTTGCGTTGGTTAAATTCGAATCTGTTTGAGACATTTGTGCGAGTAATTCAGCATGAAGAGGAGACGGATTGTTATTCAACGTCTGGTTTTCTTTGCCGTTGATTACTAAAACAAAACAAAAATCAAATACAGAGATTTGCTAGAAAAACACACGATCAGAACGATGATGTCTTAAGATAACATTCCTATCGATTGTTATAGACCCGTAATAGTTGTACATAATTGATTATCGAGATCGATAGACAAAAGATGAGAATTGAAAGTAGGAAAAAGACCTTGACAAACAACATACATAGATTAAATCAACCGAATCAGATCGTCTCATGAAAACAAACTTAAAAGAGTCTTACTTGTTGAAAGAATCTGCACATAAGTGTTCGGAAAGTAACCTGTTCGTGTTGTCAGATCATCTTGGAGAATAAAACCGCGCCATTGACCGGTTGGATTATGATCAAGAACCTAGACGAAAAGCGATTGTTTGATTATTTCACTTTTTTCTCTCATCAATAGCATTTCCCTACAGTAATACAATCGCCTTCCATAAATTTCAATGCGCCCACATGATTATCCGTGTATGGTTGAATAGCTCGAACTGAAATCGCATCAGCAAATTCTATAATAAACCAAAGCAAGTTTTAATAGTAACGTTCGGTTTGCTTTTCATCGAACCTTTTATCAATCGTTTAATATCATTGCCGGTTTTTTGTTTAATAACAACTTCATAGGCTGTTTGTTGATATGAATTTCGCAGATGTATATCAATGCCACACTCTAATAACAATTTAGCTGTTTCATATCGACCGTTCCTACATACTACATGCAATGCTGTGCCATCCGTCGTCGTTAAACGGTTTATATCGATTCCATTCAATAGTAATAATCGAACGATATCTGTGTGTCCGTTTTTCGCTGCTAAATGTAACGGTGTATGCTGTTCATTATAAATCTGATTCAAAATCATTTGTTGACACGATGGATTATGTAAAAGAATGTTAACAACATGAATATGACCTTGTTCGCACGCTAATTCAAGCGGTGTTAATAATCGACGGTTCAGTAATGTCGGATCCGCTTGATGAAACAGGAGCAATTGTGCTATTTCGAGATGACCATATTGACTGGCTAAATGTAATGGCGTGTCGCCGTTCAATGACTGTTCGTTGATATTCGCACCGTAGCGTAAGAGAATGAAAACAGCTTCCGTTCGTCCTTGCCAAGCTGCGTAATGTATCGGACGGAAGTTTTTCGAATCTTTCAAATTCACATCGACACCATTGTCGATGAGAAGCTTGAGAATTTCAATATTACCTACCACGGCTGCTTCGTGAATCGGGCTCATTCTGAAAAAGAAAGAAAGTTCAGCGAACAGTTCCTTTCAACCTTGAATTAGAATTATTTAGATATAAATGGATGTTAGACTATTACATATACGTTTTTTTTTCTTCTCTTTTTGATTTAATTGTTATACGGAGGAATAACTGCATGCAATTATCTAGTTAGCCTTTCTCTTTTATGTCATTGATGAGTAAATTGAAGATTACGTAAACTTTCAATAGTGCGAGTAAGGAAAATGAAAAGAACTTCTTCTTTTACAGGTTCTGCCGTCACTTCTAAGAACGTTGATTAGAAATGGGCGAACTGCATGAAAGTAAATGATGTGAAAATGGCGATGATGATCTTCAAGAAAATCTCTCGAGATGTGTGATCATCGTTTGTCGGCATTTGACCTTTCATTCGCTGTTAATCTGACTACTCACTTGGGAATCGAACAAAAGTTCATTGAAGGCAAACGAGAATTGACAGCAACAACTTTATTCACAGTGCATCCGACATCGTTTTTATCTTCATAATCAGCAGACTTATACATACACAAACAGAAGGTCGATAATGAATGCCGAAAACAACTACTAATGAGAAAGAAAAACTTGATGTTTTATCTTCAATCTCTCTCTTGGCTCTCGCTCTCATTTTTCGGAATGTAATGACATTCTGATCTATCAAGGTTTTTTTTTTACTTCTTCCCGAGGAAAACACAGAAGTGACTGACGAAGAATGTCAATGCAACGATAATTTTCAAAAGAATTGTTCAACATCACGTACTTATCATATTTGTTAGTATACAGTTTTTGATAATGTTGATTGATGTTGCAAAATGAAGAACAACTCGAAGAAGATTGATTGTTAACAAGGTTAAAATATACCATTCGGTTTAGTATCTAGGACATGGTTGGCATCAGCTATGCTTTTCTATGACCTCCAATTATGTACAACAAACGACGATCTTTCTTCTTTGGTATAATGGTTGGAATTACTAGAAGGAACATCTCTTTCTTCTCTTCTTTGAATGAGAGAAAAAGAAAAGAACATATATTGAAGCGGTTGACCGTCATAATGATACATCAACAAATTTCATGTTCACACATTTAACTTCCGCTATTTTCCTTTCTTTTATCATTGAACATATACAAACGATCGAACTGAGTATCAATTTTCTTCATTAGATTCACTCAAATTCTAGTATTTCGTCTTTTCTCATGATGACATCATCCGTATACGTAATCTTCATTCAACATGGGAACTCTCATCTCGTTGTATTTCTCTGTCTATCATAATCAATAAGACTAAACAAAAAGCAAACCCGAAGAAGTGCATATCAAAGAACAACAATATCATCCATATGGAAAGGAGCATTCATTCATTCATTTCTAAAGAGAAACATGTGTAATCAATACCAGAAAAGTATAGATATAAGAAACAAACGATTAATTGAATTGATAATAATAATAATGATGATGATGATCTAATGTCTTTCTTTGCTCTCATGCATTTACAAGTCGATATAAAATATACGGAAGATTGTCCATGTTACAATTGGCCTCTAGTTACTCAGATCAGCAAAATGTGTTCATTTATCATCCATCTTGGCTGCTCAGATTGCTTGATGCTGATGAGATATAGTCAAAAGATTTCAACAAGTGAATAATTTGCTGCTTCGATATGAGATCTGCCGACTTCTACACGATGCGAATGATTGAATACCATATAAAAATTCATAATTACGCTTTATGTTCCGTCCAAATCTCCTCGTTAATAACATGAGAGTTCTCACACATGTTAGTACAGTACTTACGTATCTATCGACAAAGAAAGAAGAATCATTCTCATTCTTGGAATAACGCAAAACGATTAAGAAATTCGAAAGTTTTTTTTTTCATTCATTTCAATGGACAATAATAGATTTTCTAGTTCTGAATAATCAAACCATAAAAGGTACGTGTAATACGTGGAATTTTCAAGTGAATTAATATGGTTCATCTAGCATAACGTTCACTGCAATAGTACTGAGGGTGTGTTCACATTCTCACAGAATCTCCCTGGTAATACCGCTGCGTCAAACAAATGTTCGATCAGAATAATGTGTCTATCAGAAATAACAATTCTCAAGATTGCGTTTGCAACTTGAAACGAAACCTATCAAAACATCGATTTCATACTTCAGTACGAAATATTGTCTGAAAACAAAATACTTATATATTTTACCATATTTTTTTTCAAAATACTTTATTCATTTTCTATATAAAAGTAAGAGTAACGTCAATGTCAGCACTATGCACTAGTTTCGAGTATGGCATCCACGAAACGAGTATGTGGAAAGTGTAACAAAGGTGCAGGAACTGCGATGTGCTACGGATGTGAACAAGCTTTCTGTACGAAACATTTCATTGAACATCGACAAGAACTTGCTCAACAAATGGAATACATCGGACAAGAACATGATGTTTTACAACGTGATTTGACTCATGATCATAGTAAACATGCGCTCCTAACACGCATCAATCAATGGGAGCAAGAATCGTTAACAAAAATTCAAATCGCCGCTCAAGCAGCACGTACAACTCTTCAACAATTGCTTAACCGACCGAAGAACAATCTGCAAGTATCGATCAGCAAAGTCACCGAAGAACTCCAATCCAGTCGCGAATTGGATGATTATACGGAATTAGACATCAAACGATGGACAGATCAATTGCAAGAATTTCGCAAAATACTCGATTGTCCTATTCCTGTCAACCTTGAGTATGAAAAAGATTCTCGATCAGCAATACGTTTATTGAAAATAACTGAACCACAACCATTAGACACTCATTACCAAACAACACAAATACATGAATTGAGTGATTGGAAAACTCCTGTGTCCGATGGAAATTTTGCCGAAAGATTCGAGGATATTTTTGGGAAAGTTACTTTATCCGAAAACGGTCTCGTTGCTACTTGTTTCGGTGGCCATGCAGATCGATCTTGTGTTGGTGGTACCGGTCGCTATTCAACTGGAGTACACTACACTCATTTTCGTATTGAACAAACTAGTACGCACTATCATTCATTCTTCGGAATCATTAATGCATCAGAAAAAATGACATATGACATATGGAATTCGACCTCGTTCCATGGCTGGTGGGATTTAGATTATAATGTCATTAGTGGTAAGAGCAATCGACGTCTCTCACCTGAAACGATTCGAATGGGTGATGAAGTTACTTTGATGCTTGACTGTATCAATCGACGCATGCAATTAGAACATCATCGAACCAATCGAACAGTGAATATGCCGATCGATCTTCAACTGTGCCCATTCCCTTGGAAAATCATCGTTCTACTACTTGGAAAAGACGATTGTGTGAGAATACTTCATTAGAAGTCGACATGAATAGTTTATATGTAGTTTTTTTTTGTCATGCCGCTCTTGTTTTTCCGTCTATAATATAACGTAACATGATTGGATTGCTATGGAAAATAAATCTGTTTGAACTAATTGTTCGCTGGCACAGGATTTCATACTTTTGTCATCTGTTGTGAATTACTGCATTGTCTTCGAACATGTTTTCTTTTCTTTTTTTTTCTTTTCATAAGTAGCACTGAGAAGGACGGCAAGATTTGTTTTCATATAATCGTCATCATTTTTCTTTTTATTTACCTTAGATACATGAAGGTTTCACCAATTTCTTTTTGGTAATTTATATATGTCGTCAGAAACCATTGATCTCTCCGTTTACTTTATAGACAATTAAAATGAAAGAAGAATGTAGTAAATGTAAGAAGTCCCTTCAAGTCTCATCATGTCACGGATGTGAACAAAGATTTTGTGCTGAACATGTTCGTGAACATCGACAAGAGTTAACGCAACAACTTCAGCATATTATTGCGAATTATCACGATTTTGAAAACGAATTTAACAGTGATGATCTCCTTCGGCCGTATCTTTCTCGTGTTGAACGATGGGAACACGAATCGATTTTGAGAGTTCAACGATCAGCTGAACGAGCTCGCAATGATTTGCGCCAAATTCATGAACAATTGAAAAGCAATTTTAAATCTTCAATCGATCAAATCTCGACAGATATCGAACACGTGCGACAAGCCAACGATTACACAGAGATCGATTTGAAGAAATGGAGAAAACAATTAAAACAACTTCAACATGTTCTTAAAACCTCATTCACCGAAGATATGATCGACGACAGTCAATCTTCGATTCCAATGCTACAAGTTATCGTTAAAAACCATGCTCGGACATCCGACGTGTCTGATCTACTTCCTCGTCTAAAATTCGATCGAGGTTTCGGTAAAATACGACTCTCAAGTGACAAACAAATCGTCAAATGCACAGGAAGTCATTGGAATGGTTCGACAATTTGTTGTAACACTCTCTACGTATCCGGCATCCACAAAATCCGTTTTCATATCAATCAAATGGGTAAACAGAATCCCTTCTTTGGTATCGTGTCCACTCTCGAAGATGCCAATCCCTGGAATCATAAAACACCATTTGCTTATGGTTGGTGGAAGATTCCCTGGGATCGTGAGAAGCCTACGGAAGATACGAGCATTCAGACGGGTGACGAAATGACCTTAACAATCAATTGTACAAATAACGAAATTGAATTAGAAAATCATCGAACAAATCAATATACATTCGAGCGTGTTACATATGAAAAATGTCCTTTTCCTTGGAAAATTGCCATTGTTCTCTATTCTCCGGGCGATTCGATTAGTATTGTATCGTAGACAATCAAACGCACATTAAAACAACTTTTGTGACTACGTTTACATTTAATAAAAATCTAATTACATCATCTGAATATGAACCATATTTTCCCACGATGAATTCTTAATCGACGACGTGTTCGAATAAAAAAGAAAACAAAAGTCTATCATTCACAAATATAAAAAGAAAACGAGAAAATCGCGCTCGATATGATTCGGATCGAATGTTAATTGACGGGCAGAGTAGCTCGTGTATTCATTTGAATAGGTCATAGTCGTTCATAAAGAGATAGGCGAGAAATTGTTTCGTGCCTGAGACAAAATGAAAACTAATTTCAAGATGTTTTCTCAGAAAACAACAGCTGTCACGGCTAACCTTTACCAGCAGAAAGAACTGATAATTCATTGGAGAGAAGAACGCTTACGAATAGAAATCGAACAGAATGAAGTAGATAACAACCATATTCTTTTTCTTTGTTCTCTAGAGAGAGAAAATCATTATTTATCTTTTCTCAAAAAAAAAATTAATTGTTTTTCTTCCTATTGTGAAGTTCTTTCGACGAGACAACTGCGTGTTTGAATATCGAAGTCAATGAATTTTTTCATTTCTTTATCGTTGATGTCCGACGAAATACTTTAGCATTCTAATTTTACTCGTCAATTCCTAGAATATAATATGTTTAGTTATGCTTAGAGCGATGTAAGTGGGAGAGACATTAATACTCGTCTTGATTATTCTGTTGAACTCGTCGAGTAATCCAATTATTTATGTAACAGGTAGGAAATCTTCATTCGAAGGCATATTTCAGTGTGTGGGATGTTTTCTATGAAAGAAAAAAGAGAAGCCCGGAGAATATGACTTACTGATGAATTTTCTTCAACATAATGAATTAAGTATGTGTGTCATCTGACTCGTATTGACATATGGAAAATTTAGAAATGATATGATGAATTCAGGTGGTGAGGTGCTGGTTTATTTTGGTAGTATTCCTTTTCCGGCTGTAATGAGATGGAATAGTTTTGTTCAGACAAAGTATAATCGACTGAGTTCACTTCAATTTTCAGCTCACTCGGAAGTATTTGATCAACAACAGAGACGTGGAAAATCTGCACAATAATCAGTTGCAATTCCAGTCATTTGTAGAAATCAAGTGTCATCGATTGATGTTGACGTCGTGATCGTCGGCGTTTACTCAGAAAACCTTTCCTTTTCTCTATAGATACTTACGAACGGGAGGCTAACTTTGCTCGCGACTCATATATTTCATTTCGATATGTCGGATATGACGTCTTATGATATTTACTAGTGTGAAAGAGTTTTAGTTTGAACTCATTGTGATAAAGAACATTGTTTCACTTTCAGCATCTATGAAAACAGACGACAAAACGTTTTTCATCCCTTCTTCAGTATGTAGGAATTCACTTAAGATGCAGTAAGCTTTCATTAATATCTACAATAGACCTTTACTACTTACTGATGTTCTTTGCATTATTCAATTTTAGTTATTTATTTATCTATTGAAGAGATGTATATAGTTCGACTTACGCAAGAGGCTGTGCGCGCAGATAACTCATGATCCACGAGGTCGTTCGACAATGATTATCGACTGAAGATTACATTTTTTTTTCTTATACATATCGGTATGTTCTTTTGTTGTTAGTTCAGCCGACGTCATCTGTGTATTTCCGAACTTGTCACGTTCTAGTTAACAATAAGTTATGAAGTACTCTTCACAAACATCAGAGCATTATCTTGATACACGTCGGAATAATAGATCACTTGCACAATCCACATTTGATTTAGTTCTACTTGAATTCTCTAGAATGGTATGGAAATGACACTGATCAACAATATCGATCGTACTCGAACGCAATTGAACATGATTGATTAACCGACATGGACATGATTCATACATAATGGAATATGTGATAGTATTGACGCATAGACATTCAAGATTGGCATTGACACGTATGCTATTAGTATTTGTCATAGATTGATAAGAGACTTCTTCAACAACTGCATCGTACATATCTTCCATCGATCTATCCATCCACCGACTACAATTTGTGTGCCGAGTAAGTTCCAAACTAAAAGGCATAATTTTCTTAGGTTTTACATCTTTGTCGATCTCGATTATGATTGATTCTCTATTCCGACATCTTCTATCAATACATAAAATATTGACAAAACATTGATTATCAACTCTGTATGCATCGCTAATTCTTTCGTCGATAATATGTATATAAACCAAGTGTACTATCATCCAAATCATCCGAATTGCACAAACAATAATCATTTGTGCAAAAAAGCATTCCAACCAGACGAACAAATTACCATACACAACTTCGTTAAATTGATTTTCTTGCTAGTTGTCAACAAACAACATGGAAACAACATAACCATTGAAATTTCTTCTGTAGAGTAAGTCATGTTTGATAGATCTTCATTTTCATGGTCAAATCTACTTTCCTACCGACTCGATTGTTGCATCGATTTCTAGCTAGCATATAGTTTTTATTCGATAATACTTTGAGAAAAGAAAATGAAAATGTTATCAATCAGACGAAACACTATTTCCAAAGAGTTAAATAAGAATCCATTGGAGTTATTGGTTGTTGAGTCGGTTTTCGTGCTGTTGGAATCGAACGTGAAGTGAAGACTACAAACATTCAATTAAAGAATCAACAAGTTCCTTCGGATAACAATAGATGTCATGTTGACTTACTGTAGCCATGACAAGCTATACTGTCAGTGTCGTTCGTTCCGTCACATAGATCACGAATTGTTTTCTTAAATTTCGACTTCGCCGGTTCGACTTCTTCGGCATTTCCGTTCGAAGTTTCCGTATTGTTATTCATGTAGATCGATTCATCCATTGATATACGATACTCTCGTACCCGACGTAAATAACCTTTCAACGCACAATACTGCACTAGTTTTCTAGCAAAAAGAAAGCAAACGATTTAATACAGAGAAAAAAGGAAACGATTACTTTTCATCGATATTATTTGCTTTCATCTTATTCACCACGTCTTTTACAAGTGAACCATGATCAAATGCGCAGATCATACGAAAACATTCGTAGAACGAAGCACAATCTTTCGCACCTAGAACGAATCGTAGTTTCTCTTGTCAATGTTTCATCGAAGATGAAATGTTCTTTACCATTGCGAACAACGAAGAAAACTAATTCTTTCTGGAGATTCACATCCGCGTAGAGCTCATGAATCTTCGGCGTGACAATATAACGATTCTTATAGGAAAATATTGGGACAAGTCGAATCACATTATGATAACTAGAAACAAAAAAGCTGCGAAGAATGTTGTCCAACAATCGAAAGCAAATTACATTAAATTCTGCATTGCTGCTTTGACTAAAGCCAGTTCTGTATCTGTGTCCTGGGATATTTTATTTACATGTCGTAGACCATCAATACTAGCGATAACCTTTTGTCGAAGGACAAAAATCAAACAGATCTTTACATGTTTATTTTAGACTTGCTAATTTTTACTCGTTGTGTCATCGGGTCCATTTGCTCAAGATCACTTAAATCGATATTATTACAAAACATGGGCACATCCGAAGAAGCTACAGGTGGAGGTTCCGCTCGTTGTTCAAGTAATTTTAAATTAACAAACACGGACGAATCTAAAAAGAGAAAGAAAATAAACCTACACATCCTGCTCGACACATCAGGCAATGAGGGGATTAACATGAACACTGTAGGTATATTTTAATTAATCAACTATACGACAAGCAGATTTCGTAGTTGTCATCTTCAAAATTCATTTCCTCTCTCTCCTTTCATCCAGGAAAAGCAATTGACAAAAGCGTGGAGGATGAACTTCGGTTTTCCTTTGGTCGTACGAGAACTCTAAACTTACACATTTTCACAGAACACTGTTCGCCACTATCATTGATTTGTCGGACGATTTCATCGAGTGCTGGTTTGAGAAACTGCTTTTTGAGACTTTCATCAGTTAAGAAACATGAATCGATCTGAAACGCATTTTGACTTAAGATGACAATAAGAAAATTAAGGTCTTGTTTCTCCTACTTCGAGTGTACGAAGATATTTCGCTAGCTTTCTCACAGCAACTTCATATTTGAGCGCATCAGCTTGTGATGGAATGATAAAACAAGCATTGAAACGAAATTCATTACGATTGTTTTTATATTTTTCACCATCGGAGATGATTACCGGACAGCCAAGCAGTTTTTGATTTTCGATTGACCTAAAGTATACAATCAATAATAGAGGACATCTAAGGACGATCCATATTCGTATAGAAAGTGACTATAGGGGGATATTTTAGAGAAAGAAATACAGAAGATGAGTTGAACATACAAAACGATGAGTTTATTTTGTAAATTTGGTTCTGGACAGACGAAATTTCGTATCCAGTGAAATTTTTGATCTTCGCTAAAATTTGTCTTCATTGTCTAGAATAGATAATCACCAAACACAAGTTCTTCTTCGCATTTCAGTCACTGTTTTTCTTATTAACATACTTCATAATAAACACAGGCACCTTTCTTTATATCAAATTCTGAATATTGAATTGCGTAGAGGACTGGTGTGCTGTTACTTGTCATTATGATTTTATTTTCAATCTAAAAAAGAAAGATTCAACTCAGAAGTCACGCACATTTCTCATTTATTGATTGTATGAATGATTTCGTCTAGATAAAAATAGAGTTCACTTTTGAAGTAGAAAAAGAACAAGAAAAAAAAATACTTAAGAACTTTTATTGATGTTCTATTTATATTTCTTACATTCACGAATAAGTATACATAATTATTAAAAGTACCTAGTTCTAGTCCTCGTTTCCACTGAAAAGCTCATCGCATACGTGCTTATTGACAATGAACATCTATTTTTGCACGATTTGTGCCTTTGAGTTCTAAACTGACATTCGTCAAGATGCCAGCAACCGATAGTGTTTCGTTAATAAGCTTAGAACATTAATGTAATGAATATTCAAAGATTAAGAGATATCTCAACGAGCATCTGCTTCTATTCACCTTGTTCGACGTGCATCATCTAGCTGAACAGGAGACAAAGATCAGTTAGCAGTGCTCTGCACGTTTCAGAGAGATTAAACATCATAAGGGAAGGATGAGGGTGAAACTAATGTTGTGTTAGACGGTGTTTTTTTTTTGTTTTATTCGACAGAAAAATTCATTTGTTTATCTATCAGTTAATTTAACAAAGGATTTGTTCTCTCTGTTTAGAAACATTCTTGTTTGCGGAAGAGAAACCGGATGAAATCCGAAGACGAAAAGATTTTCTTTCTCCTGCATAGTCACTCTATTCAAAGCATGCTTCATTTTTCCATACATTGTGTCTTTCCTTTTGTCTTCATTGTTTTTTTTTTCTTCTAAAGATAACAAATACAAAAATTCATGCACACGCACGTCATCTTATTTTAGCCTACAATTTCGAGCAACGCTCACGCATCATCTCATCGTTTTCTCGCAATTCTAGATATTTCTCTTTTGTTTTCGTCGTATATAACGATGTGGAATTCCACACCAGTAGGATGCAATACTTCCCTAACGCGTTCGTCAACCAGTCGAGAACCTTATCGTACCATAACATTAACCTTACTACGTATTTATCCGATTTTATTCATTTTTGTTGGTACAGTGGGCAATTTACTTTCCGTGTATGTTGTTCTACGTTCAAAACTTCGACGTCATTCGACGTTTATTTATCTCGCCTTTCTATCTATTGTTGATCTGATTGTTTTATATACATTTTGTGTTAATTTCATCTTACATGCATGGTTCAATATCGATCTCCAACAAGTTTCGTTAATTGCATGTAAAATCTTCTCATTTTCGATCTATTTCTTTCCACAAGCGAGCGCATGGATACTGACGGCAGTATCCATCGATCGCGTCTTCGCTCTAACACGTGGGATACGCAAGACACGAAATATTCGCTTAACTTATTTTATATTACTTGTCATTTTTCTCATCCTGTTTTTGCTCAATGTGCAATTCTTATTCTATAATAACACATATAAAGACGTGCAAAGCATTGCTGACTCTCCGTCAACGTCTTCGTTCTATCCGATTGTTGATACCGATATGGACATAAATATCGTTCACTGTTCATCAGAGAATAGTGATGAATACAAAGAATTCTATATAAATATTTGGGTTTATATCGATGCTATCGTTAATGTTTATCTGCCGTTTATTCTAATGTTTCTCTGTTCAGCAATCATATTCATCAGCGTTCTTCGAACGATGGGTAATGCAAATAACTCCAACAAACGTCTCGTCGCCAGAAGTCTAAGTACGATGCTTCTCTCTATTAATACCATGTTTGTTTTGTTAACTGGTCCAATTGTGATTTATCTTATGTTTGAAAAACAAACGTTCTCATCGGGTTCATACCAATGTGATGTGCGAGCGAAAGCCAAATATAAGATGATTAAGTTATGTTTCATTATCTTGATGAATGCTAATCATACAGGTAATATCCTTGTTTATTGTTTAACGGGCACAGAATTTCGCACGCAACTACTCTACGTCATTGGTAAACATAATAAATTACAGCAAAATAATTTCTTGAAATATCGTACAGGTACTTTGAATAAAGATAGTGCATCGCCAACATCGAGAACGTCAAGTCGGAAGCAATACTACTGCAGTCCACCGACTGTAAGACTTAAGAAAGTAAGATCTGATCTATTTATTCGAGCTGATTCTCATCGTTCGTATGAATTTTAGATCTGTGACAATGTCGAAGACAATCAATTAGTATTCAAATGTTCGCCGCGTAACGAACGAAGGTCTCATGTGTTGAAGAGCAAACAACAAACGCAATCGTCGACAACGACAAGTATTTAATTTCTATTTTATGTATATAAATACATCATCCATGGCTCACTCTAGGACTAGATCGGTAGTATTAACTTTCTTTTATCTGCAAAGACACGACACACGAAAATGACGACCTTGTTATTAACTTTTTTCTCTTCTTCTTCTTCTTCATCTGCTTCTTTTTGCTTTTCTATTATTATTGTTCGCGTTCATTCAATGTAATACCTGTATATTTAAAATCTATTCTTGATGTGAACAAATGAATGAATATACTCAATACATGACTAATTCATTGATCCTATTGTTACATTCCAACGACGAAAAAATCTCATCCTTTGATGTTGAGAAATCGGAAAACAACACACGCGCATCGACTGCGCAGTTCTCAGTCTGTCGTTTGACTACTTTAGAGTTTACTCCATCAGATACGCGTGTTCTTAGGTATCTATTAACTATTAATCAAGACTAAACCAGCTCTGTCATCCCCAGATCAGAATGACGTCTTACGTACGATCGACATGAAACGAACCGATAACCTCGGGTGATTAGATTGAAGATATGTGTAGTTTCACCGGACTGTTGTAGGCGGATGAGGAGGTGTGAAGACATGACAGATCACCCAGATTTCTTGCGGTACACGAAGGGGGAGTCGATTTCTGATAAAATAAACAGAGAATGTGTCAGAATTGAAAAAGTTTTATTCAGATAAAAACAAAAAAGAAGAAAAGGAATCGAATACGTAAACATGATATACATCATTCTGTGGATTACTGCAGTCGAAAAGAAAGAGAAAAAGTCATAGCAAGAAAAACCACCTGAATCTATGTACATGAAAAGAAAACAAACGGACAAATATATACGAGAAAATGGTGTATACACCTGAGAAAATGACAAAACCGGGGATAAGGATGTAGATTAGTGTTTCCAACGTTTTATTTTCTAAAAAGTCATGCTAAAAGTCAAGAAAGAAGTATCTTTTTTGTGTTGTCTTTCATATTACTTTCGAAAGACAAATAAACAAAGTCCAGATAAGAAACCGGGTTGACAAGAAAAAGAGAAAAAAAAATAACACATATATACATGAGACAACAATTGTAACTATTGCACATAAGAAAAAGAATGAAATGGTTTGGTTTTTTTTTCTGCATTAATTAATATTTGCTGGTGTGGAAGTATTTCCTTCGTTGAAAATTTCTTTGAAAATATTAATCAAATGCTCGAGTCCACATAAATAACCTTTATCTGGACCCATATGAATGTTTGATGCCGATGTTTCATCGGTTGTTGAAGCATGTATCGAATGAGCGAAATCAATCATACGTACATCGATCAGATCTGATTGGAGGGAACTATCGTAGACGATAAGCAGACTACCACTGTAAAAGCGGTATCGGGCTAGTGAATTGATTGTTTCATATAATGTTCTGAGACGATCGATGATTTCAGGCAGAACATCGAGACGTTTCGTTCGTCCATTATTGAAAAATTCTACTAGAGCAGTGCGAAAACCTTCAACCGATAACAGTCGACCTCGATATTTATCGGTAAAGATGTATCGACCGCTGTCGACTTGGTAAACCTGAAGACAAAAAACTGATTGCGAAAAAGAAAACGCAACTTTGTCAGTCTTACCTGCATTCCACATAATCGTACACCAAGTGTAGATGACGTTGATAGTTCACATTTCTGAATTTTTGATTGCCGTTTTTCATCTGAATCAATATCAGCATACTGCCGTTTGCCCATTTTCAAATCAAGGATAGACGGATGGCGAAAGCGAGCGGTGACATTTTCTAACAGAATATATTCTGCAAAAGAAATGCGTAATCGTATCCGGAAAATAAAATACGTGCCACTTTAATATTTACTTTGTGAAACAGCGACGTATTCTGCATCGATTAATTCTTGATGCAGCTTTTCCGCTTGTTTCTTACATAATTCCAAACTCCAAGGATTGATTTTAGCCATTGTAATCTTTCCTTGTTCATAATTAACAACATCATTGCCTAAACTGTTCGAATAGTCGATATGACCATCTTCGGAGCAGCGTAATCTATTACGAAAATATACTTTCAAATGAAGAATAATTTAAAATGAATACGAACTGTACTAATTTGCGTGCATTGTTATCAATCGATTGCTGATCAGTGGTAACCGGAGCATGATCTTCATTTGATGAATGTTCATCATCGGAGCTGCTCGTTTCTGGTCGAGCAACAAGCTTCACATAGCCTAGTTCATCTTCCCAATATTGTACTGTTATTTTACCTGAAGATTATCGTAAAATTATGGGATACATAGAAAAGAACATGAGAATCCTACCGCGAAACTCCGGCGTGAATTTTTTCAACGACTCAGGCATTGATTGATAAAAATACAATTCCGGTGGATCCAGGACTTTGCACAGAGTATTTTTATCATATTGAAGCATCGTTGAATGACCGCCAACCTTGAAAACAGAATAGAAATGGTAAATTAATGTGCAAAATCGTCGCAAAGGTTACTTGATGGGAAAACGGCGATAGTTGGATAAGTGATTGACGATTATATTCACATTCGTTCATTCGGACCATGGAATTCAATGATAATTCCACTAAACGCAAGTGTACATATACGTAAATAAAGAAAGAATTCTATCTAAAATGTGATTGAATATCAGTGTGGCCAATGTAAATCATTTAGGCTAATCTGTCGTCTGGCTAAAAGAAAAAAAAATCGAAGAATATCGGAATACCTTCCGCTGAAAAGCAATCATCAACAGTCAAAACGTACGATGTCGAGATCAATAACATACTATACACGGTTTCTTCGATCGTCTCTCTAGCGTCAATGACGCGCTGACATTAACATCACGTACTCATCGTTTATATATATGAGGGACACACCCCCGCCATATTCGTTTTTCTTTCGTCTTCAAGACATCAAATATTCTGACTCATTTGCAAAGTGTATACCGAGAAAAAAAAGAAACTAGATCGCAACTTTTCGATAACTCGCGATGCATTTTATCGTGCTATCAATCGAGCCAATAAAATAAATGTACCCGTCAGCTGCTGAATCAATCGAGTAATCATGAACGCGTATTACGTAACACACACAACTAGTCCGTGCGCCTTCAAAGCGAACACGGGATTTCATAACAACCCATATACGGAGAAAACCTGTTTTTTGTACTTCATGGACGTCAGAAGCATTTCTCTTCATCAACCAATCAATATTATATTTATAACAGCAAAAAGTTCTTTTCTTATCTGTCAAATAACAGCCAATCATATTCGATCGAAATTATCATAGAGGTTTCTCCTAAGTAATCGTATCAGTTCATGGCGGCTGAAGATGTTTGATCGTATTCCACTCATTCGCATTCGAAATCCATGGCTCTCTTCGAGATTTTTTCTCATTCGGATCGATTTCATTACCGAGCGAAATTATGTTCATTGGCGACCTGTTTTCTGGTTCTTTGTACAATTTTAACCTTTCTACCGCCATTTCTATTTACTTACTATGCCGAAGGATTCTGGATTAAAGAAGCTAGTTACAGCGAAAAACCGCGTGTGAGCTATACGAATTTCGTTCTTAATGTCGGACAGGTTGTAGCAACAAACCCATACTTTGCTTCGTCTTACGCATCGTTGAATACGATTTTTCAATCGATTTCGATCGCTGGAACAACGGCAATAGCGACCAAAACTGACAATGGATTTTCTCTCACTCTTGAATTACCTTTTCAAAACAGTAATATTCAAATTCGTTATATCAATTTGTTACTAATACTTCAATATGAACTACGAGGAAGACAATTGATTCAGATGGAAACACTGGGATTGATTAATCTCTACTCTCCAGGTACGATTAATAACGCGAGAGTAACTGCAGTTGGTGATTTAATACTCCATCAACGCGTTCCATTCCAAAGTTCAGGTGTTGATGCCAGATACAATGATTCAGTTATCGATTTAGATTATATATTAGACACATCGTCTATGGATGTAAATTCGATCACCGAGAATTACTTTACTCGAAACTATTATACAACATTTCAACCGTATCAGACCAATTGGGAAGATCGGACAAGTAGTGGAACTGGAAGAATAACGATTGATGTTACTGTTAATATTCGAACGCAATCGATTAGATTTATACCTGGCTTTTGGCAAGAATTCAAATGGGGTTGGATACAATATCTTTCGTTTCTTTTACCATTCATTTACATATTTCATCGTGTCAAAAGATTCGTTTTTCAAAATCAACTTGTGCGAACATCGGTCGAAGTACCGTATCATCGGTGTAAAACTTGAATGTACAGCATCGGTCTGTGTTGTCTTTAATTTCTCTACACGTGTGTCTTAGGAAAAACCGACGAGACGAACGAAGATTGTTAAGTAGAACTTGTGTTTTTTCGCTAAATTTATTTAATAAAGAATGGATAAGTTTGTCGAGTAGGTCTGTTGTATTCTGTATAGAATAATTAGAGAACGAATCGTCCCTTTCTTTTTTCATCATCGTCATTATTTCTAGTTCAGACCAATCAGACAACCTTGTAATTAATGTCCATTATAAAGCATTCCGAAATGATAGATCACCTTGCTCACAAGGTATGTTGTCATATTTTCAACATAAATTACAGAGTATTATGCAATTATCTTTGTTCATAAGCAAAAAACAAACATGAAAATGTCATTTCATTGAACTTCACATGACTCGATTATCAAGATGGAATTCCGTCCTTGTTTGTAATACAACATTCAAATAGACAACTGATCAGTTTCTATCTGCGATAGTATTCGACTGGTTTAATCGATTCTCCATCCACTAATGTTGTATCATTGTCAATACTTCGACGACTACTACTATTCATTGAATTTCCTTCGTAGCTTCGCACAAAAGCGCGTGCAATATTCGGTGTATGAAATGAAACACGCTCATAATCATTTCGCATTGGATAACGGGTGTGTTCGAGTTCGTCGTGATAATTACGATCATGTGAATGACTTCGATACAAAGATGGGCGCGTACTGATAGTTTGCTCTTGTCGAGCGATCGTATCACATACTGAACAACGCGCCGATAACGATGCTGTGTCAATAGCTCGCTGTTGTTGTTGTTGTTGTTGTTGTTGTTGCTCTTGTCGATAACGATACGATTCATGAAATGATTTCGCTAATAGTTCAGCAAGTATACGTGCACGTTTACTTGTTTTACAGAGTATAACATGGCATTCCAGTTCATTTGTACGAGGTGATCGAGCAATCCAAGCGAATATGCGACGATGGAAAGGTTCAGCAACACAATAAGAAATATCTTCAATACTGTCGGACCAAACATTTTTATATGTTCCGTTTGATATTTCTTCGTAGATTGATAAACCAAATGGATGTATGGATACGGCACAACGATTATAACGTGAACCTTTTTTCGATCGAGCCCAGACAAGACGTACAGGTTCCTTTACAATCAAATATTTATCTCGGAAAATGAATCAATTACTCAAAGAAATATAAGACTTACAATGGCCACACCGATACCATGAGCGTATAGTGAACGAACTTTGCCTAAATATTTAACTGGTTGGAGGTTGTCATCGTTTCCATTCATGGTTGAGAGAAAAGCAAAATCTCAGATGAAAGATAGAAACTCTCTATTCGCGTTGTCGACCTTTTCGTGCTGTATGTTTTATTAATGGTCTGTTTCATTTCATTCTTCTCCGTTTTTTTACACTGATCCTAAGGTAAAGCTTCAGAGGAAATTAAACAATTGATGATGAGAGGAAAAAAACGGATGCGACTATGTACTAAGTAAATGAAGCAGACGGGCTGTATAAATGTTTTGTTTATTTAGATGAGTTTATACACGCGCATATATAGGTATATATATAAATACATATATATATATATATGTGTGTATAACTGTATATTAATGAACGGACGCGACGGATGAAACTTTCGTTTCGTTCTTCTGTGCAATTCATATCATTGTTGTTAGTTGATGATTTGACTTTCGAATTGAAGTCCTACTGAACTGATAACGAAAAAAAAACTTACCTTGTTCCTTTCTTTGCCTTAGTCATGATGACGTCACTTACCTACTCTCTATCAAATAAGATAACAAATAAAACTTCGAATGAAGAACATCTGATGAAAACACGAGATGATGAATGTATTATATCACGAAGTTTTCTGTGTTTTTCTAATATTTCTTTCTCAAATTATCGATTGCCGTATTACGAACCCAGCAATCGGGATTTTAGCCGAATCAAATCTTTATCTCGCACAAATCAAAGAATTCAATTATACAAATGATAACCTTCAACTTGTTTATCAGCATACAGATCCGATTTATTCATTACAAAGTTTAGCAGCCAATAATTTCATTCATCGACTCTATATCTGTTCGCCAAGTACAATCTACACACTTGATACACATTTAGGATCACATGTTGTACCATTGATACCGATCGATGAGACACCATGCCGATCGAGTCTCACCTATCTCTCTGGTGAAACGGCACTATTTTGGGCAGTACGCCGTGGAGTAATCCAATTGAATTTTGATGAAATGTCTCGAAAAGGTGTTTGGAATTCAACAACTCCTATTCTTGATATGATTTTCAATGATACTCTGAGTGATGACAATATCGATGTTTACCTAAGTATTTCAATTGCCAGTCAACAATCAGTTATTCTATATTGTAGGGCTGATCGCCGCTTCCGTCTTGTATCATTTCAATCTTGTCTATTTATTGCCAGCGGTTACTCAGAAATCATATCATTAGCCATGACGGACAATCGTTTGTTTGCCGCTGATCGTGTAGAACAACAAATCTATATGCTAACTTTATCACCAAATGGAATCGTTCTCAGTAAAGATGTTTTACCGTTGAATACCAGCACCGTAGCTGATATTCATTCAATGTTCATCTACGAGAATAATTTGATATGGTTAACAACCAGTGGTCATGTGCGACTTGTATCCTTAGAAACGTACGAAGTACGAACTCTTTTTTGGCTTGATGAACAACTACGAACGATTCGTTTGGTGTCATTTGCTCAATGGCCAAATCGAACCACCACAAGCACTACCACTACCACTACTGTGACCACAACATCGAAACGGTCATCGACAAAACATTCGACATCAACAACTACAACAAGAAAACCCACCACTTCAACATCTTCTAGCGAGCAAGCTGATTCAACAACAACATCGACGAATGTCAATTCTAGTCCTTGGAAAGCAACTACATTTGTAACATCAATTATTCTGGGTATTGCACTATTTCTTTGTGCTGCTATGATTACTTGTGTTTTGTTGAATTATCGACTCGGACGAGTTGTTCCAAATAGTTTTACGAACATATTTCACATTCTGCGTAATCGAACCACAGTCACGTCAACAACAACACCGGCAACTACGGCAACATCAGCATTTTTCGATGAATCGCTGACATAGTCTGCAATCCCTTCTATCCCCTCAGTTTTTTTTTATCTTCATGTATATGTAACAATGGTAGATATTCCCGAAAAAGTTGCAAGAGCATTATATTTTCCTGTTGTAACTTGTACAAGCAAAGCCTTGAACGATCGTCATTTCATCGATATTGTACAATAAATCTTTATCTTAGTTACATCATGATTAACTACTTCTTAACATCTGTTTACACATCGCTTGTTTCATCTTTGTGAGAACGAAATTCACTTGTGTGTTTATTTCCACGGCAGAACTTTCTTACGTACAGCGGAAAATACATACATGACGAGACAGACAGAACAGAACGAAATCAAGCGGATCGCATTGGCTAGTCCAATGTTTACCAGAAGTCAATTCTGATTGGTGGAAAAGGCTTAGCTAGCTATGCATTCATTTTCAGTAGCGGACCACACCCATGATCTTGATACACAATGGCGATTGTCGGCTGATGACGATCATTCATTCATTAAAAAACAAGCAAAAACCACCCTCGACAAAATTGTTTTCCTTTCAATTGATTGATGATAAGAATCTTTTCGTTTTTTCAGATTATTAATAAAATTATTATTATCTGGGAGAGAATCACATGAGTTCGTCATTAGTTGATTGTATATAGCATAAAATGTGATTAAAACCTTCGAGTTATTTTCATTATTAGATACGAGTTACCGTTACCATTATTATTATTATTATTATCATTTGTTTCTTCGATTTCGTTCTGTGTTACATTTTCTCCTCTCATCTTATCTCACATTATTTAATTATTATTCAATAGAAGGAAAAAGAGTTTATCCGAAATGTAAGTTTATTATCAACAACATTGCCTGGCTAGAAGAGTAGGAAAGATATGCGCTCTTTCACCTTATACCTTGTTTTTTCGCCCCCATGCATAGGAATATATAGCCAATGAAAAAAAGAAACTTTTTTCGCGAATATATTATATCCTTGCACGCATCAATACATTTTTTCTTTCAGGTGTACCACGTGATTTGTATAAGCTGAAATATAGTTTTTTTGTTTATTCACAGAATGTCTATGCGCTAGAATAGTATTTCGAACGAATGGATGATATTCATTTAATATCATCGCCGCCACCATCAGCACCAGCAGCAATTCTCAAGCCGAATTGTTCGCCTCTACCAGGTTCAGCAACAAATTATCGACAACGAACCGATTCGGCATCGATTATTCAACAGTCGGATGTGTCATCGTCAAGACCAGCGTTGTTAGCACACGATGCACTTGGACCACTTCTTTTCGAGGTACGTTAACATTCTAGATCTCACTATTTCGTGATTTCAACGGCAAATGAGTCGAGTAGACGAATTTAATTGTTATTAATCTTCTTTCTCAAGGAAAGCTTAAGCAGAAGCGTGTAAACGAACGAACATTACGAGGTTTTCTTTTTCTCATTCCTACTCTTTCTTTTTCTTGTTTCTTCGGTGTATACGCGCGTGTTGAAAGAATGGCGATGACAACGACGAAAAGAAAAACTTGTTACACATTATGCCGTATATATTATTACACGCGCCCGGAATATTATGCATCCTGGAACAGGAGACAAAGAAAAAAAGACGAGGAAACATTTGCAGCTGCTATACTACTACTTGTTATTTCTTCCTTTCTTCTCTTTCTATAATGTGTTCGTTGAAGCACAAGAGTATTCTGTGCATCGATATATGTGTATCATAGCCATTCCCGGGCTTCAGCTAATAACAAGTCTAGTATAATTGACAGCACCAGAACGTCAACACGTTTCTTTTTTTCTCTTCTGTCATTCTCTGATGAAATACTCAATTACTTTTGATCAGTGAGATGTATGGGTTTCGAACTATAAGCATGACTGACTAATATGTTTATTAACAGAGTTTCAATCAATGAATTGAATTGAATTATACGATGTTTTTAGGCTCTTGATGGATTTTTCTTTACAATAAATCATAATTGTGAATTGGATTATGTGAGCGACAATGTTGGACAGTATTTGAAATTTACCCAAGTAAATCGATCCGATTGGTTTTGATTTGATCACGAAGCGAGACTTTTTTTCCATTTAGGACGAACTTGCTGGACGAAATTTGTACTATTGTGTACATCCGAGTGATGTGAGCGAGTTCAGCAAAGCTTGGGCCAAAAAGGATTCCGGTACGATTGAGACGATTTCATTCCATATGCATTCGATTTCGTTTCTAGGTGATTTGTTAGCATCGAGTGCGAATACTGATCAAATACAAAATGTTCAATCACGTGGTCGTACATTCCATTGTCGGATGCGAACAAATGATGAATCGACGCCTTATATATCTATGGTTGTATCCGTTGCTCTTCATCGTGATCCATCTGGTAGTGATAAGACTTTTCTCATATGTATTGCTCGTCGGCCGCCGATCAATGAACTAAAAGATAAACCAGCTCTGTTGGGTTTCGATCAGTTTTCTTCACGAATCAATTTACAATATGATATCGAAAGTTTAGATTCAAGGTAAGAAGAAACCCGAAAATATCTCTGATGTTGAACAACGCTATTGATTTCTTTTAGTCATATGAAATGTGAAACGATCGATATGAACTTTATGGGGAAGAATTTTCGAGATTATGTTCATGAAAGTGATGTCCCGTTGATTACTAGACACTTTCAAGAGAGTATGTTTTGAGAAAAATATTTCGACTAACTAATATCGATACTTTGTTCTAGCTGTCGAAAAAGGCGAAGCAAAAAGTCTTGTCTATCGGTTTTGTTTACATGATGAGATCTATGCTTTCGTTAATACTCAAAGTAAATTGTTTTCGAATAAAATGACTGGAAAAGCTGAATCAATTGTTTCTACTCATACAATTGTACGGTAAGGAAGCAAACGAAAGTTTTTTTTTCTTCAAAAATAAAATATCAAATCCTGTTATGATACAGGCTAATCGATGATTTCAACGATCTGAACGGCAATGCATCAACACGTTTAATGAAAGCAATTATTGTATCGAATCGTGATTTGCAAAAGAATAAAAAACAATCTTCGTCATCGACCTCATCCTCTACAACTAAAACTCAAATTACACCACCAACATCGGCCTCGATACCACCTCCACCAACTTCAACACCACCTATCGGCACGCAATTTGCGTTAACTATGTTGGGCATGCATAAAAACGCACCGAATACCTTGCAACAGCATGTTTCTAGCACTTTGGGTACTTTGATTCAAGTACAGAATTCTCTGTCGGCACCAATATCTAGTCCAAGTGATAAAAATCAGCCGCAATCAAATATTCCACCATCACCAAAAGTACCTGTGCAAAAACCTTCGACACTTGATAGTAATACAAGTTTTCCTCTTTCGAAAGAAATTTTCTACTTGTCTTCTTTTCTCCTTAGACGTCTCATCATCGGATACAGTTGAGTTCGGAAGTAAACGAACACCTTTCAGTCCTTCATTGGGTTCAGGTATATTGATTTCTCATGCTTTTCCCTAGCTATCTTAGCAATTTTTCTTTAGTTCAATCAAATAATGGCAGTGTTTCTTCTCCTTTGAACTCTTTCGATTTATTATTCCAACCTGGATCACCATCCAACGATTTCAATTCCCTCTTGCCTACATGCTCACCAGCGAATAAACGACCATTGTCGCCGCTGCAGTTAGTCGATCCAACCTCGTTACTTTTTTCAAACAATGATATCTATACAACAGCATCAAGTCCAATCACTGCATCAACACCTTCGGCACAAAATCCGAATCAATTGCGTAGCTCTACACGTTTAAGACAGTTACTTGCAACTAAATCTCCGCCACCGATCACGTCGAGTCCACATTCTCATAATGAAAACAGACTTCATGTGAATGCGATAGATGATCTTGTGCAAGTGGCTGAAAGTCCAACAACTACTCATGTGTCACCAATGCCTAATGATTCGCCATCGCCGATGAAGCGTCGACGAAATCCTAGTCAAACAAATGAAACTCTAACACCCTCAACGACATCAGCTGATATTCTTCTCAAACAACTTCTCGGACGGCAGCCACCGAATATTGCACTAGGCTCTGGAACAAATGCCACAGATTTTTCGATGCTCGACAATAATTCAGGATGGCCATCCCCGGGTTCTGTACCTTTGATTAAAACTGAATCAGTTGCTAGCGATGATAGTACATCAGGTGGTCAAACAATTACTACACCGGGTGGATCGAATAAACTACGAAGCGATATATTTCTTCGAGTAAGAAATAAAACTGATTCACCAAAGATTATTAATCTTGTTCATGTTTAGACATTGCTCAACGATGAAGTACGTCCGCAAAAGGTCGTTGTTGAAGCACCATTTGTCTACAATTCTCGACACAAGTCTACTCAACGTGCATCTGCTGGCAGTAATCATCTACTCGGACATAACAAATCGTTCAGCAACTCCCGCTCATCATTCAAAAGTCAACTATCATTACAAGGAAATCAGTCAGCTGACTCAACTGGATGGGATACAAAATCGAAGAAAAAACAACGACAGCATTCACACAGTTTTGGTAGTCGAACTAATCAGGTGAATACAATTTCACCGCCGAGAAAACCAGGCCGACCAAAACGAGATGTAAAATATTCTACCTTTTTTCACAGTAGAAAAACTAATAACGACTTTGACTTTTAGCCAACGGATTATCTTCTGTCCAATCCTCAATCAACACTATCGGACAATTCTCTGGATTCATTCTTTGATCAACCATGTAATTCTGATCAGACAACCGTCATTCAAGCATCACCGATAGTACTTCGCCGCACAACTCGACAAACATCAGCGTCCAACCTTAATGCAGCTAATCACTTGAAACGTTCGATGGATACTGATGATCAGTCACCAACACAACGAAAACTTCCGAAGCTACTACTCGCCCGACAACTTAAGGATGATATCAAACTTGAATGTCAAGACCATACGATCATTTCACCGTCGATCGCTATCGCTGCTACACGGCCATTGAATCAAGTAAACTTTTCATTCATCTTCCTACGATGCTCATCTTCTTTCTTCTAGCTTAATACAACCATTAAAACTGAACCGGAGGTGTATGAACGTCATCTTTCGTTGGACAGATCATCTCCAGCGTCATTGAAGAAACAAACAAGCAACACTCATGCATCGAGTAATCAATCTACACTACTACGCTCGTTAATTCGTACACCACAAGTACCAACAGTAACAGCGAAGAAGGATGCTCCACTCTACGATCTCCTACAAAACCTCGACTCAAATGATACATCAATATTCTCGACAATAAATTCAGCGTCCTCATCGTCATCAACAATCAATAATAATAATAATTCGAATAAAATTCCTAATAATAATTCCAATGATCCTCTTGAACAATATCTCAATTCAACAGTACCATTGCAACCAACTAAAACTCCATCATCGAAAGATGATTATCTAGCTGCGTTGTTAAGTTCTGATCCTCAACAACCAAATGAAATATCATTCATACCAGTTAACAAACAACCGCCACCAACATTGCATAGATCGGCATCAGCATCAAGTGACAACAGTCGAATACAGGCGATTGTCAACGATCTTTTCACTTCAGCGACAACAGCAACACCTCCGACTGGGAACATCAATGCTAATGATGATTTATTATTTTTATTAGATAATCGAGATTTTCTAGAGGTAAAAACGAGAAAGAGTTCAGTCGATTTTACCATTGTCTTCTGTTCGATTCTGTTTAGTGCTTGAATGAGCCTACAGCAGTCGATTCATTTCTTTCACAAAACTCATCGAGTGTCATGGATCCATCATTTCCATCTACAACATCGAAACGTAGTGAAAAGGAAGAAAGAGCTATCAGTGAAATCTATAAAACACTTGTTACCTCCTTTAATCCCGGTAGGTATTTCTTTCGTTTCTAACATAGAGATTTGTATTGTTCACTTCTCTAGGTCCGACATCACTCGATTTACCCGTTGACAATAGTCCTTTCAGTAATTTTGTTTCTCATCTGAATCTTTCATTCACTTTCACCTTTACTAGGCACGATCACCGGTGACTTCCTGTTTGCTGACCATTCGACTATGTCAATACCACCGAATCGAACAGCGACTGCTGATCCATCGATACCTATGTACCGACAGCAAACATCAACATATACATATCAACCTCAACAACAACAGCAGCAGCAGCAGCAACAACAACAACAACAACAACAACAACAGCCGATGCCATCGAATGTAAAAAAAAGAACTGTCATCTGCTCTAGCACTCTTCTAATCTATTCTTTTGTTCACATTTCAGAATTCTCAATTTTCTGATTGTCTTTCAATAGAAATGATAGATAATAATGCGTTTCCACCAAATGTATCTCTCTCTCCAATGAATACATCTTTTCTACCACCAACAAATTCAGCATCACATATGGAACCCAATCCCATGATGATATATTCTCAACAGGGACCGCCAACGCATATCCAACACCACCAAGGATCAAATCAAATACAGAATATGTACTATCGTCAATCGTCACTAGCTTCACAGCAACAAATGTATAATAATTTTGCTCAACCACCACCGAATCAAGTTGCTCCTAATTATTATTCCATGCAACAACTACCACCTCAGCAGCAGCAGCAGCAGCAGCAGCAACAGCAACAGCAACAGCAACAACAACAGCAGCAGCAGCAACGAATGCCACCAGGTGCTCTTCCGCCACAAATGAACAAACGGCAAGCGTTGATGCATCAACAACGAGCACCACAAGCAAATAATCCACAAGTTCAATTGCATATGTCGATGAATGTAACTCTACCATCTGTGAGATTCAATATAATGTGTAGAAATAATATCTAATTTCTTCTCTTAGGCGGCACCAAACCAGCAACAACCTCAGCAACCGTTGCCGCCACAGCAGCAACAACAACAACAACAGCAGCAGCAACAGCAACAGCAACAGCAACAGCAACACCTTCGACGTATGTTCTTCAAATAAAACCAAAACCGCACATAGTTGTTTTTTTTACTTTTCTAGCGATGATGAACACGTACAATGATTTAATGATGTCCAATGGGAATAATTCATCATTGCAACAAGACTTTCATCAATTTTCACCATCGTTAGTAAATAACAATTCACTCGATCTTTCATATGGTCATGAACTTTTCATGACATCTTCACCATCGGGGCCTCCACCACCACTACAGCAACAACAACAAATGCCGCAAATTCGTCATATGAACGTTATGCAAGCGCCACAACAACAACCCGGTCCTCCTGGCCAAGCCCAAATGCATCAGGTACGATAGCATAATAGAAAAAGAGATGGTTGAAGTATGAATGCGTGCAAATACCATCCAATGTCGTTAGGAGTGCTCGTCGTTCTGTTTTAGCTTAAAACTCATCCGAAATAGTTTCTTCAGAAAGAAAAGGATTAATTCTACAAGAGTAAACTTAATTAGACTATTGTCACGAAATGATTCTGATCGTAACAACGAAAAAGAAATTGATTTTATCACTTGCCTCTCATTGCATCAATCGTTTGTAAATATCACCATTTAATCTAAATAGGCCGAATCCATCCAGTTTTGAAAAATATTTTGTTATCAAAACAAAAGGTAACGCAACTACTCTCTGTATGGTAAAGAGAAGAGAAAAGAAGAGCTGTTCTCTTTTCAACTAAGTCATGATCGTCTTCTGAGGACATTTTTCTTCTTACCTTCTGCTAGTCTGTGTAATTGTACGATAGCATAGATTGATACGATTTTGATTACAACTCTGTTCGATATCTGGACATGATGTGAAGCGAAAATCGAATCTTTAGCGATTCGAAAGAGAACAATAATGTTGATTATTTATCTAGAAAAGTACTTAAACAGTGCCCGAATTAAAGTGAAAAGTGAAAACAAAGTAGTGTACGGTAGGAGCAAAACAGCAACAAAAAATCAAAAGTACTTTATTCGAATATACTTCAAGAGTTACCAAATGACTATCACTCAGTTATATCTCTGCCTTTAGAGAACAAGTACAACTAGGCGATTCTTTTTCTCGTCATAAGAATTCTGTTTTCTATTATCTGACATATCAATAACTAAGAACGAATCACGTCATAGATTTTGCGTCGTTTGGAAGAAATATATATATATATTTATTTATAGATGATTAATGTAAGAGTGAACGAGTATATTTCTCTCTTTTCTGTTGGGACAGAAAATAAGTTGCTGAGAATAGATATTCGACATACGTGCTTAACTTGGAAAAACGTGTTCAGCTTTTTGAAGACAAACAGACTCGAAAAGTACATACCTAGCATGTGACGGAGAGAAAATGTACTTATCAATGTGTACATAGGCACATATATATATATATATATGCTGTATCAGTTTTGAAAATCATGACCTTGGGTATACTCGTATAAAACTCAAGGCGAGAGGAATAACTAAGACCAAGGTCACTGCCATTGATTACAAGGTTATTCAATCGTAATTATTGGCAAGACACTAACTTTTGTTGGAATGTGTCAGCTGAGAGTGATCTAATTGAATGTGTTATTTTTATATGAGAAAAAAAGAGAACCGAGAAAGAAATAGCAAGATTCTCTTTTTCTCCTTTCTGCTTGTGCTCTCATCTCTTTTACTGAAGGTCTTCGGTAAAGAAGGGTTCACTTCAGTTTGATAATCTCAAGGTTCGATTCATTTAAACTAACAGAACTCCAAACATTGTGCAATTGCCTTTTCTTTCTCATTGTCTTTCAAATAAGGATTCCATTGCTCTAGAGATGTTCTCTGATTCCCGCTCTGTAGCGGAAGTTATGATTATGCAATAGTGAATGTTGTATCGTATGTTCAGCATTAATTCATCATCGTACATATATAAATGAGTACACACCCTTAAAAAAGAGAACGAGCGAATGAATGAGTGAATGAACGAAGAAAAGAAGAGGTCAAGGTGGTATATTGAATGAGGGAGAGAGCGAAAGCAAGAATTCAGGTTAATCAATGGCTCACATAATATTTGCTTGATACTATTAATATGATCATAGATATCAAATAAAAAAAAAAGAACAGATATGTAGGTTAGCGAATGCCCTTCGGTTCATAACTGAACCGCCCGATCAATTTGTCCGAAGACGAGTTCACTCTCTTCTTTCTATTCTAATGATTGTGTACATGACAAACATTGAGTAATAGACAATGGTTGACATAGAATGTGAATTGAACACAAATCTAATTCTCATGTATGAGCGGATGTTCTTCAGTTCTCGTTTGTGCTTGGAAGTTCAAGGCAACATTTCTTTTTCTTCCTCTCTCTGGCTTCACATTGGATCAGAAAACCTTGACACTGCCCGAATATAAGCGCAAATTAGCAGAAAAGAGAGGAAGAGCTTTTTTTTCTTGTGCTGATAGAACGGTTCCATTTTATTCGTTCTATTTTCTTTTTTCAGCAATATGCTAATATGAATGTAGCTCTATCAACAAATATTCAACAAAATTCGCATAGTATGTTGGAATCTTCTTCCCTTAACTGTGACTTATCGGTTATCATTGTTTAGATACAAATAATCTCATGAGTTCATCTATACCCAATTTAACTGCTGCTGAATGTCGTCAATCTGAAGAATTGAATAATCACGTGATGAACTGTTTGAGGTACGTGAAGTAAAGCTGAAGTTTCGAATCTGAATGTTGCGTTTGAATAGTTTTCAAACAACACGTTGTACAAGTGAATTTGTACGTAAACAATTGCAACATACCATTCAGGGACGACAAAAGCCAACCAGTGGAAAAGAACTAACAGGAGCAACACAACAGAAGATGATGACATCACCAAATATTGATTCAAGTAAGTGTTGTTTTCTCCTCGTCTTTGACTGACAGCAGTTGACATTTTTTGTTCTTTTTCTAGGCCAAAAAGGAACTTATTTTCGTAGTCAATTGTCTTCTCCAATATCCACCCCTCCATTACAAACCAACCTACGATCACAACAACATCCACAACAGGGCAAAACAACGATGTGATCTTTCATGAACCTCGAAACACCATCATTTTATTCAACTTGTTCTTCTACTTGTGTATTGATCACCCTTTTTTTTGCATTCGTATGTTGGTAGTCGTAGTATCATTTACATACTATGTATGAGGAACTGGCAAGGTTCAAAAGACGGATTTTGTTCGTTTTCGTTGTTTTTTTCTCTCTGTTTTCTTTCCTTTTCTTTTTGCTCATCATCTTTTTCTCTTGTTTCACTCTTTCTTTTTTAGCTATCGTCCGTATTTTCTCTCTCTCTCTCTCTCTCTCTCTTTTCGGTTTTTCTCTTTTTCGACACATTTTCTGTGTATTGTAACTATGTTTGAAAAAAGGTGATGCTGGCAGTCCGACATGTGTAAAAAAAAGACAGATGTGTGCGTGTATGTTTATGTATGATTGTATGTACGTGCGCAGACAAACAAACCTATTCTTTTTCTTCTAATTTTTAAATACAATTTTTAGTGGATACGGCCGCAAACGACCTTCTTTTAGTATTGAGTGAAACGCAGATTAAAATCGATTTCTATTGATATATAAGAACCGATTGTGAATCACACGTTTCCAATAAGCATTGAACCGTTCGAAAATGTCAACATTTATTGATGTTGGTGCTTGTTTCGATACGTAATGTGACGATGATGCACATGCATAAGCATTATCTGCGTTAAAAAACACGTCACAATCATCGTTGGATTGATAGCTGATTTTGAAACGAAGATGTTGCCGTTGAATGTTCATGTACTCGGCTAAAATTCCAGTTATGTAAACGTCCGACATTGAAATTAGTTTCTGATGTCGAGCAAATGCAGAAAGAAGTTTCAAACGTGCATTTCGAGTGATAATATAACCGAATCCGCTCATATAATCCGGATAGTAAGCGCACGGATATTCATCATGGGTTGTTATATAACGAACACTTTCTGATGTCAAATCATCGACATAACGAACAACACGTGCATGACGAAATCTTATTCCATATATCAGCGCAGATGAACTACTTGCATTACTGATAATATGTGTTAAAACATTTGCTAATAGGAACGTGTTTAGAAAGATATCATCGTCTGTCTTGATTGTAAGTAGAACTTGTGAACAGTATGTTTCTGTCCAATGTAAAATAGCCATATCCCGATAGGTTGAGAGAGTATAATGTTCGGGCAAACGAACTTGAATAAGATCATTGTAGATGGCTTGTTCAAGTTTAATACTTAGCATGCGTGCTTCGTCGATATCGAGAAGAAAGAGAAGTTTGAGACGAAGATGTGCGAATCGTTGTATCGAAATTAGTCGACTCAAGTCTCCCCAGGTACGACGAATGGCAAGACGAGATGGGAAATTGGTTGATTTTGAAATAACAAAAATTATAGCATGGGGAGTTGTTGAAGAGCAGATGTTACTATTGGATAGTTCATAACTGAAAGAGAACTGAGCAGATTTCTGTGGAAGTAATTCTGCAATACTAAAGAAAGAAAACGGAAAGTACAAAAGGAATAACTCATTGCTGTCAATCAACACTACCTTTGATCTCGTATGAAGTGCTTCCGAATGATCGATCGATTACAATACGTTGGTTCATCTATGCGATCATCAAACGTATTATTTAATTGCCATTCATAGATATGACAGTTAAAGAGTAAGATTAGAATCAATAGTAGCATATAACCGATGCCTAAACATCGGTATGTGTGCCGACATGACCAGCTAGTTAAGCGTAGATAAACATTGCTTACAAATTGGAATGTACAATTATAAACAATAAATTCGTCCATATTGATATTAACCTTTCAGCATTGAAGTCAAGAAATCGAATGAAAACGAAGGTTCCAAAAGATAATATGTTAATTAATTGCCTTGATTTTAGGATATGAAGAGCGAAATGAAGATGAATTAGGTTGTATCGAAAACGAGGGAGAGAAAGAGTAGAGTTTTATGTACTTTTTCATGTATACATACAAATTACATTAATCGAAAATGCTGTCATTAAGAAATCGCTAATAGTAAACGATAAAATCAGATCTTATCCTTGTTCATATTTTCAACGTTTTCTAGTTGAGAAAAATACCTTCCGAACTATGAATCCATACGAATTCACTACGACGTTTCCACTCATATATTCTATACAGTTTAGTATATTATATCGGAAAAGCGAATTCAACAGATGTCGCTTGTCGACAAAGAAGCCTCTATAAGTTTTATTTTAAGTCAACACAAAAATGGCTGTCATTCGTCATTGTTTAACATATTTTCCTTCTTCTTCTTCCTATTTTCTCAATTCTTCAGCACACATTTCGTTTTTATCTTCATTCATTTCTTTGGATTTCAACGTTAATCGTTATTTTCCAACATGAGCAACCGATCTCGCGGCGATGGCGATCAGCGTTCGACACCACCAAACATCGATGTGATGTATTCGCTCAAAGTCGATAATCTAACGTATCGTACGCGTGTCGAAGACTTACGACGATATTTCGAAAAATATGGTCCTATTGGTGATATCTATATTCCACGTGATCAATTTTCTCGTTCAAGTCGTGGCTATGCCTTCATTCGGTAAGTCAGGATTCGTTTTTTTTGTGTCTTCAACATACCTTTGTTGTAGTTATTTGAAAAAACGTGATGCTGAAGACGCACTAGATCGAATGGATGGTACTGACGTTGATGGACGAGAAATTCGTGTTCAATTTGCTCGTTACGGTCGTGCCTCAACAGGCGATAGTCGCGAGAAAGGACGTCATCGTCGGTACGTAAAACACAAAGAACCTTCTTAGCTATTGTCTACTGATGTGTATCTGAGCTTCCCGTTTACCCATGTCGTCTAATTTCAATTGTTTAAACTCTATTCATCCAGGTCTCCTCCTGTGCGAAGATGCTGTTTTCAATATTTTCTTCGAGAATAAAAAAAAATACTAATCCATGGTTTATCCCGGTGATATCCTGTATTTGCGTAGACAGAACGAGATTCCTGATGATTTTATCGAGCAGATTTAGGATCGACGAGAAATCCTGACAACAAACACTTTTGCTGTTAAAAAGAAAAAAAAACTCATAAGCCATTCTTTCCTAGAACACGTTCGCGATCAAGATCTCCTCGACGCTCAAGGCATCGTTCACGCAGTGGAAGCAATCGTCGGTAAGTTGAGCACTTTCATATCGAAAAATAACTCCTTCTTCCCTTTTTGTTTCAGATCACGTTCTCCCTCAACATCACGGTAAGAGTTGGAAACCTGTCTGTTCGCATCTAACCTCTCGTTTCTAGATCAAAACGAAACAATCGTCATGAAAATGGTGAACGTGACCAACGACATTAGAAAAAAAAACTATGAAAAAATGTCCTTTTCTTTCTTTTTTTATAGTTACTTGACTATATATATATTTACTAATCATTTTGACTGATTTATAAATAAAACAAAACACATAGTTCACATTTCAGATCAGATCTTGTTCGTCTCTTTTTTATCTTTCCCTTTCACCAATGGCCACAACAAGTGCAGATCAGGTGTGCGAGGAATTAGTTCGACGCGAAATGCAATTCTTGTTTTTTTTTAATCATATCTCTTACACATTATTTAGCAAAGGAAATCTCGTCAAGATGCCGAAGCAGTAGAAAATTTCTCGAAAAGATATTACGATATACTAGACACGCGAAGACATGTAAGATCATTTTTCGTCGGATTAAGACCAACAATTCAATGGTTCTTTTTTTAGAATGTAGATAAATTTTACCAAAATCAAGCCAAATTAATCTGGAATGGTAAGGAAATCAATGGTCAAAATGCAATTGCCAACTATTTAGTTGGACTACCACCAACGAAGCATTATATCTATGCGTTAGATTTCTTTCCTATGAAAGGTATTGTGTTGATGAAAAGGTACCAGTGCAAATGAACGCTTTCTGCTTTTAGATCTGTTTCCTGATGAAGATACAACATATCAAGTATTTGTCAGTGGTGCAGTTGTTTACGGATCGGTTGACAGCGTGACAATCACGAAAGAAAAACGTCTGTTTTCACATGCATTTATCTTAACTGTGGATAATATTACTTCGACATGGGTCATTGTCAATGAATCTTTTCGATTTCATGAATAGATTGTATATGTATATATCTGTTATTATTGTTATTGCTTGTTTTTCGTGTTATGACAAAAAATCAAGAGATTATTGATTAAAAATGAATATTAAACGCGGAAAATATAGATGTGAAAGAATATATCTAAACAATCAGTTTGTTAATATTCGTTTCTGCTTGACTCGGATCTTTGAAAACCGTCCATCGCTCTTTCGGAACATTCTCAAATACTTTAACGTATCGTTCATGACATGCCGGGAGACATTCAGGGTCAGAACAGATGTCTCGAATGAAGATATGGGCAATATTATCGGGAAATGTTTCGTATAGCTTCGAATATATCTCTGGATCAAGTTCACCTAGAAGAACAGAGAAGGAAGTCAAATCAATTTTGCTCCTTAATACAAACCTGAATCGCCAACACAAATGTATTTTCGTAACGGATACGCGTTAATGATCTGTGTAATGATTTCATTTTTATATGTATCGGGTGGCTTGAGAAATTTCAGACTCCATGTAAACTTCCGTAGATTCATTGTACCCATTGGGTATTTGTATTTCTCCAAAAAACAACGAAGTGCTGGATATCTAAATACATTCATCGATGATGCCGGACAAAAAAGCTTTACAATTAACTTACAATTGCCACGGGCTTGCGCTAACATAATGAAATTGACATTTTTGTTCACTCCATTTCCGGTAGAGCTCACTCATTCCATCCACCGGTTTAAAATAACTGTAAAATGTATGTTTTAATAGCGATCGTTTGCTGAGCACCTTGGTGATTTTGATCGTATCGTCAATATCTGAGATGACACTGACACCGTGCGGTGCCAAAACGTAAATGATGCACTTGAATGGTTTAGATTGATTTTCAATTTTCGAGTCGTTTACTTGAATTTCATACTCGAACTTCTTATCATCACAACCGGGTTGAATTTGTGTACACAATGAACTGATTTCTTTATCAGGGAGATCAAGTTGCTGTTCGATAAAACCACTTTCATCCGAGGGTTGCAATAAATGCTCAACACCATTGATAATAGATTTCGTCACAATCTTCACCGAGTTACCGACAAAGAATAAACCCAAGCGACCGGGATTTTCCGTTTGTTCATTTAGTGCATCCTCTGTTGAACAATACATCAGAAAAATAAACTATAATATTCACGGCAGTTAGTTACCTAATGCATCTTCATACATATCATCATCATCAGACGTCTCTCCGTTTTGTTCGTCGATCTTGTTGTTTTCTTCAGTAGGAACAGAAGCACATAGTTTATCATCTGCATCGATCTTAGTTGTATCTTCATTGGTTGTTTCATTTGGTTTTCTCGTTATAAAACTCGGCAGTGATGGAAGATAACTTTTCAGTTTTTTACCTTCGAACGGAAGATATAACCAAGCTTTAATATTCACTGACCAAACATGTTTCGTTGGATCGAATATTGCTAACGTTGGAAATGGAACAATCAGTGCTTCATCAGCATAGACATGATCCGATGACCATTGAGCAACGTAATCTTTTGCTGATGCAAGTGCAGTGACATATTTTTTAAAATACGAAGTCATACGGTAGAGATTTTTTCGATGAGTGCCAAAAAAAAACAGATTAGATGAGTGGAAGAAAGAGAATTATTCTTTTTCTTTCTCTTGACATTTATTCCTTAGATTTTTAGCCAACAGGGAACAGTCACAGACGAAAAAAATCACCAGGAAGAATAATAAATAGATGGAGAAAGTGAAAAATTCCACTGCTTTAATCCTTAGCAGTTTTATCGAGTTTTTCTCGCATTTCAGCACAAGTAAGTACACGACCAAAACCAAAAGCAATTGTTTTCAACGTTGCTTCGCAAGGTGGACCGGTGCCGTCTGATAGAAAGATAACATTATAGTTTTGCACGAAAGCTGAACGTGCTGTGGTTTCGCAACAAAGTTGTGTCATTACACCAGAGATAATTAATGTATCGACATTTCGTTCATCCAAGAGAGACTTCAATCGAGTTCCATGAAACGCATCATAAGTGTTTTTTTCATCGAGAACAGTTTCGTTGGGCGCAACATCGAGACCGGATAAAAGTTTCCAATCGAATGAACCTTTACGAATTGAACCCGACGCGCCCCACCATCGAACTAAAACAGAAGTTTTCTCTTCATTTTCGGGATCTGGATGACCATGTTGAGTAAAAATCACAGGTATACCAGCACGGCGAGCACTGACTATCGTAGCATTGACTTCAGAGAGTATTGGTTTTGCCACCGAAGCAAAATTGTTTTGCATATCAATAACTAACAATGCGAATTTGGAAGAACTTAACCCACGTGGCATGTTCAATATTGTCAGAATTCATATACAACTTGTTCTACCTACCTAATTTCAACGTATAAGTTGGTATAGACCAATGGGAGGTCTGATTTGTCGCTATACGTCATGTCAATCGTCGAAAATCAATATATTTTAATAATGATGGTTGTTGCGTTTATTCTCGACAAACTGAATGTTGTTAGTTGAGTATCTGATGTGTGACAATAGTTTTATTTATCTAGACATGCACATTCGCGACTCTACGGAGTCAAATACCTAATCAAGACTCGAGTATAAACGAAGAGAATCTGACAAGCATCTTCTGTACTTTCATATTTTATTATCATCACCATGTCTTCAAATCCAATCACAGATATCGAACATTTCAACAGCAAGTTGTATTCGCAGATGAATACGATACGTCATGGTGAAAATATCCTTCTCTCTGTCAATCTGTATAGCTCCTGCACTGTTAGTACTCGTAATGAAACACTAGAGCAAATGTTAAATGTATTACAAATTTCGTCCATTGAGCAAACAATGCAACTATTTTCTTTTAATGAGAAGCAGCTTCAATTCAATTTTCTAATCGACTGTATGCACAGAAACATTATCAACTTCGCGATGATTATTTGGAATTGATCAGAAAGTCCTTTCAAACTGATATCAAACTAGAGGATTTCAAAAATTAAAGTGTCCAAGTTGTCGATACGATCAATGCATGGATAGAAAAACAAAGCAATAATTCAATACATAATCTCTTAACATCAGCACGCGATTAGTATTGATCGATTGTATTTATTTCGAGGTAAATACGATGATTCTCGTTCCGATCATCTTTCTATTCCATTATTTTACTAGAGAACATAGGCTGAGCAATTTAAAGAATATCTCACCGACGCAAAAGTACCTTTTTACCAAACAGATGGTACAATTTCCACGGTTGGTTTGATCCGTCAACCTGCTTATTTTCATTACAACGCAAATCGCACTTTAGACATGAGAACGGTTCATATACATATAATACAAAGAGTACCGATGTTCAATTTGTCTTTACTATTATCCTACTCAACCCGACGTTCTATTAGAAGATATTGAAGAAGAATTCCAGACGAATCCAAAGTTAATGAAACAAACGCTAAGCCCTCATAATGCTCACACTGAATATCTTGAGCTATGGAAACACAATTCAATTTGAATGATGTTCTCATTTAACTTCGCATACCCAACGCTTCCCAAGATCACTTTACTGATTTCTCCTACATTGTGGATAACCTAGATCTCAGTAAGAGACTATCCATCAGCCAAATAATCATTTTCACCATCACTTCATACGTTTCTCACAATGTTTCGTTCAGGTGAATCATAAAGCATTCATCAACGCTGACGAGAAAGATTAACATTTTTCTTCAATGATCAACTACAAATTATAAAGATGATTTGATTGCTGCACTTACAATACTCGTGATGAACGAGTACAGTGCTGAAGACCTACGAAATGCTATTGAATTTAAACTCAGTCGCCCCATCCTGTTCGTCATTCCAGAAACTCGTCGCGGTCTAGCACTATCTCAACGCAAATATCTTTCCCCAAACAAATGACCTTCGTATAATTCCATTTCAATGAAAAAACTATTTTTAAATTATATCTCGTCATTTATAATACAGAGAAAATCTTCAAAGACATAGATAATAAACAAGAAAACCAAATAAAAAATATCGATAAAACCGCTGATGAGCAATGATTGAGAAGAATTCGATAGCCGTGCAAATTGATCGGCTGAATGTCATCGTCTAATGTAACATTATATCTCGTCATTGGTTCAAATGATTGAATATGTTTGAAACGATATTGTAGAACATGAAACGCATGATTAATACGTATGGAACGATTCATAGACTTGTGGAATTTAGGCCCTATTCAAAACATACGACGGAGTGTATAACAAAATGCATAATGGAAACTTACTGCAAAAACCAGTGGGTAAAACATCACACATAAATATACCATTGTAGCATATGCATAGGACACAATCGATTTCCATTCTGGTCATCGATGGGAAGGTGCCGCACTGTTCATCAAGAGAAATTTCGCAATATCGCCCGGAAAATCCTCTGAAAGAAATTTCTTTTTCATGACACAGATTCACTCTTAGATGTTCAACTTACTTCGGACAAATACAAAAGGACGAGAGGAAACATTCCCCATTATTTTGACATCGTGCATTGCATGGCTCGGGTTCTCCCACATAATCTATGAAATACAATCATTTGCATAATTTCAAAACTCAAAGTGTCTTTTCATACCTTCAGATTCTGTTGACAAATAAAATCCATCTACGAATCTAAACAAATACCGTTCAATACACGAATTCATTCTATGATCATATGCTTTTCCTACCTGAAGAAGAAAATAATCGAAAAATAAAATCTGAACATAACTGTATGTCATACAAGCAATTGAACATGATTTATATATTAAAAATCAATGTGTGATTTATGACAAACACAAGACCGACAGTAACTTAGAAGTTCAAACATGCGATATGCGTCCAAGCGAACAAGTAGTACGTTTGTTTCTTTGCTCGACTGTCAATTGTATTGTAATTAACATGTTTGTGACTTTTCGTTTTATGTAATTGAATTTTTCTTTTTCTCTTCACACCAACTGTTCTCTCTTTCTTTTCTTGCGTCAATGTCCAACAGATATAATTAATGAGTAGATCGAATAACATCACCTTCTGCTCATTATATGCGCACGAGTTAATGACATAAGAGAAAGGGAAACATACAGCGGTACGGGCACCGTCGAAATGACGAGACATTGATAATTGGAACGAAATTAGTCAATGATCATACTCAGAGTCTTTTTGACAAGAAAATAATTGCGAAAACCTATTTTGTATTTTGTTTATGGAATGTTCGAAGTGAATTTGTCGAGAGAAATGGCCAGTATGACCTCATTTGACCTCGTGTGTTTTGAGCTCATCGAATAAGAAGAGAGAGAACAGTAAATTGAACTTCGAGGGGATAAATACATCTTGGAAGTATTCGTCTCGAGGTCATTCTTTCGATTGCCATCGTTCAACATCGACATAAAAAGTTAGTCTAGTTTGATTTCTCACATTCGGCCATTCTCGTGCTTTCTTTTAGCTTTTTATTCTATTTACAAGGATGCGTTTCAATGTGTTTACCATGCTAATGATAACTGCTGTTCTGTTGATTGTTATGTCATCATCAACAATAGAAGCAGCGGGCATGGAAGTGTCAAATATAAGAGTCAAACGTTCGTTCTTAAACTGGTTTACGGGTAATAGACGAAGCTGTCGACGAAAAGGAAAGCGGTGTTTTGGTATAAACTCCGCATGCTGTAGTGGTCATTGTGAGAATATTCCTCTCCGTAGCGATCGTTGTACTTAAATTTGAGCGTGTGTGTTGTTGTTGTTGTCGTAGTAGTAGCGCTTGATTGTTTTTTTTTTCAATAAATTCGCTGTTTTTCATTCTGTGTGTCTGATGCAGTGTAGACGGAAACTATATACTTTGCATTGGATAACTCTCGTCGACGGGTGAGAAACGAAGAAGAAAAGAAATGGATGAAAATAGTTTATATTCCGTCTCCACAATATCTATTAGTTGGCATTCATCTAGTTGAAGATTACCAACCCCTATTTTCTCTGATACGTCGTGGCAGTAGCAGAAAAATACGAACGACAATCGATGCATATGCATCGATATCAGACCAAGGAGAAAAGGACGAGACACAAATATTAGTCGTACGAGTGGTAAAAAAAAGAAGAAAAGCCACACAACATATCGACATAGTTATAAGGATAAGAACATCGTTTGTACAGTAGGCACCCTAAGGTTTCCTCGTAACTTTTGTTCATTATTATGACGGATATTGTCAGTCGAACTGTTGATGTTCTTGATTGTTACGAAGGTCGTGATGCTGCAATTACATTTACACTTTATTTGTGTTGTCTAATCAGTGGTTTTTACTCACGAAAAACCAAATTACATCGGTCTCTACAGCGTGTTTTTCATCGACTTGAAGATTGTCGTGTTGTCCTACGTTTGTACGATGACTTGACTATTCTTCGAGATTTATTTACATACGAATTGAGACCTGGTGTAAGAAATTTAGCAGATTGTTTTTGCTTTTTATCACAGAATTGTTTTTATTCAATAGGAACGCAACTGGATTGTTCGTTTATTGAAGTGTCTTCATTACATAGCCTGGCTCGGTTACTATCCATCTGAACACATCGCATGGTTAGGTGAAATGAAAATGCTCGATGTTAATCCGAAACTATGGGATTTCTACACAAATTTTTTCTGGTCAACCGCTTTATTGACGTCTGCTCTCTGGTAAGTTTCCTCTAGTTGTAATTCGTGCTGACCGATTGTGTCATTTATAGGAACGCCTATGTGGTCTTACAATATATGGTACAACAAAGTTATAGTATACAACGAAAAGAAGAAGAGTACGAGTTAATTTTGTTCGAAAATTAATCAGTCGATTTGTCTTTCTAGGAAAAAGACGCTTATTCCATGGACAGCTGCTCGCAATGCAATGTTAGCAACTGTCCGTGATGGTACGGAGTTTATCGTTGCTGTGAATTATCTACCACGTGGTTATCTATGGGCATCGACACTGACTTACATACAAGTGGGTGTATTTGGTACAAGTTCAGCTTTCTTACGACTCTTTTCACTCTTTCAATTTCATCATGAACATTAAAGTGACCCCTGATATATTTTCGTTCTTCTCTACCATTAGAGCAGATATTTATGATTATTTTTTTCTCGCAATTTGATTACGATCTTACCTTTTTCTTCGTCAACCTTGAATAGACATAAACGAAATTTTTCTTCTAAGGAAATCGAATATACCAATGTTTCGTTGTGTTTAGAAGGAAACTTCACATTTGAATTTATGCATGCTGTCTTTATCATTTTTTTTGCCACGAAATATAGATGAGAGAAAAATATTTAATAATCTTGCACGTCAAAATCTATTCCAGTTAATTTTATTAAACCATTACAATGCTTGTGGACGACATGAATAGTATGAAGGCAGAGAAACATTGAAAATAAGAATAACGCATAGTGTTGCTTTCTTCAATTTGTCGTAACTATAATCAGACAGTACATTCGTAAGTTTGCTTTGAATCAGCGATGCGCCAGATCGTTTACGTACAATGTTCTTGATGAATTATGGTAGCGCGGTATAGAAATAGGTCTTGAATACTTTTGTAAATGACGTCAGTTTGTGCTGAATGCATTTTATTTTAAATTGTAACGATATTTTGTTCTTATCGTGTGTTTCATGACTTTGATTTGATAACATCAGCCATTACTCTGAATAAACTCTTTTTTTTTACGACAAATTAAATTTGCATCTTGCTATAAGATTCTGATGTTTATTGTCGCCACGTGCTTCATGTGAATAGTAGACAAAAGACGGTAAATATAAAAGCTTTTTTTTTCTTCATTTATTTTCTCGTTAGTTTTTATTCGTGGTTATCTGTCATATATTTAGACGGCGTTTATTCATCACTATTTCGTCGCATGAATGTATCGTCAACAGAAGAAAGAGAAAAAACGGGATAGGAGTAAAAATGTTTTTCAGGCCAATTGAAAAATAAGCGACATGCATATAAAATGTAAGAGCGCAAACAGACAGAAAAGCAAATAAACTTTATTTTATTTGACAAAAAACTCGTTCATATCAAGCGCTGAAAGCATCAATGACAGGTAATGAAAGTGCTTTAGATAATATACAATATTAATTTTCACTAACATGCGATGATGAAAGAAATATGGATATAGTTGGCGACCAACATATTCGTTCAACTGGTGACATAGTATGCTATCTTATTGGTGCATTACATGTACAGTAGGTTAAAATCTAATAAAAAGAATGATTTGGGTCCCGAATACACGAGGCGAATTAAAACACAATTGAGCAATGTGAATGGCGTTTCCCCGTAATGACAGCAATCAAATTGGATAGTTCTATTTAAATTAATTTCGTGCATTCGAAGTCTAAATGTCAAATATATGACTTGGTACACTTGGAGAATCGTCTTTTAATATCAAAATAGGTGAGCCCTAAGTGAGCTCATTTCGTATCAAGATACGTCGATAAGACGGATCATAGAATTTCTTATTTATTACGTAGTCCCCATTAGAAATATTTAGTCTGTTTTCTGTACCAACAAATATGGATAGAATTCAGTAGTTCATCTGTTGTTATGTATATTTACCGCCTATCTCTACATTTAAGATATAGCTAACATAAAGTGTTAGTGTCGTCTATGGATAATTCAAGTGCAAGCAGTGATTCGTTCAGTGGATGCGAAATTAAGGATGTATCATCAAATCGGTCATTTACGAATAAGAAAAAGTTAACAAATTCCGATCGTCTACGAGAAAAGATCGCATTGATAAAAAGGGAAACGACGAAGTATGGCGTTTATTCAGCGTGTCACATGGCCGCTTGCGAATTTAGATATACAGGTAAAGGCGATTCAGCTCGCTGTGACAGGTGTGGACTTATAGTAGACAATTGGACAATGGATATGAATCCTCTTAACGTTCATGCTGATAGAAGCTCCTCTTGCCCATTTGTTCAATCTATAAAATCATCGTCTTCATCAATATTGCCTGTGTCTCCTTCTTCTTCCTCAACAATTACTGTTGAGAACTCACTAACATCATCTGGTAGACCAGAAAGTTACTCTAAACGAATGAAAACTGAACCAGGCGAGTCGCTGTCTCCGGCCATCTCGTTATTCGAAACCAATTTGCTTCAACAAGTGCGCAAACGAACTTTCTCTCATTGGCCGCATCGCACAGACCGATCAATAACACGAATGATAGAAGCTGGATTCTTCAGTTGTAACGTTGGCGATCAAACTATATGCATCTATTGCGGTCTTCTGTGCAAACAATGGACTGACAATGATGATCCATGTGAGATACATAAACTATGTTCACGTACGTGCCCATATGTCTGTGCCAAACTGAAACGAACAAAAGAAGGTACGTTTTGGTATTGATTATTCATTGTAGATAATTTTATTTATTTAGTACAATCTGTTTTTGAAAGACAGCGGCAAAATCAGACGAGCTTAGCTGTCAGCACAGAACAGTTATCCATACCTGACCAAGCAACTTTGGATGCATTGCTTAAGGCACGACTTGATCTACCTATCTCATGCCATCTGCGCAACGAAGGTTTTGAATTTTCGATCGTGAGTCAATGCTGGAAAAACCAATTAGAACTAAAAAGTAAATGCATAAACACATCTTGACGTCTTAATCGTACAACATTCACTTTTTTAGAAGACGATTTTGCTGATGATATGGACTTGTACATTGCTTGTGTTATTCTACAAAAACAGAATGAACACAATAATCAAGATAAATCTGTTGTGATCCCAGAAAACATTAAAAAACAAAACGGTATGTTTGTAATAAACATACTAATATTTCTTAATCAATCGTTTTAGAATCACGATCTGAAATGATAAACATTACTACTGAGAGCAGCTCATCAAGAAGTCCTGATATCGTTAATGAAAATCGAAGCAGTTATTCAGCCCAAGCAAATCTATGTGATATCTGTCTGACTGAACAAAGGCAACATGTTTGTCTACCATGTGGACATATGTTTACTTGTTCACAATGCGGACCCACACAGCTTGTATGTCGGAAATGCAAGAAAACCATAAGTACACGTGTCCCATTGCAGCTGTAATTAATGGCATTGCATTAATTTTTTTAAAAACGACTATTTAATTCTTACCTTGCTGTCGTTGTTTTTTTGTGTGTTATATTAATCTGAATCATGTAGTTTGATCAATAATGGTAATATGGAAATCTCTTCCATGTAACCCTCGTTCTCATTTTTCGACCTTATTCGCACCCATATTGCGTATTAATGGGCAAAATTTATGCGTACAAAAAACATTTCTTAAAAAAAGATAATTCCAATTATTGGACTGTCGGCCGAATCTATACAAAAATCGTTATATCGGAATAACGTACGAAGCGTTTGGTATATATGCAACAACGTATACAATATAAAACGAATTCAATCCAGCTGACTATTCTTTCGATCGTTTTTTTTCGTTGTCTTCTTTTCGTATGTAATATGGAATCGATTCAACGTAACTAACGATTCTTTCGCGCTAGCTAATTCTGTTGTCTCTTCCATATGCTATATGTAAAGTATGCAATATGTATGCTGATTCTTTCGTTTCCAGCTAAACCGTTTTCTCTTTTCATATTTAATATCGAACCGAATCAACGTGTTTGCTGACTCTTTCACCACTACCAAATCTTTCACGCGTTCTTATACCTAATACGAGAAAAATTCAATCCATTTACCGATTAAACTGTAACCGTTTAAATTCTCTTTCCTTTTCTTCAACTTCTTTTTCTTATCATGACGCATCACAGACGCACACCACTACCATACACAAACCATATTTTCTCCGTGTTTATTTTTCTCATCCTTTTCTTCTAGGATAAAAGACATACGTCATGGGTCCTATCTTCTTTCATTTTTCGTGCCCAGCTTTCGTGTAACAACTAACCGTTGATTTATGGCTTATGCATATGCAGTAATGTTACACGAAATAAAGCTATGTTACCAAAAAAAAATTATTGGATTATTTCTGAATCGTATTTGATATTTCGGACACGTAGATCATCAATGAAGAACGTTGTTAAAATAATGACCTTATACTTCAATTTAGTGCCTAATACGATTTGATCGATTAAGAGTCTATCTCTCTCGCTCTTTCTTTCGATTTCCTAATAGTGCTTTCAAATAGAATAACTTACGACAAATTCATATTGATATTATTGGGAAACAAACTTGATCTCTCATTACTCAGGAGACCAAAATCTGTTTGGAATAGTTTAAGATGCCACATTCTCTTCAGCAACAGCAGTTTCTTTTGCTTTTAGTCGATTCTATTCTTTTTTCATTAATAATATTCCTCTGTGCTCCCATACGATCGATCAATCGATTAGAACATAGGCATTTCCATCGTTCAACGTCGTACGTACTTATTCTTTTCCGGTCCATCTCATCTTATCTTCTTCGTCTTCTTTTTTTTCTCTACTGTCATTATTAAATCTCCTGATAATAAAATCACTCAGTCATGGAAAAAATATATATATATAAAACTTCTCATACATATACACATCACGATAACATAATCGTTTGCTTCGTCTTCTCTTCCATCCATCAATCATGAGTCTTAAAACATGATTCGAATACTGATCTATTTCGTTCTATTTTTCAACGCGCAAGGTCAAACAAACATTCCTATTGGTAAGTCATGGAATATGTTCGAGTAATAAAGCTGGAGACTTCTATCCTAGGTTGGTTTGTGGATGAAAAATCGACAAATAATGAAGCAGCAAACACTTTCATACAAGCTTTAACAGCAGCAACGAATCTAACCGAAGGATTCCTATGGCCCAAAGGTCAATACACATTCCAATCTATTCATGAGAATGTGAATGTATGTATAATCGACTTGCAAATCTAACCCACTACTTTCTGATTGCTTCATTTGTTTTTCAAGAACGATAATATCTATGCCAGTGTTCATCAAAGTAAAGAAACTTTCTGAGAGATGAATTGCGTACACATATCTTGTTCGTAAATAGTTTGTAATCGATTGGAATCTGGTGCCATTGGTACAATTTCAAATATTAACAATGCGAAAACTCGTTTGCTCGAGATATTCATGCGACGATTACACATATCGATGGTTTCATTGAATTATTTCAATTATAACAAACAAGAATTTCCTCCGTTGAATAAATTCTATCATCTAACAATGAAAATCGATCTTCTGCCGGCTCTTGCAGCATGCATAAGACGTTATAAAGTAATGAAATTGTTTTACATCTTCGAAGGCGATGAAGCTTTCGAACGCTACCAGGCGATGATGGTCGCACAAGCCCGAGAGAAAAGTTATGATATTCTCGACATCCAAGGTCGACATCTGATCGATAGTACGAATTCAAATCATACGAGAAATTTACTGCAAAGTGTAGAAATCCATGATCGTGGTTCAAAGGAGGAGCGTTATATCGTATTAGATCTATATGACATCAACAGTTATGTTAAATTACTAATGCAAGTAAGATGAGAGTTTGTAAATGCAGCTTGGGTCAATTCTTATTTGTTAGATTCGACATCATGGCATGACCACACCTCACTATCACTATATTCTGATGAGTTTGGTGAGTTAAGTCAAATGAGAAAGAAATTCGAATATGAAGTGCTGTTTTAGGAAGCAAATCGTATTGATATGCGCACTTTTCGTTATGGTGGTGTGAATGTCACTTATTTTCTACCTAAATCCGCTTATAAATTGAACTCCTCGTTCGATGTAACAGGCCACGATCGATTATCATTACCATCCGTAGGTTGAATCTATTTTCAGCAGTTTTTCCTTGAATTATTTTGTGGTTGTAGTTTGAAAAGAAAGCGTTGGCTGATACTTTGTATCTGTACATGCGAGCAATCATGTCTTTGGATGAACGAACACGTGCTAAGATTATAGATTCGGATTCCACCGATGATAACTTCGATCATTTAAAGATCGAGTGTCGATCTAAAGGGAAACACCGTTCACACGAAGCATTTGGCGACAAGCTCTTCCAAACAATGAGATCAGTAAGGACTTTCTCGTCGACGGGATATATAGAAATCATATTCGTATTCGTCTAGATTACTTTCGAAGGTTATTCCGGAAACGTCGCATTCAATGAATATGGTGAACGATTAAATTATACGTTGAATGTGTATCAAGTGACTATGAATCGATTACCGCGACATGTAAGTTGATCGTTTGTAAATGGGAAAAGACGCAAGCATATGCCTATCTAGATTGGCAATTTTACTCATGACGAATTTGCATTTGACGATCTCAGGGTATTCGAAGGACGTCAAGCACATGATTTTGATAAGGGAAAAGAACGAATTATATCGACAATTATCGTATGTATTGCATGCACCTTGTTTGATGACCGTGAGAAATAGTACATTTTCTTTCGAGGACGAACCATTTACCATGTTGAATACGACTGCTCTTGGAAATATGACTGTCTCCGAAGCGACCGGTCAATATTTCACGTTTGATCAATTACATGGTTATTGCATTGATTTAGCACGTTTGATATGCGAACAGAAACTTGAAATACCATGTAAATTTCGCATTGTCAAAGATAACTCGTTTGGAAATAAGCCGACGAACTCTCAACCATGGACGGGAATGGTCGGTGAACTAGTTCGACATGAAGTCGATTTAGCCATTGCACCGTTAACCATAACAAGTCAACGGGAAAGTGTCGTTGATTTTAGCAAACCATGGATGAATCTTGGTATCAGTATTTTGATCAGTAAACCAGAGAAAATTGCTCCAGGTAGAAAAGAATTGTGTTCTCATGCATGTAGAGCTAGTTTGTTTTCAGGTATTTTTTCATTTATGGCACCCTTATCGAAAGAGATCTGGATGTGTGTTACATTTGCATACATTGGTGTCAGTGTTATTCTATTTCTCGTCTCGCGATTTTCTCCATATGAATGGAGTATGGAAGATGAAGAAACTTTTCAATTATCGAATAAATTCTCAATCTTGAACACGCTCTTCTTTGCCCTCGCTGCTTTCATGCAACAGGGTGTGGATTTCATTCCAAGGTAACAAAATTCTTTTATTATGAATTCGCTTTAAATTTGTCGGTAGATCTATATCGGGTCGTTTGGTAGCCGGTGTTTGGTGGTATTTTTCCATGATTCTGGTATCATCATATACTGCTAACTTAGGTAAAACGAAATAGAAGGCAACAAGTTCGATGAAGGTTTTTGTTTTTACAGCTGCTTTCTTAACTGTCGAACGTATGGTTACGCCGATTGAGAGTGCGGAAGATCTCGCTAGACAAACCAAAATTCGATATGGCATCGTTCGTGGTGGATCGACACAATCGTTTTTTGAAGTATCCATTCATTGTATGTGTGACTCGAAAAGTTTGACTACGTTGTTCGTTCTTTAGAAATCAGATGTGAAAGTTTTTCAACGTATGTGGACATACATGCAACAAAGTGACGATGTCTTTGTTTCCACAAATGAAGAAGGTATAAACAAAGTTCGGTATGTATTTTTTCGAATGAAATATATCGTTAAATGGTCTCGACTTACATTCGTAGAAAATCGAGAGGCAGATACGCTTTTTTACTCGAAGTAAGTTCAAATGAACAATAAGAAAAATTTTCTTTGTTTTTTTTTCTACAAGTCAACGAAAAATGAATATATTAACGAACGTGCTCCTTGCGATACGATGAAAATTGGAATTAACCTAGATTCCAAAGGCTACGGTATTGCCACGCCAGTCGGTTCAGAATTACGGTAAGAAGACGAGTTGAAAGAAAACTCTTTATTTCATCCAGGTTTGAATCTCATTTCAGAGAAGCTGTTAACATAGCCATACTAGAAATGAGTGAAGATGGTTCACTAAATAAACTGAAAAGAAAATGGTGGTTTGATAGGTCGGAATGTCATAGTGCTTCGACGAAAGTGAGTCGTAAATAGAAAACAATTGAGTAGTTGATCTACTCTATTTTTTTGCATCAGGATTCGAAACAAAGCAATGCGCTGAATTTAGTCAATGTCGCGGGTATATTTTATATATTGATTGTGGGTCTAACATTGGCGATTATCATTGCTGTACTGGAATTTTCGATTAAAGCAAAACGAGAAGCGAAAGAAACAAGAGTAAAATTGATAATCATTTTGAATTTCACATTATGATTCGTTTTCTAGAACAATATTTTTGATGTAATGAAACGAAACATGCGATTAAGGTTCGTAGAGAAAATCAAAATCTGTTCTTTGTACAAATGAATTTTTATTTAGTATTGCTGGTGTCGATCTGAATGACACACCAACACCGCAGTTTATTTACAAATGTCCACCTCCAGATCCGTTTCAAGTAAGATAGAGAGAAAACCTTGCCTGTGCATAAATATAATCTTCATTCTTCAGAGTTCCGAACAATTATTCGAAGAAAACGGACACATCGCTGCTGGTAGTCATAGTCAAGTGTAAAAAACTTTCATTTGTTCGTTTTTTCTATTTATCAACTTTGTACATGTACTAATAAAGCTTCTGAACTAGTTAGTAATTTTCTATTGTCTGAATGTCGAATCATCACATCTATTTTGCGTTGGTCTTGCTTGAAAATGACATCCGAATCTATAAACGATCTGAACAGATAGTTTATTTTGAGAAAGAATACAACAAAATTCGATAATCAAGCTTCACCATTCTTCTCATCATCATGATCAGTTGAAGTTTTTAATTTCGCTTTTTTATTTTGAAACTTTTCAACTTTCGTTTCCACACTTTCTCGCACTGGACGGGTTAAGATTGGCTGGTAATTCTTTCGATTATTATTATATCCCGTTGATGCATGACTGTCATTTTCAATCAAGGCTAATTGACCTAAAATCGGCGTTTGTTGTTGATCTGAAATTTGACTTTCGAGATGATTCAGCATAGTTTTGATCATTGTTGCACGAATTTGAAACGACGACCAATGTCGTTGTAGATGAGCGATCGTCATGCGAAGTGATGAGTGATCGCAGATCCACTCCACATTATTAAATTGACAATCAAACAGAATCAGCGGCAATTCTACGAAGAAAAACTGAAAACATTGTATCACAGTGAACAATTCTGTTACCGGATGCTATTTGATAGTTCGGTGTACAGGGGTATTTTTCAATATTCAGTAGTTCTTTAACTAGTTGAACATCTTCTTTTTCTTGACCAATCAATAGTAAAATAGCAACAATACAACGAATCTGATGCCATAGAAATCCAGAACCGTGAACCAACAATTCGCACATTTGGTAACTATTACAAAAGTTATGAATTCGAATTTTTGTGTACCCCAGAAGAATACTCACCCAAAATTAGGATTGTTCGAGTCATTATCAATACTTAACTGTTCAACAGTGACATTATCGATACGACGAATAAATGTCGGCTCATCATTAGTTATATCAAGTTTACAAAAACTTCGAAAATCATGTGTGCCAATCAGATCTGCTGCTGCTTGTCTCATTCGATCGAGATTTAGATTAGCTCTAAAGAAATTCAACATCATTTCGAAGGCAACACACTGCTCAATCGACTCGGTTTACTTTGGAAAGAAATATCGATAAGATCTTGATACGCAATCAAATCGAGCTGATTTACCATCTGGCACAGGCGCCCATGCAGTACATCGTATTGAACTTGGTAGAACACCATTCAGAATTTGTACATAGTTCAGTTCTTCCGTACTAAACTCAAATAATAATTCGTTAAAAACAAAGAAACTGTCGTACATGAATACCTGTGTACACTAAGCTTTGATCGAACGGTCAATGAGATTACCTGAGTGAATGCACTGACACCTGCAAAAAAGATGAAAGGTTATTCGATTGAAAGAGGTTCCCACTCGCCTCGATCTGTGCGTCCACATCGATGGTAGTTCGAGGTTGCCCGCTCTTCGATTAGTCGTGTTTTTATCAATGCATCAAAGAGAAAATCTTCGACAGTTTGTGATGTTGTTTCTTGTACAACAAAACCCTGAAAATGATGATTGAATCTCTGATATTCATCAGTTTCATTGTTTTCTGCTCGCTCACATGATAATCCCAACCGAGATAGAAGAACTTGAGAAATATATGTCGTTTTGGATGTTTACTGAAATCGAAAGGTCTCATTGCTTTCATCTTTTTCTCCTTCGAATCCTTTCCCGTTGTTTTACTTATTGTATTTCTCAATTGTTCAACATGTTTGTCAAGTTGTTTACAACGTTGTATGAGCTCTTCGCGTGATAACGTTGACCATTGATCCTCATCAGATGGGAATTTACGTTTCGAACTATTTATTTGTTCATTAGACATTTTCCTATCTGAAATAAAATCGAGACATATGTAGACGAAATATGACTCGTATTTAATTCCAAACATACACGCATACAGATAGAATTGACGTAAACGTAAGACAAAAAAAAAGAGAAGTAGAGGAAAAAAGAAGAAGAAGAAAGGAACAAAAGTTTTCTTTTCAAACGTGCATAATAATAATACACATTGCCTGTTCGGATGCTATGTTCTGTAAGTTTTGTGTTTGTAAGGAGAGAAAAATATCAGTAGGATGATAGAAAGAAACGAATATAAATTAACAAAAAAGAGAGAGAAAAAACTTTCTACAAAAGATGTGTGTCCGACGATGATGATGGGCCGTGTGGATCGTCGGATTTCGGAGGTTGTTGTTGTTTTCGTAGTGTTTCAACGTATTCGATTTGTGATATGGCAAGAACTTGTCGCATTAAGGAGTCATCGTCATCGTCAAGATCTGGAGAAAACAAAAGGATACGATTAAACGAAACCGTTTTAGAAAAACATGAAAGATATACCAGTATTGGATGAAGCATCACATTCATAATTAAACGGTAAAGCAAATTCACAATCTTTTCGTTCATCGAGCTTCAACGGCAACAAGTTTCTCGGTGAGCCTATAAGAAAACATGATTTGAAAAGTGAAATTCGATGAAAGTTGATCTTTTACCATGGTTGTTATTCGACGCTCGTTCAGAGGTTGTCGTTGATCTTGGCGATGAGCTTGACGACGGCATCTAAAGAAATTTTCAAAATCAGTTCTATTCTCGAAAGATGTTCAGTGAATAATTCATTCTCAAATCTGTTTTTGAATAACATTGTCTCTACGAGGATAAAAACGAGATTAGAATTCACAAACCGTCTTGTTATCTTTGTGTTGTTGGTTTGTATCACATAACCATTGTAAATAAGATTCTCTCGCAACTTGCTGAATTAGTTCGTCTTGTGTTGCCTCCCAATCAGTAGCTGCTATCTTATCGTCAAGCATCGCACGTTCAATGTGACTTTCTTCGGATTGGCGTACAGCTGATCTAATAAGTGTTTCTTGAGCCCGCTAAAGATGAATAGAAAACATGGTGAGTGTAAAGGAAAAATCGTGTTCTGCTATGCGGACGACATACTCCTGGTTCGAGATCAGGAAAGCCAAGACCGTGACCAGCAGTCGGCCGCCAAGGATCAATGATTGAATTGTAATGAACACCACAATGGTAGCTTAAACGAATAGGCTCATTATCGGTTTTATACATTCCATGTACAATGTTAATTGGTTCTAAGAATACAGAAAGATCAACACTTCGTTTGTTAAATTGATGTTTTCATACCAATACTGTATTCATAGACTTCAATTGGTCGATTGTATAATTCTGATAAGGCAATCATTTCAATATGATTTCCATGGCAATGCTGTCGCCGTTTCCGTGTGACATAATGATCGAAATCTTCTGTGATATACGAACGAAAAAAATCGGCATTTTTCACCTAAAATGAATACGCTCATAGAGATTCAGTCATAAAAAAAAGCGAAAGAATTCTTACAATATAGTCCATACAATTTCGTCGAACAGTTGCGTGCATTTCTTCATCACCAAATACTTGATCAGCTAGAGAGAAAGAAAGCATTTGTAAGTTGTATCTATCGAAATGATTGTTTACTTACACACTGCTCGAAATAAACAAGCTCCATCCTCTTGAACAGCTTTGATAACAAAACCTTTCTTTTCTTTCAATGCTCTAGCAAAACGCATTTCAAGCTAAAATACAAAATTCATCATCAACGTCAAGTTTCGAAATACCAACGTACTTCATTGAGATTATTCCTATCGTATTTAACAGTTGTTTGTTCATATTCATCTTCACTGTTACATTGTTCATCATTATTAACCGTTGTTAACGATGCTGCTGATGTTGATGCTTGAGTTAGAATATGCTCATTTGAATTAGCATTTGCCGGCAGGGTATTCTCATTGGTTAAACTCGACGATGGACTATTACAAACAACGTTGGGTATCGAAGAGTTTGGGATGTGTTTTTCTCCGACTGAACTGCCACGTCGTCGAGCTTGTTTAACGGTTGTCTGATGATGAAAATGAGATTTACGTTTCGATGTCGGCGCAGCGGTTGTCGTTAACATCGTGTTTGTTGTTGATGAACTTGACGGAAGATTGTTGTCACATCCGAGATTGGATTCTTCAGTTGAATTCGGTTGTATACTCGTCGAATTATCGTCATCACGTGAAATACGCGTGCGAGAAATATTCGCTGATGATTGTTGTTGTTGTTGATTTGTTGAGTTCGATGATAAATCTTTATTATTATTTGAAGGTTTTTTCGAAGAAAATATCGTCATGACAGGATAGAATGGAATTAATCGATAATCATGATGAGAAAAATTGAACACGAAATCTAGAAGGAGACAAATAAGACATAGCGATACCGAGTTCTTTTTTTCTTGTTTGTCGTCGTGTTCGACATCATCACATCATCATCATCTGAGCAGCAACAAATATAGATAGATGATCGATAGTGATTAATGATTGGTTCTTTTGGAAATATTTAGATTATATTACTAAATGATTTCATGCATGATTCTGATGAAATACGACAGATTTCGTGGCATTTTATTCGTTTTTATATTTTGAAAGCTCTCCAGATGTCGCTAGATGTCAACATATATGCTTCAAATCAAGTTCGTAATCAATTAATTAAACTCGAACGTTCTCGTTCCAACGATAGACATGAACTTCCCATAAACAGAACAGAATTGTATTTGTTCCTAACTGGAGGTTCCAATGTGATAATCATGGCGACAATCAATTTCAATGAGATCAGCGTTTTCGCCTTTGACATCTCCTTTACCAAAGATTACTTCGTGATGTCTTTTCTTAATCTTCTCATCCTTGATAAATACAATCAAAAATCTGTATAGCAATGGTTTTATACGATGAAATCTATTAAGCAGGTAAGCCAGATAAATGAAAGTATGCGTAATATGTGTGTTTGATGAGTATAGCATGCACAAATATAAATATACACACACACACACTAAATTACACTCGTTCATTGGGTGACGATTGATACGTAACATGGCAAGATTTACATCGTATTGATAATCGTTTACATACGATAGTCGAAGAAGTGTTTCGAAAGAAGCAGGGAGCAGACATCGGAGTGAAGTCTGATACCTATACATTTATATGAGTAGGTTTTCAGGGGATGGCGCTGATATGACCGGATATCCGTCAAATGCTTTTATTCTTTGTCATCATGTACGTCACTTCATTATTTCCTTTCCACCTATTTACAGAAGAAGTCAGAACACATTTGAAAGAAGAAATGGGAAGAATAAAGAGAGAAAAATGATGGTTCATAGTGCATTGACGTGTGTATATCGGCGACCTATCGGCATGCAATACATGTATATGGTGCATATTGGAACAAATGAGATCCTTCTATCCTACGGATGTAATCGTCTGACAAAGAGAAGAGAGGGAGAGAAATAAAGCACTGTACTCTTTGTTTATCAAAGGATACTGGCCGCGAAGATAGAATGAGAGGGGTAGAGGGAAAGAGAAAAAAAAAGAGAGAAAGAAAAAATCTGCAGGATATACATCCCATTATACTTGTATTCCGTTCATTCTAGCTGGTAATAGGTGTTGGTACTGCTGCCGCCTTGATTGGCAGCAGTGTATGAGCAGATCAAGCGCATTAGTGGAATGCATCGATTTTCTCAATTATTCTAAACTTGTTGTTTTATTCATCATCATCTACTGTAAACTTACTTACTTACTCTCCCTCTCATTCACTCGTTCTCTGTCTATTACGTCAGCTTCATTATTGTTCAATAGAATCATTACTTTCATTGCATCGATCACTTTTATACTACTTCGTTGTATCTACAGGAGAAAAAAAGAAGACAATCATTATATTTCATTTCTTCTTTTTTTTTTGTGTCCTCGATCATTTTGTGCGAAAGAAAAATATCGACGACAGTTACTCTTATGGTAGGTGTTCTATTCATCCATTCATTCTCTCTTTCACATCTTACCGTGAAGCCTATATATCAACATAAAGTTTTGTACACATTAAAAGCAAAAAAACGAAACGAGAAGTAAAACGACTAGGAGTGATACCTTCAATTGTTTAGACTAAACGAAACTTACACCTTCGTTTTTTTTCCTTAGAGCGACATAATGTTTTCATTTCTAAAAAAGACGTAAGTAGTTAATTATTAACCAAACATACTTGCAACAAATGTCTTGTTTGATTTCATAGAAAAATTAAAAAAGCTGAACCCATTATCGTCAATGAAAATAAAGAAAACACCGGCGTCTACGATTATCCAACATCCGCTGTATCAACGCTAGCACATGACGCAAATCACACTAATGATAAAATTCATGTTGATACTACTACTCAGAATTCAACCGATAAACTGTTGTATACATATCAATCGAGTGAAGCGAGTCCCCGTGATTTATCAAGTTCATCATCACCACCACCTCCACAAAAAGTAAGTCGCCGATCGATGATAACTAATGAGACGTTGCATGCTGGCGAGACACATTGACAAAGTTTTCTTTCTTTCTCGTCGTCTTTTTTAATCACGAGTGATTATTCTTTGATAAATTGAATGACAATCATCGCGACAAGCTCGTTTTTCTTTTTCTCTTATTAGACTTGTCTTACAAATACAATAGGTACAACAACATCATTGAATCAAATAGGTAGAAATGATCTCAATCGAATATTAACATCTGGCTACTTGAACGGGGAAGAAAATATGGGTTATATGAAACGAGCTGGCCAGGATCATAAAGTTTCGCATACGAAATCATTGCAATTTCATCAACCAAGTAATTATATCTTTTATGTTCTTAATTGTTGCCGCACCGAGCTCTTTTTTTCGTATTAATCAATTAAAAAGCATCGCTAAACTGCTCGATTTCGTTGTGTAATGAACAGAAAGACGTAGTAATGGACAGAAAATGACGTAAGACAAAAAGAAAGCAATGAAGTCATTGAACAATAATTTGTTTCGCTTGAAAGATGACCACTAAACTGCTGTTCCTTCCTCTCTGATGATGATATCGATTACTCGAGTTGATGGTAAAGAAGCAAAGAACATTATCTATTGAGTAATCAGCAGGTGAATACGATCTTCCTTCCCAGCATCTGCTTAATGTTAAAAATGGCAGCTGTGCAGGATTTTTTCCTTTTTTTTGCTATTTGTTCGTGTGTTTCCGGAGTTCCGAATGTAAAAAAAAGAAAAGAAAAGAAATGTAGATAGAATCGAACGAATAATGATGAAAAAAAAGAAGGAAAATGGCATTGATAGTGCATATACATGTTGTCAACCGACTGACCTTGTCACGTCGGAATGAAAACGCGAATCATATCGAGAAGTTTGAATGCGATAGCTCAAAAATAGATGATGATGAACGTCCTAACACAATTGGAAAAAAACATTCTCACTAACGATAGTTGATGTCGAGGACGAATAAAAGAAATGAAGAGAGAGAGAGAGTAAGCGAAAGAGAGAAGGAAAAAAGAAAGACAACGGAGAGAAAGAGACAGAGAAAAAAACCAATTTCGCTTTGCTTTGTGTGTGTGTGTGTGTGCAGCTACTATTAACAACGAAGCGATAAGAAGACGACACGCACACATACACAAGCGACCGATAATGTTGATGGTTCACCAGCAGCAACAGCAAACTCTGTCCTTACGTAAAGAAATGAGTAAGTGTTGATATTAAAGTTTTGCCTTCGTACTTCATCCTATTATTATCAGGATCACAGTTGAAAGTCAAATTAAACAATAGTTGAGCGAAAAGGATTATGTCAATCAGAAAGCATTAAATCCCAGTTTTTTTTTCTTCTCTTCCTATTCATGATAGTAAAGATCATAATTCAATTAAACGTATACATACACATATGCACATGCACGTAGATGTTCACTTGACTAATGTGCTTTGTTTTACAGATGATGTAATGGGATATAGCTCGTTTTCTTCTCCCTTTCGCTCTCTTTCTCGTGCTTATCAAAGAAAAGATCCAAGAGCAATGTCAAAGTAGTATATTGTCTACGAACGATCATGATCAATAGACAATATTACAATCAGCTTTGTCGCTGCATATAAATATATATATATATATATACGAACGAGTGCGTCTGAGTGAAGAGAAGAATTGACAGGTTGATACTTGATTTAATATTAATGTAAAATAAACGCAAACGAAGGTGATTGAAGAAAAATTTGTCAATGTACCCAATAAATAGGCATACTTGAGTTATAGCATCGTTGATAGAATTTTCTATGTTATCAAAACACAGCTAATTTCTTTGTTCTTCTTCTTCTAGTTGGGTTTTCATATAATCGACCACAGACATTTACAATACCTGGCACGAAGAAAGGAATGAAAGCATTAGTCACTGGTATAGATTGATTTCTAAATTGAGAAAACAGTTGTTTTTTTCATCGATCTTCTTCGTAGGACAAACAAAAATTCGTAAGATTCATTGTTCGACACCACAATCGGTAACAGCTACACCGGATCACGAACCCCCCGTTGAAAAGGAACCTATTGTTCTTTCGCGATATTCGGGTGGGTTCATACCTGATCCTGAAGCGCCCAGAAAGATCGAATCCTTAGACTGGCCTGCACCGATTGCACTTCAAGCTGTACCAGAGTTGATGAAAACCCATCGTGGTCAAAGTGAATCTCGTTCCAATCATAGTGAAACGATATCAGATCACCAAGTTCCGATCGAAAGTATGACTCATGATATCCACGAAATTGGCAATAGTGTTCAGGATGATGATGGTGCTGATGATGGCGAATTACGTCATGATGAACAACTTGAAAAAGACATTAATGAAATGTCGAAAATCAAAGAATCATCTGGTATGGCCAATGCTCTACTCGAAGATTTACGTATTCAAGAGAAGATCATTGCGAGACAATTACCACTCGATCCATGGAAAGCATCTCGTTCACCTTCGGCAGCGATTGAACCACCTCGTCGTTGTCGATTTCAATCGCCAACCTTCGCATCTCCATCCAGACGTGTACATACGCATTCGTCATCAACAACTAATCAAGACGATAGCCTTGTTGGTTTATCAGCATCAATTTACACAACACCAGCTGGAAGAAAACGGATTACTTTACCGAGATATCAGCAAAGAAGTGAAACATTAGTACTTCGACCTGATGATAGCCTATCACCATCGCCCAAAATTCAAACGTTATCAAATCATCTTGACATCCAACGAAGTTGTGATTTAGATTCGACTACGAATTCAAGTTGTAAGTCGTCTCACCTATTTCACCTACGACGTCTCATTCTGTCTCTCTCTCTTTCATCTAGTTTCCAACGATGGTGATCAAAATAAGTCAACAAAGGTACGTTGAACGACAGCGATCTCTTAACACTCGTTCTCCAGAGATTTGCGTGTCATTTATTTTCACCTTTGATAATTATTACTTGTGTTTTTCATTGTTCGCCTTTTCAATTTAGACAGTTGATGTCGACGCTAGATGGACACAGTCACACCACGCACATTCGACTCATTCAGCGCCGGCGTTAATGAGCAATCCAAAAATTTACACATACAAAGACTTAAAAGTGATACCGAAACAACGATTACCATCCGATGTCGATCGAGACCATCTCGAGGTAGATTGACACTTCTTATCACTGAACGAATTTTGAATCTTGTTCTATTTAGCGTCATTTAGCGGATGAGGAATTTCATTCGTTATTTCACATGACTCGAATGGAATATTATCGTCTACCCGAATGGCGTCGTGTTGATCTGAAGAAGCGGCTAAAACTTTTTTGAGAATGTCATTTATTGCTTTGTTAGCTTTCTTCTCTCGCTTTGACTTATTTTAAAACGTGTGCATATAAAGCTTTTTCTCTTTCTTCTTTTTTTTTCTCTCTCTCGTTCGCTCGTTCTATCGAAGACAGGTTGTGTCAGATTATAGATACATAGACTTGACAGTGATTAGAATTTCTTATGGGGTTTGGGGATAATTCACTTCCTTTTCTTTTTTTTCGCTGTTGTTGCTGTTGTTGTTTATTATTTTGCTTTGCAAATGATTTGTAAACGAAAACAAAAAGAAGAATCTATTCAACTAGAGTAATCAATTATATATATCCGTTTGTTCTTTATCAAAGATGAAGAAACAAAAAAAAATGACCGGCGCGGATGAAAGAGAGCGTTCGATAGGAATTCTTTGTATATATTTATTTTAGACAAATAAAGGAAAAAAGATGAATGTAAATAAAATGATTGATCAAACGACAACAACAAGAAAACGACAGCATGAATCAGACGATGCCAATGATGTTAAACGAAAAGATATTAACGATAGACGATCGACAGTTGAACATACTGATGTTCGATTTGATTTTCTCGTTGAGAAGTAATGCAAATATTCGAACTATTCCTCAATGAATCATTGTCGTTTTAGTGATGACGTAAAAGATGGAAATCTATCTGATTTATTAGAAAAGTTATATGCCATGAAACAACAACTGAATGAAGTCAAATCATTACTTTCTGATAAAGATATTGCCGAATGGAACAGGTTCGAATCTATTGTCCTATTAATCATTTTGATAGGGGAAAAAAAGCGAACATACATCATTCAAGTGTTGAGTATCATTAGTCAATTCCGATAAGAACACATGAAGAAAATTCATCTTGATTAACTTTTGTTTGTTATTTATTTGTTCAGACATACGGCATATATGAACGTTGCCTCGACAATTGTGCCCTATTTACGAGAAAAATTGCAGATTGAAGTCGGAACTCAGGCATGGGCGAAGATGTTCGAAATTTTAGCAAATTTTTCATTGATCAATTGTGAAGAAAATAAACCATGGCGAACATTGCATCTATGTGAAGCACCGGGAGCGTTTATTGCTGCTTTAAATCATTTCCTTGTCACTCGAGGTGAAACACAAATGGGAAATAGCATAGCAGATTTCTTTGTTTTCTCTTTTAGACATGGAAAACATCGACTGGCGATGGTTCGCCCAAACTTTGAATCCTTATTATGAGCACGATGAATCGACAGCATCGATGCTAATTGATGATGATCGGTTAATATTTCATACGATGAATGAAGAGAATCATTGGAATTTCGGGATTGATAATACAGGAAATCTAATGAGTCAAGCTAATATTGATTATTACATATCACATTTTCGACCAATGGGCTTCAATTTAGTAAGTGCATTGTTAGAATAAGAAAGGAGGGCTTCTCATTGACAACAATCGTACTCGAATAGAAAGATTCATTCAACTTGAACGTTTCTTCATTGTCCACGACATCCTTGTGCAAGAGCGAAGGGATTTAATGAAACTAATTGATTTATATTCAGAAGAAAGATGTACATCGTCACGAAGAGAATCGATCAAATGAATGTATCAATTCAAAAGCGATTTTCTTTGTAAGAGAAGAAGAAAATAGGATTATCTCGAGAGCGAAGACATGTTATATCATCGTTGAAAGACCATCAAGTATTGTCGACTGCGAGGATGAATCTCCCGAACGCAAGTAAATTGAAGCGATTATGTAAGAGTATCATTTAGACTCGAAGCGACTTTTTTTTTTCAATTAACTTCGTAAATAAAACCACAATGACATTAAACATGTTGAAAATCACTTCAAATGAGACTTGTTCAAAATTACCTTTTCTGCTCTTTTATTATGACAAATATACGATATCGGTTGCGTAAATCACTTCTTTTTTTTTTCTTTCGTTATCAGCGGCCTTGAGCGACCGTGAGAAGGTGTATATTAATTTCCTTGATAGAGAGAGGGAAATTCTCCAGGCATTAACAGAATTAATTAATAAAACGAATACATCTGTCGTGACACGAGCTTTGTTAATCTCCGATGAATTGAAGTTCGACTGAATTTGAATCTCATATCATGAATTAATTACAGCGGGATTGCTTGTGTTATTTTTAGATTACAGCTGATGGAAGTTTCGATGTACAAAATAATCCCGGTGAGCAGGAATGTTTAGTATATCCGTTATTGAAAACTGAAGTTTATATTGCATTGTCGTGTTTACTGACACATGGGAATTTCGTTTTGAAACTATTCACCACGTTTGAAAAGATGACGGTTGATTTGATTTATTTACTCTATCGAATGTTCAGTCAGGTAAATCGACTCTGTAATTTCTTGGATTGGAATTGAATGGTACTGTTTAGATATCAATGTTCAAGCCCAAGACAAGTAAAGTAAGAATGACGGAAGTTTGCAAGTAGAGACAAATGATGATTTGTTCTTCAAGAAAGGAAACTCCGAGATGTACGTGGTTTGTATGGATTTTCAACGCGAAAAGTTCGTGAATTGTTTTACAACCGATGTACAACTCGAATCCGTTTCATATCCCGCATCATTTCTTACACAACTACATCAATGTGCGCAATTATTTGAATCGTATCAGATTAATACCATTCAGCATAATCTTTATTTTTTTCAAAATCTCAACCGACGATTTATGAAGAAATTACATAAACTCAAACAGCAGACATTGGATCGATACCTCAACGAGTGTCAAGTGCGGCAATTGTTGGATACCGATCGACATTTGATTAAAGCAGATCAACAATCGAAACATATTTACCTCGGAAACCAACGAATCACTCGAATCGGTACGTTTCACAACCAGCATCAAATTGAGTTTGATATTATTCGGAAAAAAATTCAAAGTGGATTCTTTTGTTTAACTTGCACTGACAATCAAGAGAGTGATTTGTGTTCGCTCTGTCAAACATTATGTCAAATTATCGATAACCCGCTTGTGATAAATCCTTTTGTATTTGTTGGACAAATAGTCGCAGATAAACCGATGATGATCGACCTTGTCTACGGGAAAGCATCGACATGTATACGAAATTCTTGTTTTTCTAATCGATATCTGCTCGAACTATGCTCAAAGATCAACACATCTAACACATTTACAATAAAACAAGAAGATTTAATGTCAATGCGACGTATTTGTTCATTAGAAATATCTCATTATCAATTTGAGCAACTCCAACTATTCCTCGATTACTGTCAGATGAAGGTGTGCTAGATAACAAACTTGTCAGCTCAACTTCTTGAATAATCTCTTTTGTAGTTACAATCACAAAATGGTACTTACTATATACAATCCGGTCCAATTCTTACTCGTTTACAAGCATCTGTGATATATCTCCTTGCTCGTGTATTTGAACAAACTTCAGTCTACCTCATTCCGTCATCTTGCCAGCTGGTCTTTCTCTTCGAGATATCTCAAAATCTACTACTCAACCAACATGAATACGAAACAGTCATGAAAAACTTTCCCATACCTTCGTCATCGACATTATTGCAGTTCATCGATACTCATCAATTGTTAGGTAGAACATTCACACGAATATTTCATAGTTTATTTGTTGGGTTTCTCCTCATAGATCAACAGTTTGCTTCTCATCTCATTCAAGCAAACAATATGTGTTTACAAGTGCAATATGTCACGTCAAATATCTATTCACAACCAGAGAAAAACTTGATATTAACAACATGAATAATGTGTCACTGAATTATTAGTTTTGACTAAATCATTCAATAAAAGATGAGCATTGGTTTCATTGATTTTTTTGTCGAGCAATGCTTGAGCTGTCGCCATAAATGCCAGTTCAACATTTTGACCAGTTTTCGCCGATGTTTCGAGAAAACTTATTTGAAAATCACGAGCTAAACGTTCACCAGACTCACGTGAGACCACACGTTGAGATTTATCGACTTTATTTCCAATCAACATAATAATAATATCATTTTGCGTACATTCTTTGATTTCACTTAACCATGACGAGATGTTTTCGAACGACGAATACGATGTAATATCATAGAGTAACAACAATGCGTGAGCATCACGATAATATGAATGGGTCACCGAACGATAACGTTCTTGACCGGCCTTCAAAACAAAACGTTGTTGTTTTTTTCTTTATTAGAATCATTCAGCTGAAGAAAATGACTTGCTAAGATTAACTTTATGCATTAGTTCATTGCTTTCAGGTAAAGAAATTCTAATCGTCAACGAAGAGGAATCTCAGCGTGTTCTATTACTAACCTTCTCATTACATATTAGATGACATCAACCTCGAAAACATGATTTGATTGCTCGGCGAAGGTGAAACATTTCATATATTGCCTTACCGTATCAAAGATTTGAAGATTGATCTTCTTATCGCCAAGTGTCACGACTTTACTTCGATAGTCGATTCCAACCGTCGTAATGAAACTTCCTGTCAGAAACGCGCCATCATTGAACCGTATAAGTAAACATGTTTTACCTAAAATTCAAGCAAATTCTCTGAACTTCTCAACGAAAAGCTTCAACGTACCTACACCACTATCGCCTAATAGCATAACTTTGAATTGATATTGATTATTAGTCTCATTGTTCGTTGTTCCAGATTTGACTTCTTCGACACATTTCGATGGGAGTTGATAGCATTGCGAACTCAGCGGACCTGTGTAGATATATCCTTCTCCACAAATCGTTGTGGGTGATTGTTCATCGGAATTGATGGATGTGAATGCTGAGAGTTTCGCTGGATAAGACTTTTCCATATAAACGCACTTAATTATCAAAGTGTCTAGAAAAAGAAGAATGAAATATTTGTCAAGTTGCTTTCTTCTTGTTTTTGACTCAAATCGGATCTTCTTTAACTCCAAAGCAACACTTTGATAGTAATTACTCCTCGACGACCAACAAAGAAATGACATTAATTTCTTTTCTTCTGTATATTCATTTCATCCTCGGTTTTCTAATGGATATAAAAACATACTTTTTTTTTTGTTTTTACATCGCCGTGATGATGAGTGTGAGGAAATATTCGCAACAAAAAACTCGACTATTATTATTATTTTNAAAAAACCAATTTTGCTTTGCTTTGCTTTGTGTGTGTGTGTGCAGCTACTATTAACAACGAAGCGATAAGAAGACGACACGCACACATACACAAGCGACCGATAATGTTGATGGTTCACCAGCAGCAACAGCAAACTCTGTCCTTACGTAAAGAAATGAGTAAGTGTTGATATTAAAGTTTTGCCTTCGTACTTCATCCTATTATTATCAGGATCACAGTTTAAAGTCAAGTTAAACAATAGTTGAGCGAAAAGGATTATGTCAATCAGAAAGCATTAAATCTCAGTTCTTTTTTCTTCTTTTCCTATTCATGATAGTAAAGATCATAATTCAATTAAACGTATACATACACATATGCACATGCACGTAGATGTTCACTTGACTAATGTGCTTTGTTTTACAGATGATGTAATGGGATATGGCTCGTTTTCCTCTTCCCTCTCTCGCCTTCTCTCTCTCTCTCGTGCTTATCAAAGAAAAGATCCAAGAGCGATGTCGAAGTAGTATATTGTCTACGAACGATCATGATCAATAGACAATATTACAATCAGCTTTGTCGTCGCGTATATATAAGCGAGTGCGTCTGAATGAAAAGAAGAATTGACAGGTTGATACTTGATTTAATATTAATGTAAAATAAACGCAAACGAAGGTGATTGAAGAAAAATTTGTCAATGTACCTAATAAATAGGCATACTTGAGTAACAACATCGTTGATAGAATTTGCTATGTTATCAAAACACAGCTAATTTCTTTGTTTTTCTTCTAGTTGGGTTTTCATATAATCGACCACAGACATTTACAATACCTGGCACGAAGAAAGGAATGAAAGCATTAGTCACTGGTACAGATTGATTTCTAAATTAAGAAAACAGTTGTTTTGTTTCATCGATCTTCTTCGTAGGACAAACAAAAATTCGTAAAATTCATTGTTCGACACCACAATCGGTAACAGCAACACCGGATCATGAACCTCCCATTGAAAAGGAGCCTATTGTTCTTTCGCGATATTCGGGTGGGTTCATACCTGATCCTGAAGCGCCCCGAAAGATCGAATCTTTGGACTGGCCTGCACCGATTGCACTTCAAGCTGTACCAGAGTTGATGAAGACCAATCGTGGTCAAAGTGAATCTCGTTCCAATCATAGCGAGACGATATCTGATCACCAAGTTCCCACCGAAAGCATGACTCATGATATCCATGAAGTTGGCAATAGTGTTCAGGATGATGATGATAATGATGCTGATGGCGAATTACGACATGATGAACAACTCGAAAAAGACATTAATGAAATGTCGAAAATCAAAGAATCATCTGGTATGGCCAATGCTCTACTCGAAGATTTACGTATTCAAGAGAAAATCATTGCGAGACAATTACCACTCGATCCATGGAAAGCTTCTCGTTCACCTTCGGCAGCGATTGAACCACCTCGTCGTTGTCGATTTCAATCGCCAACCTTCGCATCTCCATCCAGACGTGTACATACGCATTCGTCATCAACAACTAATCAAGACGATAGCCTTGTTGGTTTATCAGCATCAATTTACACAACACCAGCTGGAAGAAAACGGATTACTTTACCGAGATATCAGCAAAGAAGTGAAACATTAGTACTTCGACCTGATGATAGCCTATCACCATCGCCCAAAATTCAAACGTTATCAAATCATCTTGACATCCAACGAAGTTGTGATTTCGATTCGACTACGAATTCAAGTTGTAAGTCGTCTCACCTATTTCACCTACGACTTCTCATGCTGTCTCCCTCATCTAGTTTCCAACGATGGTGATCAAAATAAGTCAACAAAGGTACGTTGAACGACAGCGATATCTTAACACGCGTTCTCCAGAGATTCGCGTGTCATTTATTATCACCTTTGATAATTATTACTTGTGTTTTTCATTGTTTCCCTTTTCAATTTAGACAGTTGACGTCGACGCTAGATGGACACAGTCACACCACGCACATTCGACTCATTCAGCGCCGGCGTTGATGAGCAATCCAAAAATTTATCCATACGAAGACTTAAAAGTGATACCGAAACAACGATTACCATCGGATGTCGATCGAGACCATCTCGAGGTAGACTGACACTTCTTATCACCGAACGAATTTTCGATCTTGTTCTATTTAGCGTCATTTAGCGGATGAGGAATTTCATTCGTTATTCCACATGACTCGTATGGAATATTATCGTTTACCCGAATGGCGTCGTGTTGATCTGAAGAAGCGACTAAAACTTTTTTGAGAATGTCATTTATTACTTTGTTAGCTTTCTTCTCTCGCTTTGACTTATTTTAAAACGTGTGCATATAAAGCTTTTTCTCTTTCTTCCTTTTTTTCTCTCGTTCACTCGTTCTATCGAAGACAGGTTGTGTCAGATTATAGATACATAGACTTGACAGTGATTAGAATTTCTTTTGGGGTTTGGGAATAATTCGCTTCCTTTTCTTTTTTCGCTGTTGTTGTTTATTATTTTGCTTTGCAAATGATTTGTAAACGAAAAAAAAAGAAGAAGAATCTATTCAACTAGAGTAATCAATTATATATATCCGTTTGTTCTTTATCAAAGATGAAGAAACAAAAAATGACCGGCGTGGATGAAAGAGAGCGTTCGATAGAAATTCTTTGTATATATTTATTTTAGACAAATAAAGGAAAAAGATGAATGTAAATAGAATGATTGATCAAACGACAACAACAAGAAAACGACAGCATGAATCAGACGATGCCAATGATGTTAAACGAAAAGATATTAACGATAGACGATCTACAGTTGAACATACTGACGTTCGATTTGACTTTCTTGCTGAAAAGTAATGCAAATGTTCGAACTATTCCTCAATGGATCATTGTCATTTTAGTGATGACGTAAAAGATGGAAATCTATCTGATTTATTAGAGAAGTTATATGCCATGAAACAACAACTGAATGAAGTCAAATCATTACTTTCTGATAAAGATATTGCCGAATGGAACAGGTTCGAATCTATTGTCCTATTAATCATTTTGATAGGGGAAAAAGGCGAACATACATCATTCAAGTGTTGAGATCATTAGTCAATTCCGATAAGAACACATGAAGAAAATTCATCTTGATTAACTTTTGTTTGTTATTTATTTGTTCAGACATACGGCGTATATGAACATTGCCTCGACAATTGTGCCGTATTTACGAGAAAAATTACAGATTGAAGTCGGAACTCAGGCATGGGCAAAGATGTTCGAAATTTTAGCTAACTTTTCATTGATCAATTGTGAGGAAAATGAACCATGGCGAACATTGCATCTATGTGAAGCACCGGGGGCGTTTATTGCTGCTTTAAATCATTTCCTTGTCACTCGAGGTGAAACACAAATGGCAAATAGCATAGGAGATTTCTTTGTTTTCTCTTTTAGACATGAAAAACATCGAATGGCGATGGTTCGCTCAGACTTTGAATCCTTATTATGAGCACGATGAATCAACAGCATCGATGCTAATTGATGATGATCGGTTAATATTTCATACGATGGATGACGAGAATCATTGGAATTTCGGGATTGATAATACAGGAAATCTAATGAGTCAAGCTAATATTGATTATTACATATCGCATTTTCGACCAATGGGCTTTAGTCTAGTAAGTGCATTGTTAGAATAAGAAAGGAGAGCTTTCTCATTGACAACAATCGAAGTCGAATAGAAAGATTCATTCGACTTGAACATTTCCTCATTGTCCACGACATTCTTGTGCAAGAGCGAAGGGATTTAATGAAACTAATTGATTTATATTCAGAAGAAAGATGTACATCATCAGGAAGAGAATCGATCAAATGAATGTATCGATTCAAAAGCGATTTTCTTTGTAAAAGAAGAAAATAGGATTATCTCGAGAGCGAAGACATGTTATATCATCGTTGAAAGACCATCAAGTATTGTCGACTGCGAGGATGAATCTTTCGAACGCAAGTAAATGAGACGATTATGTAAGAGTATCATTTAGACTCGAAGCGACTTTTTTTTTCAATTAACTTCGTAAATAAAACCACAATGACATTAAACATGTTGAAAATCACTTCAAATGCGACTTGTTCAAAATTACCTTTTCTACTCTTTTATTATGTCAAATATACGATATCTATTGCGTAAATCACTCCTTTTTTTCTTTCGTTATCAATGGCCTTGAGCGACCGTGAGAAGGTGTATATTAATTTCCATGATAGAGAGAGGGATATTCTCCAGACACTAACAGAATTAATTATAAAACGAATAGATCTATCGTGACACGAGTCTTGTTAATCTCCGATGAATTGAAGTTCGACTGAATTTGAATCTCATATCATGAATTAATTACAGCGGGATTGTTTGTGTTGTTTTTAGATTACAGCTGATGGAAGTTTCGATGTACAAAATAACCCCGGTGAACAGGAATGTTTAGTGTATCCGTTATTGAAAACTGAAGTTTACATTGCATTGTCGTGTTTACTAACACACGGGAATTTCGTTTTGAAATTATTCACCACATTTGAAAAGATGACGGTTGATTTGATTTATTTACTCTATCGAATGTTCAGTCAGGTAAATTGACTGTGTAATTTCTTCGGCTGGAATTGAATGGTACTATTTAGATATCAATGTTCAAACCCAAGACAAGTAAAGTAAGAATGACGGAGGTTTGCAAGTAGGGACAAATGATGATTTGTTTTTCAAGAAAGGAAACTCTGAGATGTACGTGGTTTGTATGGATTTTCAACGCGAAAAGTTCGTGAATTGTTTCACAGTCGATGTACAACTCGAATCTGTTTCATATTCCGCTTCGTTTCTTACACAACTACTTCAATGTGCGCAATTATTTCAATCATATCAGATTAATACCATTCAGCATAATCTTTATTTTTTTCAAAATCTCAACCGACGATTTATGAAGAAATTACATAAACTCAAACAGCAGACATTGGATCGATTCCTCAACGAGTGTCAAGTGCGACAATTGCTGGATACCGATCGACATTTGATCAAAGCAGATCAACAATCAAAACATATTTACCTCGGAAATCAACGGATCACTCGAATCGGTACGTTTCACAACCAGCATCAAGTTGACTTTGATATCATTCGGAAAAAAATTCAAAGTGGATTCTTTTGTTTAACTTGCACTAACAATCAAGAGAGTGATTTGTGTTCGCTCTGTCAAACATTATGTCGAATTATCGATAACCCGCTTGTAATAAATCCTTGTGTATTTGTTGGACAAATAGTCGCAGATAAACCGATGAGAGTCGATCTTGTCTATGGGAAAGCATCGGCATATATACGAAATTCTTGTTTTTCTAATCGATATCTGCTCGAACTATGCTCAAATATCAACACAACTAACACATTCATAATAAAACAAGAAGATCTAACGTCATTGCGACGTATTTCTTCATCAGAAATATCTCATCATCAATTTGAGCAACTCCAACTATTCCTCGATTACTGTCAGATGAAGGTATACCAGACGGCAAACTTGTCAACTCGACCTCTTGAATAATCTCTTTTGTAGTTACAATCACAAAATGGTACTTACTACATACAATCCGGTCCAATTCTTACTCGTTTACAAGCATCTGTGATATATCTCCTTGCTCGTCTATTTGAACAAACCTCAGTCTACCTCATTCCGTCATCTTGCCAGCTGATCTTTCTTTTCGAGATATCTCAAAGCCCACTACTCAATCAACATGAATTCGAAATAGTGATGAAAAACTTTCCCACATCTCCATCACCCACCTTATTACAATTCATCGATATTCACCAATTGCTAGGTAGAACATTCACACGAATATTTCATAGTTTATTTACCGGTTTTCTCCTCATAGATCAGCAGTTTGCTTCTCGTCTCATTCAAGCAAACAATATGTGTTTACAATTGCAATATGTCGCGTCAAATATCTATTCACAACCAGAGAAAAACTTGATGTTAACAACATGAATAATGTGTCACTGAATTATTAGTTTTGACTAAATCATTCAATAAAAGATGAGCATTGGTTTCATTGATTTTTTTGTCGAGCAATGCTTGAGCTGTCGCCATAAATGCCAGTTCAACATTTTGACCAGTTTTCGCCGATGTTTCGAGAAAACTTATTTGAAAATCACGAGCTAAACGTTCACCAGACTCACGTGAGACCACACGTTGAGATTTATCGACTTTATTTCCAATCAACATAATAATAATATCATTTTGCGTACATTCTTTGATTTCACTTAACCATGACGAAATGTTTTCGAACGACGAATACGATGTGATGTCGTAGAGTAACAACAATGCGTGAGCATCACGATAGTATGAATGGGTCACCGAGCGATAACGTTCCTGGCCGGCCTTCAAAACAAAACGTTGTTGTTGTTTTTTTTTCTCATTAGAATCACTCAGTTGAAGAAAATGGTTTGCAAAGATTAACTTTATGCATCAGTTCATTGCTTTCAGGTAAAGAAATTCTAATCGTCAACGAAGAGGAATCTCAGCGTGTTTTATTACTAACCTTCTCATTACATATTAGATGACATCAACCTCGGAAACCTATTTTGAGCTAACATGATTTGATTGCTCGTAGGTGAAATATTTCATATATTGCGTTACCGTATCAAAGATTTGAAGATTGATCTTCTTATCGCCAAGTGTCACGACTTTACTTCGATAGTCGATTCCAACCGTTGTAATGAAACTTCCTGTCAGAAACGCGCCATCATTGAACCGTATAAGTAAACATGTTTTACCTAAAATTCAAGCAAATTCTCTGAACTTATCGACGAAAAACTCCAACGTACCTACACCACTATCGCCTAATAGCATAACTTTGAATTGATATTGATTATTAGTCTCATTGTTCGTTGTTCCAGATTTGACTTCTTCGACACATTTCGATGGAAGTTGGTAGCATTGCGAACTCAGCGGACCTGTGTAGATATATCCTTCTCCACAAATCGTTGTCGGCGATTGTTCATCGGAATTGATGGATGTGAATGCTGAGAGTTTCGCTGGATAAGACTGTTCCATATAAACGCACTTAATTATCAAAGTGTCTAGAAAAAGAAGAATGAATCAAATATTTGTCAAGTTGCTTTCTTCTTGTTTTTGACTCAAATCGGATCTTCGTTAACTCCAAAGCAACACTTTGAGAGTAATTACTCCGCGACGACCAACAAAAGAATGACATTAATTTCTTTTCTTCGGTATATTCATTTCATCCTCGGTTTTCTAATGGATATAGAAACATACTTTTTTTGTTTTTACATCGCTATGATGAGGAGTGCGAGGAAATATTCGCAACAAAAAACTCGACTATTATTATTTTTCTGAGATCGATGTGCGTGTTTTGTTTCGACCTGGAATTGTCAAAATGAAAAGAAAGATCCGCTTGCCATTTTTCTTTCCTCTCGTTTTTCCTCATCAACAACCGACAAAAAACTTCTCATTATTCCGTGCACATTCTCTCACTTTTTATATTCATTCATGATTAACATTTGACAAGTGAAAAATTATGACGTGATTTATCAAATAGGAAGAGAGAGAGCAAAGAAGATCAAAATCCGACTGGTTATTTATAACTATTCATCGTTTTCTGATGCGAACAAGTCAGAGAAAACATACTGAATAATTCAAATGAAATTCGCTGACCTATTCTTAATCTATATATTATTGGTAACCCATTGCAGGAGTGCATTAACAAAGGAGAACAATCGAGATCGATGATTTCATTTATTTAATGAGTAATCTATCCATTATTTATATTTATATGTATATATATAAAACAAAACACAAGCAAATTGGTCGTAGTAACTTTCATAGAAAAAAACATAGCAAGGCACTTGAAAATGAGTTTTATAAATTTTGTAGCACGCTAGTCAAATGGAGTTTTTCCGAAGCTATAAATGTACTTAATTGTTGGCATTCTTGTTCGAGCTACGAGAGAGAAAAATTATAGTTTACAATGAGTATGAAGCGTTTTTTTAGAGTTTACTTTTGTGTCGATTTCTGATGATGGTAAATTAGCTAATTGTTGTCGTAGACGTCTAAGTAGAAGAAAGAAAAAAATGTCAACGAAGTGAAAATATTAGATTTGCGATTGTTTACTTTAATCTAGCTTTATTGTTGAGATAGATTTCTAATCGTTGTTTGACATCTAATAAATTATCTTTGTTGAGGAGAATTGTTGACGTAGGTTGAGTGGAATACGGTCGATGAGGAAGAATTGGAGGATTTCGCGCATTGGTTGTCTCACGAGATGATAATGGCATCCTGATTTCGTTATGAGCTATTTGAAATGCTGATGGTGGAAGAAGAATAGGTGCAGGTGGTGAAGACGGGAATGGATCTTGAGGAGTGGCTAATGGTTGTTTTACAGTGATGAATGGAGAATGTAGAGAATGATCGATTGTTGGAGGAGGTTGTCGTGGTGGTGATGATGTAGGACTGCGTACGTTTATTGTGCGAATATCCGATTCTCTATAGAAGCTGATGAAAATAGTAAAGATGAAATTGAAAAAAAGATTTACCTTTTGTCGATGGTTGTTGCCGAAAATGAATCAGAAAGAAATGCCGGTTTACGTGGACGTGGTCGATTGGTTATTCTAATAGGAGAAAGAATTTGAGGGATACTCGAGGTGAAATCTTTGATTTACTTTGGAGGACTGTTGTCAAATTTGACCAGATCCAGCGGATTCTTCGTGATAGGCACAGCAGTTGTTTTTCTTTTCATGAACTGTTGTGTTAATTGTTTGCGTGCTAATGATTCTTTCACAAATGCTCGCCATTTGGAAAAGTATTTCGATGCGAGAGCGTTGCGATCATGATATAACTAAACGGTAAAATAGAGATTGACTTATATGAACTGTTGAAATTCGAAAAACGTACATAAACTTGTTGATGGATAAATAAAGCTTGCCGTCGAAGTTTCGTGTGATCCGTGTAGACTAAAAACTGACGTAAACTATTTCGTACTAGTTCATCATGTCGACGATGTGTAGCTTCGTTATAACGTGCTTTCTTTCTCTTTCGTTCAGTAAAATAGATCAACCAATGGAGAAAACACTGAAAACTAAATTCAAAAGAACAAATACTAAAAGTTAATGCAAAACCTTTTTCTGCAATTGTAGCGCCCAGAAAAGCAATGCTCGATGTTTTTGTTCGTGTACTCGTTGTTCGATGTGCCAACTTTGTTTCCATTGAGTATACATTCGACTCATTAAACGCATCCGATCGAACCAAATCGCTTGTCGTTCAAGTAACTATTCAACAGACAGTATATATAAAACAAACATTCGATATGTTTTATTTTACTTTAATTCGCATATCAAAGTGATGTTGTTCTTTCCATTGTGAGAAGTATTTGTTCAGTACACTTTTGACATAGAATACTTGTGCACGTTGAAGGAGAAACCGTTCTCGAACATGTTCAACGGTAACTTCTTTCCAACGGTTGTAAATGCTAGTCAATTGTAGATGGTCTTTGCGTTGTTTATACTTGTTCAATTTAATTTCATTCTCATTATCGATCATTACTTGCTGGATCATTTCATTATTCCAAGCAATAAGAACTTTGCGTTTCAACGAACGATCATAATGATCTTGAGCATATTGCAACAATCGACGATCATCTTTACCTTCTTGTACACTATTACGCCATTGACGAAGATAATGCCTAATTGATGGAAGAAAGAGAATATGATCAGAACAGGTATTCTCATATATCAGTAAAAGTGCAATCTCAAGTCTCTAAAAATAAACTGGCACATTTCCTGATGCTCAATTGGAGAATATTCTGTTGAATGTGCCCCGACGGGGACCTTCCCAGACGTTAAAATAGAAATCTTATCGTAATATACCTTAATAGAGTACGTTGTTGACGTTCATAACGTTCATTAACAATTGTCATCAATCTTCGTCGATGTCGTGCTTTATTTAACCACTGAGAATATACTGTTCGACCTCGATGTTGTAAATAAAACTGTTCACTTTCACGGTACATTTGTTTCATGTAATGGCAATGACGAACAAACTAGAAGAAAAGACAAGCCGATTTTTTAAAGTTTGGATCGAGCTTCCTTACTAATTTCCATGCGTGTAACACGCGTCTTTCGATGTTATGATAATAGAACTGAACGGCAATACGTTCAGATCGTTCTTCATTGTGACGATCGTCAATGATTTGTCGCCAGGCTAACCAAGCGCGTACGAGTATACTTCGGATGTAATGTCTTTCAGCAACAATCTGAATACACGAGAGAGATGCGACGGATTTCAAAAAAATGATCATTATCTACGTGCTGTTCGTTGTCGATCAATCGTGAATGGGCTCGATTCAACCATAGATTGAAGAATCGTTCTCGCATTCGTTTTTCTTCATGAACAATTGCCTAAGAAGATCCATTGAAACACGAAAGCGACTCGCTCACGCACACTCTAACTTACGATTCTGTAATTCATCTGATACTCTTCATAACGTCGTGTTTGTTCTTTCCAATAATTGTAGTACAATCGCAAATACCGTAAACTAGAACAAAAAAAGTCATTGATAGAGAAAAGATAAGCTGTGACCGTGCTTACCAATAATGATCATCTGCTCGTTTCTCCAGTAGCTGTTCATGACGTTCAACAGTGATGTTAGCACGTAGAAGATGAAAATATTTACGTAATAATTTGGAATTATGATATGTTGCTGCTGCGTGAAGTTGAGCCTGTTACAACAACAAAAATGGTTCAAGTTGAAAACGAATAGTTTATGATGATTTACATTTTCTTCTCGACAATCTTGAACGTATCGTCGCCAACAGAACCAATAACGAATGGTTATTTTCATATTGTAAAACGAGTCTGCTTTTTGGAATTCATTGAACATGAGAATATTTTCACGCTGTTCCATTCGGTGTTTCCAAACACGATAGTAAACACATTGAATCTAGAATCGGAAGACTTTTATCTTTATATTCAAATGAACTAATGAATAGATCTGTATACCATTCGTGCTCGATGTTGAACAGCGATCCAATTCAACCGTTGTTTCATACGGCGTTTCGCTACATATTTTTGAAGAATAACAAACGCTGAACGCTATACAAAAATTACAAGTTGCGGCATTGTTTTGCTTATCTGTATCCGAATCAAGGATGAAAATCTTTTTTTTTCTTACCATAATTCTTTGATCGCTGTACTGTTCAGCCATATGCATCATTCGTTGTTCGTCAACTAGATCGTTCATATCTACAAAAGACTTTGCTGGTACAAAAACAAATCTTTTAGTCATCTTACGTGATTTCCACTGTTCGAATGCCCACCGCATGAGAACTCGTTCTTGCAATTGAGCCAATCGATGCTCATGTTGTTGCATGAGCAGTTTGTTTGTCAAAGCTTGTTTCCAATTTCGGTAGATTTTCTCGAGCAGATGTTTTTGATAGTATTCATGTACGCGTTCTAAATGTAAGGAAGTCTTTTTTGGGAGTAAAAGGTGCAGCTTGTCGAACTTTTATGAGTATTCTTCTTTCGCCGGTAATCGGAATATGTTAACCAGGCGTTGAAACATATTCTTTGTGAATGAATGCGATAGTGGTAATTGGCTCGTAAATGTTTTTCGTGTTCTTGTCGTCGCTGTTGTGTATTCACTTGCCAAGTGTAATAAAACTTTAAAAAAAAGATTTCAAATATTCATCAAAGACTGAAGAGAAAACGTACACGAGCTGCTAGTTGACGATGATATTGTTCGGTGGCCAGTTGAACTTGTTGTTGATGAACATATCTTTTGTTAAACTGTATTTTCCACATGTTCCAGGTATTTTGCAATCGTTTGCGATTTAAATGGTCGATTGCTTTTTGAGTTTGTGAAGTAAAATTGAGCCAAATTTGAAAATGCGTTTTGAGCAAACATCGATGGTAAAATTCAATAGCGATTGACTCAATATGGTCATCTTGAATCGTTTCTCGCCAAACATAAAAGTATTTGTTTAACAATTTTCGTTCATAAAATGACTTAATGCGACGTAGATGGTATCCGAAAACATGTT